GGGGATTGGCGTTACCAGAATGGGAAATATACTCCCAAGCATCGAGCTTAACTTGGTTAAAAGATTGGATGGATTTGAAAAATACTAGAGTTTTAACAATAGGACATGACTTGCTAGCAGGGTGACATGCATTCCTATGGGTCAAAAAACATAAAATACACAGATACTTTCAAAGACACATAGTTAGGAATGCATTGCTACAGACTTGGGAAAAAATAAAACAAAAACATTATATAAGAATTCCAATGTGGTTATCCCCAACAGAAGCTCTGAAATACCCAAACCTATTGGATATAAATAAGATAATTAGATACAAGGAATTAGTAAATGAACAGGGAAATTTGAAAACAAAACAAGAATTGGAACAAGACATTGGCAGAGAGATTGATTGGTGGACATTTACACAAATTCAATCTAAATATACAGAGGACAAAAAATTATATGAAATCCAAAAAGAGCTGCAAGAATTGGATAAAATTATACATGGAACAGAAATAAAATTAATTAGCAATTTATACAAATACCTATTGAGATATAAAATGGAAGACGAGGTTGTCAAAGACACAATGATTAGATGGGCAAAAAATTTCGGATATAATATAGAATTGGAGAAATGGGAAAAAATATGGGAAATAAATATAAAATTGACCATGTTGGCGGCATTCAAGGAAAACCAATTGAAGATGTTTTACAGATGGCATCTTCCACCAGCAAAGCTTGCCAAGATGCTCCAGAACAATTCGCCAATATGCTGGAAATGTAAAAAAGTACATGGAACATATTATCATTTATGGTGGACATGCCCAGTTGCAAAAAAACCTGGTCTACAATAAGAAAATGGATCAAAGAAATAATAGACCAACCCGTATACTGGAAACCAGAGATCTTTTTGTTGGGTATTTTAAACAGAAAATATAGTAAAGAAATATGGTTCTTAATTTTACATATAATATTGGCAGCAAGAATAGCATATGCATAGTGCTGGAAAAATGAGAATATACCATCAGAGGAAGAAGTAATAAGAAAAATCCTGGACTGTGCTGAGATGGACAAATTAATAAAAGAGATAAAAGAAAAGGAAGACATAGAGTATTATATAACATGGAACAAATTGTATGTCTGGTTGGAGACTAGAAATAATAGAGGAGAATAAATATGGAAAGGTCAAAAGTGAAAATATGTGTATAATAATGTATAATAATAATAATATGAATTATTCTTAGTAAGAAGTAGAACATGAAGGAAGAAAAATGTAAATAAGAAATAACGGGGCTATAAGGACAAATATTCTAAAGAAGAATAAGGGGGGAAATGTAAATAATAGATTACCATTACGCAATTGCTGTAAAAAAAGGAGGAGTATATATTGTGTGTGTATGTGTGTTATGTTTTGCTTTGTTTTGTCTTGTTGGTTAAAAATAAATAATAAAAAAAGAAAGGCTGCAAATCACAATCACATGGTCCTAGGACACTGCTACTGTTATAAATATATATTGGTTGCTAACGTGTAAGTGAATATTGATTTGACCATGAAGATGTTGCAGCAGTTGTAAGTGCAAGTACCAATTGTACATCACTTTTTCTAGTGCCGTTGTAACTTCAAATGGTCACTAAACAAATGGTTGTAAATCAAGGGCTACCTGTGTAACATAATACTGTTCATCAGATTCATTGTTATTATAGCATAACTTTCTTTACTTGTAAAACAAATGTTTTGCCTTGTGCTTTCTTGTTAAGCTGTGTGGATTTAACTTATTTTATTTCATGCTTGAGACGTTTTCTTTAGTAGTAGCTGTTTTGTACTGCTGTAACAGAAATAAAGCAGAATATGGTACAGGATTAACTTTATTGGGTTTTTTTCCACCTTCAATTTCATTGTATTAAAGTTTTGTAGATTGCAGCTACCGTATTTTCTGGCGTATAAGATGACTTGGCGTATAAGACGACGCCCGACTTCAGAGAAGATTTGCATGGTTAGAAAGTTGTCTTATATGCCGGAAAATACGGTATATTGTTAAAATATGATCCAGAACATGGTCTCTAGAACCTGGGAGTCCCTGGACTCTGGTTGCTGCTGCTGCTGCTGCTGCTGCTCAATGCTAGGTTGATCTGTAATGAAGCTCACCTCACCCATGACTGGATTGTGGATGATAAGGCTCACCTGGTGTATATTACCAAGACCTGGATAGGCACAGGATGAAGGTATTTCCTCTCTCAGAAATATGCCCCATCCAGGTGTTGAATGTGGCAGAAGTCAATATGGAGTAGGAGTGGTAGTGTGGCTGCTGTTACTCAGAAGTCTCTAGTGGCCTTCTACATGCATAGCTGGACGTAAAGCTTTTTGTGAAGCAAGGTCATAGGGATCAGTTGAGCTTGCTGCATATCTACTTTTCTCCCTGCGGGACAGCTGTGGCCCTGCTTGAGTTCCTGAATTCATGGAGTTGGTGTAATATTCTCCAGACTGGTGGTGCTTCTGGGCTCAGAGATGGCCTGAAATTCATGGCCACCATGGGAGCCATGGATTGAGCCCAGCTTACTGAGGGCTGAATTCATAGAAGGGGCAACACATTGGATCTGGTATTTGTTGCAGGACAATGGCAATGTGCCCAGGATCCTCTTGTATAGGGGTGGGGGCATGGCAAATGAATCCTTGTAGAGTCACTATGAGGACTATTCTAGGCATCTGTTAGATTAGGGCCACATCCAGAGCCACATTCAGTTGGGGCCATTGCAGCCCAGCCTGTGGCATTAGCAGTGGGATGGTGGGGCATTGACAGTGGTAATGGCAGGGCATTGATGGTGGGGGCAGGACATCAGTGTGATTTTGGCAGAGGGGCAGGTGAGCATCAGTGGAGGGAGGGGCATCGGTGGCAGGAGGTGGGATGGTGGCAGCAGTGGCGGGGAAATGGCAGCAGTCCTCCACAATAGTCTCAGTTTCTCAAGTGGCATTTGGGAAAATTAGAATATATTAGAGTTGCTCAACTTTAGAATGGGCAGGTCCAATGAAGTGACTGAGGCACAATGTAGCTTGATTATTTCAAGATTTTTGAGCCAGTCATTTATTGGGAAGTGTACAGGGTCCTTTTTCTGTAAGCTTGGCCATCTGCAGTCTGAATCTATGCTCCTTCTAGTTAATTAAGACCTCTTGAGAAGTGGCATTTGATTGGATCCAAGTGGTGGTAAATGGCTCTTTTGGGGAGGGGGATGGTTTTGCTAGCCTTGAAAGAGGTGGTAGTTCACTACCTCATGAAGAGACCATCCATGGACTCTACAGTCTTGGATAACTCTTGCCTGTTCTTTAACCTTTCCTTTTTAGGCAAGGTTATTTAGTGGGTGGTGGGAAGCCAATGAAGTAGATTATCTAGACCTTTTGCAGTCAGAATTCAGGCCAAGCCATAGTATTGAGACATCACTGGTTGTTCTAGATTAAATGTTAATATACAGTATATTGCTAGTTCATGTATAATATGCCATATGCTAAATAATCACTGGTTGCGTTTATGGATGATCTTGGGAGGTCTTGGTTTAGGACAGCGGTTCTCAACCTATGGGTCGCGACCCCATTTGGGGTCGATCAACCATTTCACGGGAGTCGCCAAGCAAGGCTGTCTGCCATTTTTTTCCCCTTTTCTGGCGGGTGCCTTACCTCCCTTTTGCTGGGCCAGCTGGTGGCCCAGCCAGTGGTCGGCCTGCTCCATCTCTGCCACTTGCCAGCTACGCCTCGGCATGCGCGGCGCTCCAGGGCAGGGAAAGTCCTCGACTTACAACCGGTTGGGTAGTCCTCGACTTACGGCCGGTTTAGTCCTCGACTTATGACCGGTTGGGGGTCGCGGCATTAAAAAGATTGAGAACCACTGGCTTAGGATGATGTATCTATCTTGGCCCTTCTTGACCTCTTGGCTACTTCTTGACCATGGAATATTGCTGAGCAGGCTCTAGGGTTTGGGAATGGCACTGTTTTGCAATGTTCTCCTTTCTCTATTGCTGGAACCAGCCGGTGCTGGTGGGGGAAGGAGAGATTCATCTCTAAGGCCTCAAGGGTGAAGTCTCTCTTGCCTCCTATTTAGTATCTACAGTATATGAAACTGCTGGGAGAATTCATCTGGCAGCACCAGGGTTCAATATCATCAGCATGACACCTTTTCATTCCTAATTAAGCCTAATTCTTTAGTTCACTGTATATTTTTATCAGTTCTACTCTATAAAATCAGACTACTTTTATTAAGCTTATAAATAAGGTCTCCTTTTACTTAGTTTTATACATACACGTTTATTTTTCTTTCTTTCATTTTGTTAGTTAATTCTTGGTGTTCTTACATTCCAACTTGCATTCTTTCATATATCATGGTTGTCCCCATCAAATTATTACTGCCATTCATCAAACTTTGGTCAACAGAGATTTTCACATAATACACAGCAGTAAATGGAAAGGGAGGAATCTTTAGAAAGGTGAAGAATAATTTGAAAAATGCAAATGACATTTCAATGAAGAACATGAATGAAATAGGAATTTCGTACTAAATGCCTGATGGAAAAATATGCATTGTCTTTTTTTAACTAGTATTTAGATTTAATAAATAGATTTATACTGATAACCAATCCTTCCAAGAACAAAAAATAAACCCTCCTAAATTAAAGAATGCTAGATAATTTACATTAGCTGTGATTGTAAGAAAAGATTCCTATTGAAATAGTCTTGTATAATTGAGAAAATTTTCAAATTACTGTATGAATAAAATGTGAATCAAATTTAAAACATTTCCCCAAATATTGTCATTTTGGAGAACTCTAAATCTAAATTGTTGTTAGTGAAGATGTTAGTGACTAAAGGATTATTCCATGCCCTTAAAATTTAACGACTTTCTTTTTGAACCCTTTTGTAACAAGAAATGAGTCTCTGGGTTCATACAAACGTGCAAGGAAACATGATTAAGCACAATATATGAATTAGTCTATATGTTTTTGTGCACATGCAATATGCTTAGGATCCCTTTTCTCACCTGACAATAGCCGTAGTACTATGCCTTGGCAGTTTAGATGTTTCCACCAGCTTTGACAAGAGCTCAAAGAACAAGATTCCACGGGCATCAACAGTCTCTGTGTCATCTTTCTTAGGAGCTGATGGGAAATAGAAGATTTACTTCAAGAAATTGCCAGAGTGAGAAAAGAGAAGGCTAACAACTATGCAGAAGGGCTGGTGGCATAAGACTACCCTCATCTGAGAACACAAATCTGTCTCTTTTTTTCAGAAAAGCATGGAAAGTCCTAACTCCTGAGTCAATTCACAAGGTTTATTTAACTCTCTTAAAAAGCTAAAGGGAATCTTTTTTTCATTCACTCCAGGATAATTACTGGGTATAAAACTAAACTATGGAGCAGTTTCCATTGTTAGTTCCTTTAATGTTGAAGAGCCTGTTTACCTAATCTGAAGTTTAATTTTGGATCTTATCTAAAATGAAATGGAAACCACACTTTCAGCAGGGGGTTGCTCCCATTTTGTAACTTACTATGGGTAATTTTTGACTTGTATTTGCAATTGAGACCATTTTTGTTGTTAAGCAAGACAGTTATTAAGTGAGTTTTATGTCTTTTTGCCATAGTTGTTAAGAAAATCAGTTGTTAAGTTAATAACATGGTTGTTAAGCAAATCTGGCTTTGCTTGTCGGAAGCCATCTAGAAAGGTCGCAAATGGTGATCATATGAATCATGGGACACTGCAGTCATCATAAACATATGCTAATTGCCAATTGCATAAATTTTGATCGTGTGACAGTTGTAAGTGGAAGAAGCAATTGTAGGCCACTTTTTCCAGTGCAGTTGTAACTTTGAACGGTCACTAAATGAATGTTTGTAAGTTGACTATCTGTATTGCCTCTCTGCTCTCTCTTTTGCTTTCTGCAGTTCAGAGAGAGGACTATGCATTCCAGGTAATGGCGACTCTCAGTGGGTATGGAAAAGCAGAAACTTCTGGTCAAAGGCAGTGCAGAGAATACAGGCACCTTATAGTCACTTACATTGGGCAAGAAATGGCAAATTTAGAATGGCTGGAAGATAGCATAGGAAAGTGACAGAGTAAAAGTACTTTTATCAGTCAGTGATATGTAGCTAGTCACTAATCTACCTGAAGAGCTTAGTTATGTGTTGATTCCTTAAAAAGTGCTGCTTTCTTGGTTGATTCCTTAGTTACTGTTAATGCTGCTACTTAGTTCCTTGTCAGAAGCACCAAGGTGCTTCCGGGTTGAAAGGTTTAGCCAGTGACATCACTGTTGCATGGGAAACGCCCAGTTGGGCTCCTTTCATGTCCCTGTATCTAGTTCCTGAAAGGTCCTAACAGTGATGAAACATCATCATCCCTAAAAGATGGAGAGCTGGAAGATCAAATATTCTGATGTGGCCAAGCTAGACACTATATCACAGATATTGTCAGGTGCCAAAATTCATATTAAATTCTAATTAAGGGGATTTATTGCTCACACATATTTACAAGAATCTAATCAACTATCAGCACCAAATTGGTACTATATATAAGAATCAACGGAACTCAAGGGAAGATGGACTTGGATCACTTGTGAGAAGTAATGACTCCAGACTGATTTCTCTTTCAATTCTGCCCCCACACTCTGCCTCTTCTTCTCCTATAGATATAACAGGAGCCAGTTTGTAATTGTGTGTTAAATGAAGAGTGTGAGTTTTAATCCTCTTTTAGGCATGAAAGCCAGCTACTTAACTTTGGCCAGTTATTCTTTCTAATTCCAGCTTACTCATAGGATTATGAGAAAAATAGGAGGAGGAAAGTATATTATGCACGTTCTCTGTTTTCAGTTATTTATAAAACATCTAATAAATACATAAATATTAAATAGAAATATTTCTGATCCAATATGGGAAATAGGGATCTGTCCTACTAGGAAGAAGTTCTTTCTTCTCACCTACAGCCTGGATGAATCGCCTGGTATCCGTGATGATGTTAAGGAAATCTGTAAAATTTACTTTTCCATCTCCTGAAAAACAGTTCCCACAAAAGAAAAAAATCAACAACAATCACTTAATAAGCTAGACTAAAAAGAAGCTACTTCCAATTATGCCTTATTCTTACTTCTAGTGGCAACTCAACAATCTTGCCTGAACTATAAAGGTAGTCTTTCACTTACGACTATCCATTCAAAGTGATCATTCAAAGTTACGATGGCACTGAAAATAACGATGATCGTTGCAGTGTCCTTGAGGTCACATCTGTGACTGTGCATTTGGCAACCAGCTCACACTCATGATGGTTGCAGAATCCCAGGGTCATGCGATCACTATATAAGACCTTCCCAGCTGGCTTCTGGCAAGCAAGATCAATGGAGAAGCCAATAAGAATTGCAAGTCATGATCACATGATGTCTTGCTCAGTGATTCATTTAATGACCGTGGCAAAAATGATCATAAAATTGGGATGTGGTCACATGATGCTTTACTTAATAACTGTATCACTTAATGCGAAATTTTCCAGTCCCCATTGTGGTTATAAATTGAGGATTATCTGTACACTTCACTAATTAGCATGTTATCTCTTATTCCTGTGTATATGGGAATAAGAATTCTGATTCTGATTCAGTGATGTGCTGGACTGGCTGATATCAGCTTGCAAGAGCTGATTATGTTTTCTGGAATTTTGCATGCTGGTTGAGAGCAGAATTCATGGGGGATGATGTGTCAGTCAACTATTTGGCAGCTAATGGTACAATATTGCTAGTGGCAATGAAAACATTGGATTTTTTTGGGTTGGGGGGGAAGACAATCAATTGTGAAACATGTACCAATATGCCACTCTTCTAAACCCTTTTATCCACCAGAATATGAAGAGACTGAAACTTCATTTTATCTAATACCCTATTTCCAATTGTAGCCAGCTTGTTGCTCCTGAGAAGCCCACGTACAGATTATAAAGGCAAAGAGCTTCATTGTTTGTGTCTAGCATCTGATATATACATGAAATGGGGGGGGGGATTAGTAACTAATAGTTATAAAGCAGAACAAAAAATCAGGCAGGTTTCTGCAAGGAATTCAAGAAATGATCTGAATGCATCAGCTCTAGAATATAGATTGGACTAGGAAATTGGCTCCATAGGAAGAAGTATAGAATTTATAAAACCTTGGAATAGGAAAAACTATAGAACCCAAGACATAGATTACATAAGCAGAATCTTGTAAGTCAGGTGTGTTTTTCCTCTCCTACCTCAAAAAGTCAGGGAAGAGTCAGCCTGAATCTCTTCCTAATGCTATCTTCCTTCAGGACTGTTTCAAGGCCATCTTCCTGATTCTCTACCATTGGTCTAAGGGTGAGTAAGTGGGAGTGTGCCTATCAAAACTAAGATGTAAAACTACAGATAATCCTCGAATTATGACAATTGAGCCCAACATTTCTGTTGCTATGTGAGACATTTGTTAAGTGAACTTTGCCCCATTTTACAACTTTTCTTGCTATTGCTGTTAAGTGAATCACTGCAGTTTTTAAGTTAGTAACTTAGTTGTTAAATGAATCTGGCTTCCCCATTGACTTTGCTTGTCAGAAGGTTGAAAAAGGGGATCACATGACCCCGGGACTCTGCAACCGTCATAAGTATGAGTCAGTAACCAAGGATCTGAATTTTGATTATGTGATCATGGGGATGCTGCAACGGTCGTAAGTGTGAAAAATGGTCATAAGTCACTTTTTCCCGAGCGGTTGTAACTTCAAATGGTGGCTAAATGAACTGTTGTAAATTAGGGACTACCTGTATATATAAGCTATCTGAATTTTAGCTTTATACAGCTTTTCAACTCTCTCCAACTCACAGGCATCCATTGTATATAAGAAATCAAGCACTGCCTCATTCTGCAACTGTTCAGTTAAATAATTCTTAAAAATTAATTTTACAACCATTACCAGTATTTAGGATCTTTGTAGCATCCATCAATCACATGATTGCAGTTATAGTCAATATGTGTTATCCTGTGCTTATTTTTTTATTTCCCCCCCCCCCCATGGAGAGCAAGAAAATTGGAAAAAATTACAAGAGGGTAAACAGGAACATAATAGAGAATACACTGGGCTGTTTGCATAGTGTGATCATGGTTGCTTGCACCAATGGACTGCTTTTCTTGCATATTCCATACCTCTCCAATGAATGTTAATACAATCATTAATTTACTTCCTGCTATTTATTTCAGTGCAAAGGTGAACATTTTAAAAGGCAGGGAAATGATTAGGAGACCAACAAAACAAAGTTGTGAAACTGATTAATTTTGTCAATTTCAAATCAGAAAACAGTTATGGTGGTGTAATTTCCCACTTAGTGATTGCTTTGTTTAGCAATGGCATTGTTGGTCCTAATTATCACCACTAAATAAGGTCTATCACTATGCACTTACCATCCATGTCAGCATATATCAGTTCGTCAAGAACTTCCTCCTCTGTTAAGTTGATTCCTAAACTATGGGCTGTGTTCTCTAGGGCTGCCAGATCAATTATGCCATCAAGGTCCTTTCTAAATGTATCATAAGCTGTACGGAAGGCTATGCAGAGATACAGAGTGAGAGAGGAAAAGTAGGAGGTGAGACTCAGGAGAAGTGGAAGCAAGAAGAACCAGGTATCTGCTCACCATTCTTTTTCTATGAATGTACCCTGTTCTTGCATCTGATTCCTAGTCAATTCCATTATACTCTGGGAATTAATGAACTAAAGAAATAATAGGCCAGCCTAATGTGTTCCCTTCCATCATGCTGGACGAATTGTCATAGGTAATTATCAGCCATAATTGACTATGCTTTCTGGGAATGATGGGAAATGATGATTAATATATTTGGAGGACATGAGATAAGCATTGGATGATTTAAACTAAAGATGCTTCCCTGATTTCCACAGAACTTTAAATGTAGTTATTTTCTACATTTTGTATTTCATACTACCAGATTGCATATCCTCCCACTCCAGTCCCCAAATCTGGAAACTATTTTATGAGAAACTTGACAATTTCTTCTCTAAAACTTAAGCTCAAAGCATTGTTAGAGACCCACTTCACGGTCTGTTTCTGTTGCTCCCCTCTGGGAGGAGGTTTCAAAGTATTTATAGCAGAACTACTAGATTCTGTAACAGCTTTCTTCCTTATGCTATCCATCTTATAAATTTGCAGGATTCTTTTTTTCCCTTGCCAGGTATATGTACACATTCTAACTAGACTGATGTTTCTCTGTGTATACATGTGTGTGTATATGTGAGTATATGCATAATGGTATTTTTTTTTGAGAGCTGAATGCAGTGAAATTTCATTTTAAAATATGCTGATTAGTGTACATTGAAAGTGACAATGAAGTTTCTATTCTACAGTATATATATATACTCTACTCTACTCTACTCTACTCTACTCTACTCTACTCTACTCTACTCTACTCTATTCCCTATCCAATCTGATGCTGTTGTTGTAAATTGGGGAAGCCATTCTACTAGAGCAGTGGTTCTCAACATTTTCTTCACCACAAACAGCCCCACCTTTAAATTCCTTACAGACTGTATACAGAACCTTGAGAAAATTCAAGTTATATGATTTATAAGCAGGAGAATACCTTCTAGCTGTGGTTTGCTCAGGTTCTTTACTGCTTTAGATTTGGCCTCCTCATTGAAAGTCACAGAAGGGAAAACTCTGTCCAATTTTTTTTAAAAAACAAAACAAAACACAATACTGATTAATTTCCAAGAACCCCACTCTTTTCTGAAAAAGGGGAAATACTGGATGCAAAATGCAGATGTTTCTGGAAAAACTATTGACTACAGTCATTGTTAATAATCAGTGATGTAAGAAAAGCCATCATTCAATGATTTGCTATTAAGATTTTTAAAGACTCTGATTTCTTGAAAGTTTTATTATGAAATATTAGGATGTCATCTGAATACTGATTTGCATACAGTATTCCAAAATAATATGTGAGACAAATAGGATTAAGTAACAAATAGCCCTTTTAAATTCATCACTCCAGACCTGAAGACTCACTACTCAATCCCACTTGACCTAAGGAGGCATTTCATTAAATATTCATGCTTGTGTTTATCTATCTTCTTTTATTTGAGAGATTTTGCACCACCAGCAGCATGTTATTTTTTTCTTTTTACTCTTGGAGCTTTGCCCAAAGAATAGAGGTAAAAACTATGGACCTCAAATGCTGGCAGACTGCCAGACATTTCAGAAAGTAAAGAATATATTGCTAAAGAATTAAACAAATAAACGCACAATGTAACTAGCACCATGTTCTGCTAAACTATATAAATTAATTTCTCAATTAAGTATTCTTCATATTATTTTGATGTTAATGCTTCTAACATGTAAATTTAACTCAATATATGACTATACACGAAGGAAGAGAAGATGAAGAAGCCACCCAACTCATATCTTTTTGTTTGTATTTTTTCGTAGTTTGTATAGACTTTCATTCTATATAATTCTTAATACAATTATTTGAAAAAAAAATGACACAAAAACAGCACAATACAAAATATGATGACGCAGAAAACAACCTGGAGGGAACAAAAAGGAACAAAGAAGTGTCAGTCAGCTCACCAGGAGGAGGAAATACAGTACAATCAGATTTTCAAACTTTCTTATTATAGCCAATGTCAGTAAAAGTAGTTTTAGCTTTCCTGTGGAGTTGATCTCCTGATCTGGTCTATCTAATGAAGCTGACACCTATGATTTGGGGGAATCCTCAGATGATGTGGGAAGAAAAATGAAAGCTTCAGTGAGAGAGAAGAAATTGGATAGACAAATCCTGCTGACCTGTTTGGTGTTTGGAGGAGTGACTTCTCCACCATTCTAGGCAACCTGAACATCTTTGCATCTGGCATTTTATGTGGATATGTTCCTATGAAGAAAAGAGAATACATCTACTGTTAGGACCAGCAATTCTCTTCCTGTTATTGAATCATCGCCCATTTCTTTGGGCTGAGCCAGTTCTTTCTATCACAATGACACACATATTAAAAGCAGAAAAAGGCAAGAATGCCAGATAATGCATATGAATTCATATCAAAGTGGTTTGGTTATCTTTCTCTAAGAGGCTTGAGAATTATAATTTTGAGAACGTATTCTTTGTCAGAGATTCAAGAGTAGATTTAGCTACTCTTGACCATAGCCAAGCTGGTTTATATTAAAAGCCATGCAAACTTATTTAAATCACATTTAACGATTGAAGCTTTCATGGGAAACAGGCTACAGTATTATATTCATTATATACCAATAGTGTATGAAAAGGAAGAAAAGCATATAGGGAAATATTCAAATCCAGCATTAATACTCCTATATTAAAACTATGCACCCATTTTCTACTGAAGACCATCCAGTCAACTTAATATGCTGATCTTCATTAGTCCAGGACCATCATAAGATTATAACTGGTAGCACAATCATCTCTGTAATATGCTGCTCAATTTGATACCTGCTCTGCAAACATTTGTAAGCATAAATATGAACTGTTTTATTCTCATATTACTATCAGTGCTAGAACAAAGAACTAGCCACAAGATGTAGCTTTTGCACATTGTATATGGACAGTAACTGAGAGCTTTGTTCTCTTTTTATGGGAATCAACAGTGAATCCAAAAGTACCAAGAGGCTCTTGTTTCCTCTCTGAAAAGCACCTGAAAACAGTCCCCTCTGTAACAATTTGGTTTCTGAAATATAAATCATGATATATCATTATCCTTAATGATCTTGTATTAAACATGCATGACCAGTCAAGCAATGATGCTTAGAAATGCATATTTAATTCCTGTTTAACTTTCTCTTATGCAAAAGTGTATAGGACTGCCTTCTGTTCACATAACCACGGAAGTCCAACAACAACAGTCAACTAATTTTGGAAGTTGTCTCTTTCTGATGTCATCAAACCCCATATCCTATGAACTTATTCTATCCTTCCTGACTTCCCCTCCTAGAAGAACAGCACATCCTTTAAATTTTTGAATGTTCTCTGCAGTCTTTTCCAACTTGGTTACCTCCACATGTTTTTGCGTAAAACTCATCATACCCGCCAGCAAGATAAATGACTGCAGATTAAGGATGATGGTGTCTATATTCTAACACATCCAGACCATATCAGATTGAAGAAGAGAGTTCTGAAGGAGGCACATGACATAACTCCTAAAACATTCTCTTTTCATATAACTTCCTACCATGGGACAGTTACCCTTCAACTTTATAGGATTAAAAATTTAAAACTTGCTTGTGGTCAGGACATTATGACCTATAACTGTTTTTCATGTACCCTGGACAACCAGTAACCCTAGTAATAATAAGGATCTTAAAACGCATAAACTGATTAGTTATACAGAGCTCATAGAAATCCAGGAAGGAGGCTGGTTTGATAAGCAGCTTGGCTAATAAAAGGATAGCCATGACCAAGTGGGCAGATTAATGTCAATCCATAATCAAAGTTACTGACAATAAGAATGATCTTTATTGATTCCCAAGGATATTGGAGGCCATGAGCAAAAAGACACATCCTTTAGGACTCCAGGCAGGTAACTTGAAGCTAAAAGCACCCTTGTATTTTTCTTGGCCAAGAATATCCCTGCTACTCCTTGGACAAAGAATGGAGAATCTTAAAGACTTGGCACTGCATATTTTGTTACCTCTTCATTAGTTTGTAAAGTAATCTGTTTTCCTTCTTTATCTTTATGCATGAATTAAGCATGGAACTTATATGCTGTGGAATGCAGCGATGCGCAGCATTATGGAGGGCCCCGATGTGCCACATATAACATTGCTGTTGAACAAGCTACACTGATTACTAATTTGCTTCCAGGCCCAATTCAAGGTGTTTGTTATTACCTTTTAAACTCTATTTAGCAAAGCAATGTAATCTTTTATTTGCTTTGGAATTAGGAAACACTTTTGTTTTTGCCACATGACAGTGTAAAGCAGGGGTGTCAAACTCGTAACATCATATGACGTGCCACGACATATTGCAACTTTTCTTCCATTGCCGGCATGACGCATCTGGCCCATGGGCCGGTAATTTGACACCCCTGGTGTAAAGGCTTTCTTCTTGGTAGTAAAAGTAATCTGATTTGATTTACATCTACAAGGACTACTGCAAAGACTTTATATTTTACTAGTTTTTAAAAGAGCTTTGCTGTTTTATTTTGGTTCTCTATATATTTTTGGTCTCTTTTTTTTTCTAAAGAGATGGAAATTCTATCTTTCCTTTCTGTTTATGCTCTATCATGGGAAATATTATCTTAAATTTTCCTGCAGACTTTTGTTACATAACATCTACTTCTTTTGTCCTTGAGAGGAATTTCCTACATTTTGTTGTGAAAGCCCAGCTATAAAAAAAATGAACTACATTAAAAACGGAAACAACAATAAATAATTTCATGCAAAGGTTAACTTGAACCTGGGTGAAGACCAATATCAGCTACTACACACTTTCTATGAATGTATCCTGTTGAACTCTTCTCTAACAACATATGCTAACAGTGAATTCAGGGATGTGTAGGGATCAGCATCTTTGGCATATTATGCATATTTTGGCATATTAGGCTGCATCACAGAAAATATAATTTTGACTGCTCCTCCACGTAATCCAGTTACTTAAATGCAACTCAAAAAAGATTAATTTTCTGATTGCCAAAGATTCTTGTACTTGAGGAAAGTCATTCACCATATATCTTTCATGCACTTCTCCCTATTACCTCAACAGGCAAAGCAAATTAAATATCCATTTTTGGGTGAAGGGTTATTCTCACAATCTTGCTGAAAAAGAAAAGGACAATTTCACAAAGAAACATCACTGAAGAACCATAACATGACAATATAATTAACACAGAAGAAGAAAAAATTAAAGAGTAAAGGTCAATTCAAGAATGCTCAATTTTCTTGTCACAGGAGCTCATTATACCACAAGGCAAAAAAAACAAAACAAAACAAAAAACTCATAGAGCCAGAAAAATGCCTTCCATCAAAAGATGGTGATAGGAAGTTTTAATATTAAGACAATTGATCCCCTTTGGATGCTGAAAGGTGAAATATTAAAATATATAAGGAAAAAAAATCAGTGATAATATACTCTGATGTTGCTTCATGACTCTTAGACTAATTGATTAACTTAACTCCTAAATATTAAGGAATTTTCAATTTAGCTCAGTTTAATTACTAGCAGTGTCGGAAGGAAATTCAAAAGGGAAATAAGAACTTGTACACTAATAGGTCCAGGTAAGTAAGGATGATGACTAATATTTTATTATTTTATTGAATTGTGAACTTTATAGAAATCTAAAAGTGCAAAATATTCAAGAAAATATTTCACTTTTTGAGATATTTTTGTTAAGGGCTTAACAATTTGTGTGGATGCTAAATTATTATCCCCATATAAGCAATATATATTGTTTTCCTGATTGTCTATTACTAGAATATTGTGGTAATGCTTAGAACACCTGATTAGTAGTAGCAACACTGCAGGCTGGGATATTGTCCTTAAAAACCTCCACTTCAACTGTTCTGTCCTACCTGCATCATCCAAAAGCAAACTTACCTTCAATGTTACAGAAGGTGCAACTGTCACCGCAGATCTTTGTAAAATCTGTTAAATACGCAGTTCCATCCTCTGCAAAAGAAAAATGGCAAGCAAAAAAAAATGATATTCAAATATTTATTGCAGGGAAAAAAAACATAAAGGTAACTTCTAGATGAAACCCCAAAATGGCTAATAGTCCCTCATGAGAAGATTCATAGTTGTTTGTTCACAAATATAATTTTTAACTTACAGGTTTGTTTCCTCAGGAAACACTATAGTAGTAAACAGCAATTAAAAGAAATAGTAACCAGAATATCTAAAATTCATATTAAAATCATAATTTTAAGTCTGGCTTTAGAGTGGATTCTGGGTTAAAGCAGCCTTTGCCAAGGGGTGGAAAGAGAGAATATGATGATCATTTGGATCTCTCGCTGGCTTTGAATATTATTGATCAAAGAAGTCTTCTAGAACAGCTTTTCAAACTTTTCACAGATTGTACCACTTTTAGGATATGGCAATATTCAAGTACCACCAGTTGCCTAGCAAGGTGTCAAAAACTTGATGACCCCCCCCAAAAGGAAAAAAAGTGGTAAAGTACAGGTAGTCTTTGACTTACAACAGTTTGTTTAGTGACTGAACATACATCAGCTCAGAAAAAAGTGACTGATGACCATTTTCCACACTTATGACCATTGCAGCATCCCCAGGGTCACATAATTTACATTCTGATTCTTGGCAACTGATTCATATACAGTATATGATGGTCACAATGGGGAAACCAGATTCATGTTACTAATAATCATGTTACTAATTTAACAACTGCAGTGATTCACTTAATAAATGTGGCAAGAAAAGTTGTAAAATGGAACAAAACTCATTTAACAAATTTCTCACTTAGCAACATAAATTTTAGGCTCAATTGTAGGTTGAAAACTATCTATACACTCACTTACCACACTTTTAATGGGAAACTTGTGCCTATTTTTCTGACAGTAATCTTTGCTGTTCTGTCCCTTCTCTCCTGGTTGTCTCTTCTCCATCTCTCTTTCTCTGTCCCCTTCTCTTTCCCTGTCATCTTTTTTTTTCCTCTCCTTTTCCCACCAAAACCTCCTCCTTTAATATCTTCTCCTCTCTCTCCTCCTCCTCTTCTTTTTGGTGCAGCTTCAGCTGACTCCTCTCCTCAAGGTTGCAAGCTGCTCTGTCTCTCTTTATCCGCTCCCTTCTCTTTTCCTGTTGTCTTTTTTTTCTCTCCATTTCCCACCAAAACCTCCTCCTTTAATATCTTCTCCTCTCTCTCCCTTCCTCCTCTTCTGTGCAGCTCCAGCTGACTCTTCTCCCCAAGACTGTGCACTGCTCCGTCTCTCTTTCTCCGTCCTTTTCTCTTTCCCTTTCTTTTTTTCTCTCCCTTTCCCGCCCAAACCTCTTCCTTTTATATCCTCTCATCTCTCCCCCATCTTCCTCTTCTTCTCTTAGGTGCAGCTCCAGCTGATTCCTCTCCCCAAGGCTGTGCGCTGCTCCTGGAAGCACCAATTAGCTGGTGCTGGCACTGATCCTAGGCACTCAGCAGAGCTCCTGCAACATCGCAGTTCCAGCTGACTCTCCCACAGCCTGTGCGATGCTGCCACTCATCCTGCCGCTATACTTTTACACTTTTTTAAAAACAGTGCTTTTCAGCCCATCATATGAATATCACTTGCCAGGTGCTGAAGTACCACCAGTGATAGGCATACCATGGGTTGAAAATCACTGTTCTAGATCAGGGCTTTTCAACCTTTTCACCCATTGTACCACTTTTAGGATATGGTAATATCCAAGTACCACCAGTCGCCTAGCAAGGGGTCAAAAACTTGATGACCCCCCAAAAAGGAAAAAAAGTGATAAAGTACAGGTAGTCCTCAACTTACAACAGTTCACTTAGTGACTGTTCGAAGTTACAGTAGCACTGAAAAAAGTGCCCCCCAAGCCACAGCCGAGCAAGACACCTGCCTGCGGCACTCTTCCTCCTGTCCAAGGTTTTCATTATTATGAGCATTTCTGTTGAGGATTGGCAGTGGGGGTGGGGTGGGGGGGTGTTTGGATTTTATTCCCCCCATCTGCTGGGTGTTGTAGCAGGTTTTGGTCACTTCACATGACCCTGGGACATTGTGAGCGTCATAAATATGAATCAGTTGCCAAGCATTTGAATGTAAATCACAAGACCCTGGAGATGCTCCAACATTCCAGCTGATCGGTGCTTCTTCTGGGCTCACTAGAAGTGCCAAGATCAGCGCCGAGCTACAGCTGGAGCCTGGCGTTGATCCTGGCACTTCCACTGAGCCCTGACAGTCCTGAAGAAACACCGATCCTGGGGCTTCCGCTGAGCCCTGAGAGCCCTGCAGCTCTAGCCATCTCTCGCTCAGGCTTGTGCGGTGCTGCTACTGGTTCAGCTCATTCCCCTCCCCTGCTACCACTTTTCTAAGATGGTCGCATATCACCTGCCAGGTGCCAATGTACCACAGGTGGTACCCGTACCACTGGTTGAAAAGCCCTGTTCTAGATCACCTGAGGAGTTTGGGACACTTGAATTGCAGTGGTTCACTCCAAAGTCTTAAAAACTCATATTGTATGTTTGGTTAACTGCTATATGAAGTTTCTCAGATATTTTTTCTGTCACCAGCATTTTTTGTAATTGAGATGAAACTGCCAGGTGAGGTCATCAGGAAATTTGAGATTTATGTAAATTATCACAACTTAATAATAATAGTTGTCAAGATACATTCTTAAAGATTTACATTGATATAATTAATATTAATTTCTGGAGGCTCGCTAACTGTTCCATAAAGCTTCCTGAAGGTGTTTTGAAAATGAGAGTGATAGTGACTAGAACTTATTTACTCACAATATACTGCTCAGTACAAGGTATAGAGCAAGCACCATATTGGACTATAGATGGAAGACTCTAGAAAGAGTACAGAGAAGAGCAACAAAGATGATTATGGGACTGGAGGCTAAAACATATACTGTAAGGAACGGTTGCTGGAATTGGGTATGTCTAGTTTAACGAAGAGAAGGACGAGGGGAGACGTGATAGCAGTGTTCTATTATCTCAGGGGCTGCCACAAAGAAGAGAGAGTCAAGCTATTTTCCAAGGCGCCTGAAGGCAGGACAAGAAACAACGGGTGGAAACTAACCAAAGAGAGAAGCAACCTAGAACTAAGGAGAAACTTCCTGACAGTTAGAATAATTAACCAGTGGAACAACCTGCCTCCAGAAGCAGTGAATGCGCCAACACTGGAAGTTTTTAAGAAGAGGCTGGACAGCCATTTGTCTGAAATGGTATAGGGTTTTCTGCCTGAGCAGGGGGTGGACTAGATGACCTCCAAGGTCCCTTCCAATTTTATCATTATTATTATTATTAAGGTGACCAACTGTCCTCCTTTAGGGAGGACAGTCTTCCTTTTGTGAGTTCTGTCCTCCCTTGAAAAGTGTCCTCCTACATGTCCTCCTCTTTATTTGAAGACTAAACTGCAGGGCTGTTTTTTTCTCATAGAACGCTCAGAATGGCGTTCCGGACCCTTTTTTTTATGGTTTTTTTTTCAACTTTTGCGTGAGCTGTGCTACTCCCCCTATTGGCTTTCGAAAGCCAATAGGAATTGCTGCTGAGCGTGCCAAAACACCCGGCCAGCAAATTTTGCACATGTAACTTGTCTGCAGCGAAGGCGAATTGGCAGGAACTTTGCACCCCTCCCTGCTACCCAACTACATCATCTTCTAGTTAGTCCCAAAGGTACTTGGAGGAGATTGGAGCGGCGACACCACAGTAACTTTCTCTTGATCTTCGGCCCTGCTAGGGCAATAATGGGATAAGTATAGAAAGTGGAAAGAGGGGAACATAACTAAGTCAGAATATCAGCAAATAGCCCGAGCCTGCAAAGATGAAGTGAAGAAAGCCAAGGCTCAAAATGAACTAAGGCTTGCGACCAAAATCAAAAATAACAAAAAAGCTTCTTTCAACATGTAAAAAAACGAGAAAAAAGTGAAGGAAATGATTGGTCCATTAGTGGGTGGAAGTGGCAAGAAGGTGACAAGCAACAGGGAGAAAGCAGAACTATTTAACTCATTTTTTGCATCTGTCTTTACACAAAGGGAAAAAACAGATCAACCTATCAAAAATAGTGCCATAAAAAAAAATAGAAACACGAGATAGGCAAGAAAATGGTAAGTGAGCACCTGTCCAGCCTAGATGAGTTCAAATCGCCAGGACCAGATGGATTACACCCCAAGGTTCTCAAGGAACTGGCAGATGTGATATCGGAGGCACTGAACTATATTTTTCAAAGATCCTGGAACACAGGGGAACTACCAGAGGACTGGAAAAGAGCTGATGTAGTTCCCATCCTCAAAAAAGGAAAAAAAAATGGATCCAGGAAATTACAGACCTATCAGCCTGACATCAATACCTGGGAAGATCCTGGAAAAGATAATCAAACAACGAATCAACAAACACCTAGAGGCAAACAAAGTCATTACTAAAAGCTAACATGGGTTTGTCAAAAATAGATCATGCCAGACAAATCTTATTGCATTCTTTGACCAAGTGACAAAATTAGTGGATCAGAGGAATGCTGTGGACATAATTTACTTGGACTTCAGTAAGGCATTTGATAAAGTAGATCACAACCTACTATTTGACAAGATAGAAAAATGTGGGGTAGAAAGCACCACCACCAGATGATCCGTAGCTGGCTGACCGGCTGTATTCAGTGTGTGGTCCTCAATGGAACTGCATCTATATGGAGGGAAGTGGAGTGCCCCAGGGCTCTGTTCTGGGCCCAGAACTCTTCAACATCTTCATCAACGATTTGGATGAAGGGATAGATGGGGAACTCATCAAATTTGCAGACGACACCAAGCTGGCAGGAATAGCCAACACTCCAGAAGACAGGTTTAAGATACAGAAGGATCTGGACAGACTTGAACACTGGGCACTAACTAACAAAATGAAATTCAATGGTGAAAAAAGCAAGGTTCTACATTTAGGCAAGAAAAAACAAATGAACAAGTACAGCATAGGTGGCACCATGCTCAATAGTAGTAACTGTGAGAGGGACCTCGGAGTCCTAGTAGACAATCACCTAAATATGAGCCAGCAGTGTGCTGCAGCTGCCAAAAAGGCCAACACAGTGCTAGGCTGCATTAACAGAGGAATAAAATCAAGATCACGTGAAGTATTAATACCACTCTTCAATGCCTTGTTAAGGCCACACTTGGAATACTGCATCCAGTTTTGGTCACCACGATGTAAAAAAGATGTTGAGGCTCTAGAAAGAGTACAGAGAAGAGCAACAAAGATGATTAGGGGGACTGGAGGCTAAAACACATAAGGAACGGTTGCTAGAATTGGGTATGTCTAATTTAACGAAGAGAAGGACAAGGGGGGACATGATAGCAGTATTCCAATATCTCAGGGGCTGCCATAAAGAAGAGGGAATTAAGCTATTTTCCAAAGCACCTGAAGGCAGGACAAGAAGCAACGGGTGGAAACTAATCAAGGAGAGAAGCAACCTAGAACTAAGGAGAAACTTCCTGACAGTGAGAACAATTAATCAGTGGAACAGCCTGCCTCCAGAAGCAGTAAATGCTCCAACACTGGAAGTTTTTAAGAAGAGACTGGACAGCCATTTGTCCGAAATGGTGTAGGGTTTCCTGCCTGAGCAGGGAGTTGGACTAGATGACCTCCAAGGTCCCTTCCAACTTTACTACTATTACTATTACTAATGGCTGCGGGCGCAAGAGGCAGGGGAGGCGGGGCTGCTGCGGGTGGGGGTGAGAGCCATGGGGCCTGCTCTACATGGGGCTGTGCAGGGTGGGCGGTGGTGCTGGTGGGGCGGCTGCCGGCAGGGTGTGTTGACTGGCTGCCCCCCGGGGCCGGAGCCGGCACAGCTGGTGCTTTGGGAGCCGCAGGGCCCGCTTTACATGGCGGGGCAGCAGTGCCGGCGGGGTGGCTGTGGGCGGGGGTGCGGCATGTAAGCATAATTACAATATAAAATGTTATTGTTACATATGTTTTTATTATGCATTTATCATATTGTATTCTATATTATTGTTGCATGAATAAAATGTTTCTTTTATTTACGATATTTTTTTCTTCAATTTATTTGTGTCCTCTTTTCATTGTAAAAAAGTTAGTCACCTTATTATTATTAAATATGTCAACCCCACCCACCCACACAAAACCTATGAATAATTAAACATCTAGACTTTCTATGCAACATGCAAATGTAACATTTTTGGAAAATTAATTTTAAAAATGCCAATTACAGTATCTAATGAGTTTATAACCACAAGATACTTTTACCATTAAACTTTGTTATCTTCAACGTACCCTGCTCTTCTTCCGGGGTTAGGAAGAATTCTGTATCTTCCGAGATATCATCCAAGCTGTCAACATCCTCTAGTTCTTCTTTAGTCAAAAACAGTAATTAATATTATTTTTTCCAGAAATAAACTATCATTTCAGAAATAATCCCAGTAGTTGTTCATTTTATTTCATAGCAATAATTATTATCCTAGCTTTGCAGATGCAGAACTGATATAACACAATGCAGAAAAATGGGCAGTAAGATTATAAATTGAGCTAAGATTTTAACCAAGGCCTCTCTCTGCCTAGCTATATCTAGCCAAACCTGGTAAATCACAAAAAAGAAACATGGTCTGGCCCAGTGGTGGGATTCAAATACGTGAACAACCTGTTCTCTGTGAGGATGCCGCTTCCGGAAGTCCGTTCTGGGCCTGGGCAACAAAACCTTTTTCCATCCCAATTCCCCATTCCCTTCCCTCCCCCTACCTGTATTGTTCCTAGTTTTTCCTCATTTATATAAGTCTAATAAAATATTTTTAAATTTTTTTTTAAAAAATTAGCTACCGCCTCTGCTGAACTGGTGCGAACTGGCTGAATTCCACCACTGGTCTGAGCTCATTAAAGACAATAAGGAAATCAAGGGGAATATAAATCATTACCAGGAAAAAAACCAGCGGCAACCCACTTCTGTATTTTTGCCCCAAAGCCTGCATGGGTGTGTTCATAAAGATTCATTCAAGGGAATCTTTTTCTTTCTTTTCCTTTTTCTTTACTATCAACAGTAAATATTGTACAGTATCTTCTAAGTCAGCAACTCAGTAGGTTTGCCCCTAGCATGTCTGCATTAAGTCTTTCTGGCTTTTTTTTTTTTTTGTCTGACTTACTTTTAGCTATCTTAAGATACTTGCAGTGCCAATGAAGTTGGTTTTTCATGTCCTTTTCTATAGTTGGCTCTTCTATCATAATCAAACAGGCTTTAGCCCTGGAGCATCCGTTTGACTTACAGGAACTCCAAACTTCATTACAACATTTATCTGTTGCCTTCCCATTATTTCTAGAAAGGCTTAAAACTCACCTTGACTACTGAGGAGGTCATCAACTGCCCACATGAAGTCCTTCAAATTCATAGTCATATCCTCTATAAGTTTAAAAAAATTAGACTTGACAATAAAAATGTTCCCATGAAGATGCTTTTATCTTAATAATTGATAATCATTTCAACATTAATTTGATTTTGTTTATAGCTGCTTTCTTCTCTGGAAAATTTCATTATTCTCTATCAAATAAGTCAGCAGCATAAAAATATTAGGAACACTACCTTTCAATTGGAAAAAGTATAGAAAGTTGAGTGAGCTAAGAGTGTCTGTAGAGCTTGGTAAAATAACTCAAGATGGCAGCCACAATGTTCTAATACAACTTCCACCTGTTTTTTTTAATGTATATTGATCCCCCGAGCTGGTTGTTGGTGAATGAAGCATTTCACCAGTTTGATTAATAGAAATAACCCAGAAAAAATCTAGATAGCTGGTATAGAAATGAAGCATTAAGGTTCAAATTATATATTAAATAAAATCCATCCATTTTCCCCATGTATTTTTAACATTTCAGAATAACCCTGGCTATATGAAAACAGTAGGTTAAGAATTGATTAACTTTCCCCCTTTTTGTGGGTTTCTTAAAGGTTCAAGGTAATTATTTGCAAGCTGCTTTTCTACATAGGAGAAAAGATAGGATGATTCTCTGGAAGCCTAGAAAGGGGATGACACATTGACCTTTCTATATGTCTGATACTCACTGTTAAAGGTTGTCCTTTTTAGAGCCTCCTTAATTTCCTGGTCTGTTAGATAAAGGCCCATATTGGCTAGGATGGAGTCCAATGTATTGACATCTACTCTTTTGTCTGTTAGAAGAGAAATATTTAATGGGCATGTACTGAATCCCAAATAATGTCATCAATTTAATTGAACATATTTCCAAAAATTTTGCTATTCATTCTTGTGCCATTTCAATTCAATTTCTATTATTTATTTATTTAATTAATTAAGTAATTCAATTTAGGTGCCTTCCAACTCCAAATCAGCTCTGGGAGGTTCTTAATATAGTAAACAAAATAAAGGTGGGATAGAAACAAAACAAAACAAAAAGAAAACACAATAGAAACAGACAAGAGGGGATTTAGCCAGTCAGTATAGAAAAATAAACAAAAAAGCAGATCCAAGAGATTCCATCCACTCTACTCCAAGGCTTCTGACAAGATCTGGGAGAATAGCTAGGTCTTCAAGGCCTTTCTATCCATCAACCTCATTTTAGAGAGCAGATACCACAACAAAGAAAGCATGTTTTCTGGATCCTGATAGATGGCACTGTTTAATCAATAGGACACAGAGCATACCAATTCTCCCAGTTTGGGCAAAAAACCATGAGAGATAGATAATCTCTCAAATAACTTGGTCCTGTACCATGTAACACTATATAGATAATGTTGTGCCTCAGAACTGAGACTTTGACAAAGCTGGAACTTCAGAAGATATCAAGCCAGAAAATCACCTCAGGCTGATCAAATACAAGAAGCATTAGAATAGCTGGAGCAGTTCATTGATGATGGCTTCAAGCCCTCGGACTCGGTGAATTGAGCACAAAGCAGAGCAAAGACACTGAATGGGATTCCTTGCTGAGCAAGGAAGTAGTTCCCTTAATTAAAGACGGCTGGCTACACCTGATTTAAGAGACAGCCCTGATCTGTGCTTCTCTGTTGGAAACCACTGTTTGATCTCTTGTTCTGGTATGTCATTCCTGTTCATGAATCTTGAAATTCAAACTTTTGGACTGGCTGACAAACCTGGCATGGCTCTCTGAATTTTGGATTAGATTTTGACTTCTTTTCCACATGTTCCTGTTCAAAGCAAAACTACCCAGGCAAGCTGTCTTTCCCAGAGACTCTGTTTTGATTTATGTTCCTTTCCTAGTCTGCCAGTTATCTACTCAGCCTTGAGTAAATTCTATTTTCACTTAGCAAATGTTTGTATATGAATTTGAAACCTAACCAGCACCTTGAATCTCAGGTGGAAGTCTTCTGACCAGTGGCTGCCACCTCCATGGGCCCTGCATTTTGGGCTAGTGAAGCTTTCTAATGGTCTTAAAGGGTAGGTAGGTAGGTAGATCACATAGCAATAGTGGAACTGTGCGATGACAAGGGCATGAGTGAAGCAATTCAATCAAATCTTTGGCTTTCTGAATTGTTAGTTCAAAGAATTGAATTGAATTGCTTGCCTCCAAATTGATCTGGGTAATTTTGATGCTTCTCTGTACCTAAAGAAATGACTTCCTAATCAACTTTCAAATACAAATCAAATTGACTTATTTTAACAAGTGAGCTTGACTGCCCAAATGGGATCAGATTTATTTTCTAAATCAGAGCTGGACTGTTTTTCTAAATCAGATCAACTGTTGAAATAAATTTTACATTATTTGCTCAGGTCTAGATTGAACCCCACAGGAGTAATTGGCCCATATTCTTTCTCCCCTAGGAAAGGCGTCAAGAATTTCCTCTTTCAATTAGCTGCAATTGCAACAAAATTGGGAGGGTTGTCCGATTCTTGCCAATTTCATGTTCCCTATACTACTGGAATATTCATTGTACAGAAGCATTTTAGACACAAAACAAAACTACCTTTTTCCTCCCATCCTTTTGATTCTAATTTTAACTTCAAGTAGCTTTTTTAAAGAGACCACACAAGGAAAAGAGAAATAAAAACTTTGTGGAAAATTAGAAAGTAAAATATAGTTTGGGCATAGATAACTTGTTTGCTGCTTTCAGTCTTCAGCATGATCCTGAAACGTTAGACCATGTTATCATATCATATATAGTATCATAAAAATACTGTATATTCTAAGTTGTTTTAATTGAAATGGTCACTCAAATGTGAAATGTTTCAACAAAAAATCTTAATATATCTTTAGTGTTATGATTCTTCGTTCAATTTTATGCTTCAGCTTACCTTTATGCTGGTTCGTCAAAATGGCATTTACACTTCTCATAAATGCTTCCTTGTCCACCATCCCATCATCTGCAAGAAAGAAACCAAAAGAAGGGATAAAATGAAATAGTCCTGGATTGAATTCTAAGATCAAAGCACCAAAAAGCAAGACAAGAAATAATGGTTGGAAACTAACCAAGGAGAGAAGCAACCTAGAACTAAGAAAATTTTCCTAAAGGTGGGAGCAATTAACCAATGGAATAGGTTACGTTCAGAAGTTATGGGTGTTTCATCATTGAAGGCTTTCAAAAAGAGACTGGAGAAACATTTGATATGACATGATATGAACTCTCCTGCTTGAGCAGGGGGTGGGATTAAAAGACCTCCAAGGTCCCTTCCAACTCTATTATTCTATGTTCTATCAACTGAATTATCTGCAGTTTCAGGTGAGAATTATAAAATAGAGTGAAGAAGAGGAGAGAAGTGAAAATAGACCTATGTATTTGAGATGGAAGAGAATAAAATTTAGTTCACTAGTACAAATTACTAAGTGTCTAAGAAGTGGATAGGCAGAAATAGAAGCAGCTCCTTATAGAAAAGGATCTGGCTACTTTAGCACACAGTAAACTCTTGAACTGAACTCCGCAATATGATAATGTAAATTGCATTAATTGTTCCCAAATGGAAATGAACAATTGGGAATAAGTGTAGGACAATAAGTAAAAACTAGGAAACAATATATTATACCAGGGCTTTTCAACCTTTTCACCCATTGTACCACTTTTAGGATATGGCAATATCCGAGTACCACCAGTCGCCTAGCAAGGTGTCAAAAACTTGATGACCCCCCCCAAAAGGAAAATAATGATAAAGTACAGGTAGTCCTCAACTTACAACAGTTCGCTTAGTGACTATTCTTTGTTACAATGGCACTGAAAAAAGTGCTCCCAAACCACAGCTGAGCAAGACACCTGCCTGCCCGCCCGGCCGCATTCTTCCTCCTGTCCGAGGTTTTCATTGTTGTGAGCATTTCTGTTGAGGATTGGCAGTGGGGGTAGGGTGGGGGAGTGTTTGGTTTTTATTCCCCCCATCTGCTGGGTGGTTGCAGGAGGTTTTGGTCATTTCATCTGACCCTGGGATACTCATAAATATGAGTCAGTTGCCAAGCATCTGAATGTAAATCACAAGACCCTGGAGATGCTGATCGGCGTTTCTTCTGGGCTCAGCAGAAGCGCCAGGATCAGCGCCGAGCTCCAGCTGGAGCCTGGCGCTGATCCTGGTGCTTCCGCTGAGCCCTGACAGCCCTGCAGCTCCAGCCATCTCTCGCTCAGGCTTGTGCAGTGCTGCCACCAGTTCAGCTCATTCCCCTCCCCCGCCACTTTCCTAGGATGGTCACGTACCACCTGCCAGGTGCCAATGTACCACAGGTGGTATCCGTACCACTGGTTGAAAAGCTTTGTATTATACTATATCATAAAGGTCATGGATAGAGTAAGCAATTCCTGAATTGAATCAATGACCCCTATGTACTCACCCTTAAATAAAATTCAGTCTTAGTTTGCATGAATATTTTTATAATCCTTACTTGGAGCTTGACAGTTGTCATGCAAATAAATGCAATATGGTCTTTCATTGTGGTTTTTTTTCCTTAATCATAATGGACTATGGATTGATATTTTCATTTGTGAATTTCCATACTTCCATACTTCCTTTCAAAAGATTGCATTTAGATAGTGGCTGAATTATATACATTGCAAATTCTCAAATAGGCATAAATTGTTTCATTTTCTTGCAAGGTAGTTTACCCGGGTGAGTTATAGCACAAGTACTTTAGCTCTCCTCTAAAATCTTCACTTTTTGTAAAAGCATAAGAATTATTTGGTGGAATAAAACCAAAGGTTAGATACCAACTATTCTGTTTAAATGAACCAAGAAACCAACCATCTATTGAAATGTATTTAAATGCCTCATATAGTTGTCTGTTGGTTAAACATATTCCCATTTCTTCCAAGACTTCATCCAAGTTGTTAATATCAACTTTATTTTCTGCAAAAGAAAAAAAATAAAAAAGCAATAAAAAAATGTCCTATTATTTTTATTTTTTGAGACTTCTGGCCTAAACCTCTTTAACTAAGGATGTTTTTCTTTCTAGGGTGCTTGCTGTAAACAAAATATTTGCATATGCACATAATCCACATCTGAACAGTTCCCATTAAGGGATAGCAGAGCTCATTGTGATTCTTGTCTTGACTCTGACACCAGGTTAGATTGTTGCTCAGAAAATAGTGTCACTGTTCCTTAAAAGAGAAATAAACATAGCATTCCCTGATAATTACACAAGAAGTGGAAATCAGTGAAATTCTGAAAACTTTAAACACAATTGTTCATGGGAAAGGAATGAGAATGGGATAATTTGGAAATGAAAGTTATTTGCTTGTGTATGCATGTATTTGTGTGCAGGAACATATATAGTCAGTGCATTACTTTAAAGCACTATTTACTACAGAAAAAAAAATCAAGTTTGCTTATTATTGTCAAATTCTATTGGAGTAGTAGGTCACTTCCACAAGGCTTTTTTTTTTCCAGAATAATTTTTTGACAGAAAGGAGAAAGTATTGCTTTGCTCAGAAGATGTACCTCAGAAGATGGCTAATTTGAGTGAGGGACAATCTTCAAGAGCAGCCCCATGTAGAGTATGTTATAATAATCCATTCAGGAGATGATCAGAGTATGAGTAACTGGGAGCAGAGCCATGGCTTGAGTATATCATGGATAGATAGGAAAACAAAGCAATTATAGAAACAGATCAGTTAAATCAGAATCTCCTCAGAGATCTATATGGCTCCCACTTTGATTATGTTAAAAGCTTAAAAAGTCTTTGAGAATCTTTCTCCTCAGTCATGGATTAGGGTAGAATTTTTGTTCTTGCTTTATTATTTATTTATTATTCTGGTTAAGGAAACATTACAATACTGTGCTCCACTTTTTGATTTGGATTTATCAAAAAGAGCATTGTTGGTTTATATGAATCTGAGTATGTGCATGAATGTGTTATTTCCCTTCCTGAGCTTGCCCCTTTTTAATCACCCTCATTTTTACTACCTTTTGCCCATCCATTTACTATTATTTGGGAGATCATTGGAGCTATTTTACTATTTACTATTATTTGGGAGATCATTGGAGCTACCTTACCTTCATTCTTTTTGGCTGCAAGAAAGAAGAAAAACACGAGGACAAGAAGATCCAGATCATAGAAATTGAAGAGAGAGAGAGAGGGGGGAGGGGAAAGGGGAAGGGAGAGAGGGAGGGAAAGGGGGAGGGAGGGAGAATGACTGAATGGAATGGAAATCCAGAACATTTTTTTGAAGCATTTAGAATGCTAGGCAATTTTCAGAAGGAAGGAATCACCTAGAATACATACCACTGTATAGTGGAGAAGTAAAAAATCACATTTGTTCATACCTTCATGCATGGAATAAAATGTTTACTTTTTCATAGCAAAAGAGTATACAGCAAAGAGGGAAAAATTCTTTTTTACTTTACCTTTTTAATCCCAGTTCCAACTAGAAGTTAATGGAGTTAGGTCGAAGTACTCCATAAAAGTACAAGGAAGTATGGTATGAAAGGAAAGGTCATAGATCTTTCCCTCACATGTCCTGTTAGATGTCAAAATACTCACACATCCTATGCAACATTGCAGGCACATTTATGTGTTACTATTGCTTTGGTTCTTTTTTCATATTCATGAAATGGCTCACATTTTATCATGCAACAGCACATTTGGGTCTGGTTTACACATGTCTATAGATTTATTCTTTACATGAGTTGATTTAACTGAAAAACATTGTGTCTGCCTGAAATGGCTTATCTACTTAAGCAAGTATCACTGCAGTCATCGAGCCATAAAATATTCTAGGGAGGAAAGCAATATTTGAAATAAAAAGTTTACAGCCAGTGTAAACCCCTTTGCTGTTTCAGTCAAAGGCAACATAAGAGTGTAAGAAGAGTTTAAGAGCTGGTCTAGAAAAAAGCATGTAGTATATTTGTATGTTGGCCTTTAGCTTACCATCTGGAGGTGACCCTTGAATCTCATGAACTGCCTTGAAAAAGTTACAGAGGTCCACTGTCCCATCAACTATAAGGGAAAAAAAGAAAAAAAAAAAAACAGCAGCAGCAAAATGTTGTTCTCACAATTCTTGCAGTGATTTATAATGGCTGCCAATGAAAAGAGTTTAGAAACATTGCCTTCTTTTGCTTTCACACAATAAGGCAATTTAGATGATGTTCAGAGTGGCTTCATGTTACATTAGGCATTGGTGGAGCTTTCCCCAAACAAGACAGTTTCCAGGCTAAATCTCCAAATTGCTTATTATTTAATGCCTGGGTGCCTCCCTTGTCTCTTTAATCAGACTTAACATAGTCTAACATTAGTTTTCTCTGGATTGCTTTTTTATTATATTAATGTTTAACAATTTTATTTTTTAAGTCTACTTCCTTAAGCATATTTTTTTCAATTACAAAGAGTGAGTTGTAATTAGAGTCACACTTTTGTTATATTCATATCATCACAATGTAAATGATTTTCTGCAGTTAAAATGATGTAAAAAATAATTTATAACACATTTGGTAAATTTAAGCATAATCAACATAAAATTACAATTCAAGTAATAATAAAATGAATAACTCGGAAAATAAAATCACTCATAAATAACAACTATCCACAAATTATCCAGTCTAGTTAAAATATCTTCTGAAACAGTTTTGTCTGAAATCAATTAGAAGGGGGCTAAACTGATCTCCATATGAGATTGTTTCAGAGATCCAGCACTATTACTGCAAAGTAGCCCTGCCTTGCTTCAACTCTCTTTTCTGCCTGAAAGTGGAGCACTAGAAATGGTTTCTACCGAGATCAGTGGTGGCGAATCTATGGCACATGTGCCAGAGGCGGCACTCGGAGCCCTCTCTGTGGGCACATGTGCCGTTGCCCCAGCCTCGCCTCCCACCATGACCCCCTCAGCAGCAGCCCCTCTGGAGCAGCCCTTGAGCGTGGCCCATGCAGAGCAGCGCAGCCAAGGACATGGGAACCAGGCAGCATAGACAACACTCTGCCCTCATGCCCCATCACGCACAGTTGATGCTGCGGGGCACGGGCAGAGGGCATGGCCGCCATGGCGTTGCTGGGCTGCCTGGGCGATCTGCAGTGGGCCCTGGAGGTCGTGAGTGGTCCTGCGGGCAGGCAGGGTGAGGAACGGGTGAGGGTGGAGCGGGGGCGGGACCAGTTTTTGGGCACTCAGTCTCTACAAGGTTTGCCATCACTGACCTAGATATTCTGATAAGCTAGGCTGATTTTAGGTGAAGGAAGTGGTTCTGTGTATATTTGTGTGTGTGTGTCTGTCTGTGTGTGTGTGTGTGTACACTGACAAACATACATAGCCATTTACTTATATTTATATTTTCATGGCCTCCAAGCTTCACAAGTGACATGACACTGGAGGTCTGATATAATTGGAGTAGAAAATTTTAGCTGTTTCCTTTTTTATTGTTTTGGGTTTGTGCTAAATCCAAATGGTATTACTGAAAATCAGAAATTTGCTTTCAAATTGCAATAGAGATTGCTTTGGGAGTGCTAGGGCTACAAAACAGTTGGGAATGACTGTTTTTATATTTAAAGTACCCTTCCCCATCACTGAGATGATGGAAGCTGTAATTCAACCTATTCGGGAGATTGTAAAGTTGCTTTATAATTTATCTTACTCTGAACCTCTGAACCAAAAGTTAGAATATAAATACCAACCATTTACTTTTGCCTTTATCAAGGCCTCTTCCAGCTCTTTGTCACTCAGGGAAATACCCTTATCGGCCAAAATGGAACCCAACTCTTCAACGGCAACCTTTTCTTCCTTGGCAGCAGTTTTCTGTTTCTCTTTACCTTCCTCTTCCTGAGCAGCAGCAGCTTTCTCTTCTTTAATAGGAATCTTCTCTTCTTCTTCCTGAGCAGCAGCAGCAGCTGTCTCTTCTTTAATAGGAATCTCCTCTTCCTCTTCCTGAGCAGCAGCAGCTTTCTCTTCTTTAATAGGAATCTTCTCTTCTTCTTCCTGAGCAGCAGCAGCTTTCTCTTCTTTAATAGGAATCTTCTCTTCCTCTTCCTGAGCAGCAGCAGCAACTCTCTCTTCTTTAATAGGAATCTCCTCTTCCTGAGCAGCAGCAGCTGTCTCTTCTTTAATAGAAATCTCCTCTTCCTCTTCCTGAGCAGCAGCAGCTGTCTCTTCTTCAACAGAAATCTCCTCTTCCTCTTCCTGAGCAGCAACTTTCTCTTCCAGAAAAGTAATTGTTTCTTCTTCCAAAGGCCAACAGAAAAAATAGACATGAAAGAAAAAGCATTTTAATAAATGTGCTTTCATTTAATAGGGGAGACCCAGAATGGAGAGAATACTAAGAAGAGAGGGAGGGCTAACTTTGAAACGGCTAAATTCCCATTTTACTGGCATCTCTGTAGATACAAAATCTCTGAATTCTATTTTATTTTTAAAAATCCATATAACTACATCTACATCTATATCTATCATATATATTAAAGCTTCTTGATGAGCCCTGCATGCAGTTTCCATGCAGGAATCAATGGAGGACCTTCTGCAACACCTGTTGACCCATGACTGTTGTGCTAGGTTTGCCACCAACCATATTGTGGAGTTTGCGGATGATACAACAGTAGTGGGCCTTATTCAAGATGACAATAAGGGTGCATACTGCAAGGAGTTGAGGGCTTGATGAACTGGTGTAAGGAAAACAGCCTAGTTTTAAACACTGGAAAAACCAAAGAGATCATTGTCGAATTCAGAAAAGGCAGGCACAGCCATACTCCTCTGTGTATTAATGATTCACCTGTGGAGATGGTTACCAGCATCAAATTCCTGGATGTGCAGTTAACAAGTGGGCTGGCTTGGTCGCTCAACAGCGAGACACTGGTGAAGCGGGCACAGCAGCACCTACATTTTCTACATCGCATGAGAAAAGCACATCTTCCTTCCCCTGTCCTTACCACTTTCTATAGAGGGAGCATCCTGTCATACAGCATCACAGTCTGGTTTGGAAACATCTCTGCTTCAGACAGGAAGGCGGTACAGAGAGTGGTGAGGATGGCTGAAAAGATTATTGGCAGTTCCCTCCCTTCTATCCAGGATATGGCATATAAGCATTGCTTGAGCAGGGTCCGCAGGATTGTCTGGGACGCTACCCATCCTTTTCAGGACCTGTTTTCCTTGTTATCTTCTGGGAGGAGGCTCCATGGTATCCGAAGCAGAACATCCAGATTCAGTCACAGTTTTGTTCCATACAGTATTAACCTTGTAAACTCTAAAGCTTCCTCCTTCCGTTATGTATTCAAGATGAACAGTGATTAATATTTATATGTTACTTATATGTAAGGGAGTAAGACAGTCTGTACATAATGTTATATATAGGATGTTTAAATGTGTATTATGTATGTGTATACTTTGAAAGCAAGCAACTAAATTTCATTTTTAATGTGTGCCATTGTGCTCACAGTAAAAATGACAGTAAAGGTTGTCTGTCTGTCTGTCTATCTGTCTAAAGTCTGTTGGCTGTATAATTCAAAGTTGTCACATGTAGCACAAAAATAACAAACATACATAATTATTTTTGTGTTCTTTTACCTTTCTCAATACATTATTAATCAGTTTATTAACATACCAGGCTGAGGATATGGCTGGACTGCCCTCACCGACTTCATAAATTCTCCTAAGTTTACTTTCCCTTCAACTAAGAGGAAACAAAAAAACAAAAGAGAGTCCATGAGGATTTATAGCAATACACAGTTTGTCCTATGTTTTATGAGATAATAGATAAAAAAATAGATATATAAAAAGAAATATCTTATATTTTAATATTTTAATGAACTTTTGAAAGCACAAAGAATACTACTTCTCAAGAGACTTAAATAGGCATTAGAAATTAAAAGATGCATAATGCTTTTTTTCTAATCATAAGGAATGTTCAGTATAGTGCTGCTTTCTTTACTGTAGGACCCATGGGATCCTGATATTTCAAATGAAATGAAATCAAATCTTTATTACTGTCAAAGATTAGAATAGATCTTAATAGTTTGAAGTACCCAGTCAATGTATCCTTGGAATGCTAATTGCTGTGGGTCATGGGGCTGAAGGGCAGTATATCCAAAGAAAGTGTATCCTGAGGCAGACTGCTAGGGCATATAGTATACAGGCACTGGATATATAAATTCCTCAAACTAAACACATCCTTTTAAAAGAAATGATAGAAACATTTGAAATTCTTACATTAAAAAATCCTGACTGAAGAACTATTTTATATGAAGTTTTAGAAAACCATTCTAAAATTATAGGCATTTTTCTGGTTTTCTAATAGCATGCAATACTTGTGCAATAACAAGTATGAAAACAATTTACATATTATGCTTATCCTTGCAAAGTCATCACTGGCATGAGAAAAGGCTACAAATGGCAAGAGATAAAATATTCTCCCACCAACCAATTTTCCCTTTACTCCCAGTTCCTGTTTCCTCTGCCTTGAAATGCTATCATCTCTAACCCAGTTCATTTGTACATAACAAAGACCAGTTGCTAACACAGATATAGCCACTGTCATTCAGTTTGAACAGTGCATGCAAAAATATGTACAAGCAATAGATTTCAGATAGAAGCCTACATGTTTTGAGGTATTCTGGGGAAAGGACCTTATTTAGTTTTCATTCAGTCTATCTTGTCCCCTCCCCTTATTCCTTATTTCTACAATCCTGTTTCTGGTTTTTTCATCCCTGCTCCTCTTGCTACTGTCATCATCAACTATGACCATGTGACAAAAGGAAATAGCTTCTGGCTGGTCAGGTCAGATTTGCAGCTATGCATCAATTTCAAGCAAAGTATTTTTCCATTCTGTCAATGAGCCTAACCAATCAGAACCTTGCCTTTGGAGTCTATTGCCAATGAGGGCATTGGAAGGGTCTCTCTCTCTCTCTCTCTCTCTCTCTCTCTCTCTCTCTCTCCCTCCCCCCCTCTCTCTCTCTTAAATAAAGGCACCTCATTGTCAGTGCCTCCAAATGATAATGTCTGATAGGTTGATAGTGTCTAACAGGTTCAGTCGGCCTCAAATGAAATATAGCCACTGGCCTATCTCTACTAGTATTAAGGCAGAACCTAGTAACTCCTTTCTGGCTAAGAAATGTGCTTAAAATTCAGCAGTACAATACTGATATACTTGAATTAGATGGAATTATAATTTTTTTATGGGTGGGTGTTTGCAGGTAATTAAAATTACTTTGTTAATTTTACTTTGTAAAATAACCATTTTCTTTCTTTAAAAAAAGCTTACACAAATACACACACACAAATATATTTGCCATCAAATTTCAGTGGTATAATGTTGGGAGATTGAGAACTGTATGCAGCCCACAATTGCCATTCCCTAATTTAAGGGGTGCTGCAGATGCCTCCCCATCTGGTAGAGTTTGAGGCTCTCTGTGTGATCTATTCACATTGCTGTTAATGTCATAATCAGTTCCTGTATGTTGCATTATAGAAGCTGAGACAGGAACTGGAATTTGATGGTTTTGACTGACGGACTTGCTATGTTAGTTATACAAAATATTTTAAACTAAATTATTTTAAAAACGAAACACTCAGTTTTGAGTGCACAACAGTTGTTTTGATTATATTATACTGTAGTCCACTTTGAATATTTTGAAATTGTTTTGTAGTTTTAAACAAGGCTGCTTTAAAACACTTAGAAAGTTCATTGCTACCATAGTCCTACATTCAAGATGGGGCATTTCACACTAAAAATATAGCGTTCTCAATTTGAAATGGTTTAATTTGGAACATTTTGCATTACAGGTTGTCCTTGACTTACAACCATTTGTTTAGTTGACTGAAGTTAGAAGGGGGTTGAAAAAAGTGACATGACTGACTGGTTGCATTTACAACCATTGCAGCATCCTCATAATCACTACAATAAGTGTCAATCAGATTTTCAGCACTTGGCAACCACCATGCATTGATGATGGTTGCAGCATCCCAAAATCATGTGATCATCATTTGCAATCTTCCCAACTGGTTATTGACAAGCAAAGTCAAAGGGGTAAGCCAGAATGTGATTTGCTTAATATCCATGGCAAGAAGGTCATACAATTGGACATAATTCACTAAACAGTTGCCTTGTTTTGCAATGGCAATTCTGGTCTCAGTTGTGTTGGGGATTCCCTGTACTGATGTTTCTGACCTTACAAATTGTGGGACATGTCACACAGAAGTTGAAAATAGATGCTTTAATCTCAAATGGAGTGTTTCTCTTAGTAGCCTACCCTACACTGTCTTTTTCAACTTTTATGAGTCTATGATTTTGTAAGCATTTCAGAAGTTTTATAGCAAAGTAAATACTAACTATCGATTGGGGTAGTTGCCAATGCTTCCTGGAATTCTGCTTCTGTGAGTTGAATGCCTGCAGAGATCAGAATCCTGTTCAAATCTTGAATATCAATCCTGTCTCCTGCATGTGCAGAAAAAAGGAGATCAAAGATAGCTTTAGCTCCTACTTATTTCAAGTGCAGAAAAAGATAAATAAACTAGTCGTTAACCTTGTTCTGCTTAAAATACCAATGTTAAAAAGAAAAGGAATATAATTTAATTACCATGACCCTGGACAGAACACGGTAAAGTCTATTTCTATATGTCATTATGTGCTAGATTCAGCTCTTTATGGGTAGTCCAAAGGTGCTTTTTCAAAGACAACTGGACTTTGTTTATTTCCCTAGAAAACATTTAACTTCTCACCCAAGAAGCTTCTTCAGTTCATTTCTTTAAGGGTAAATATAAATACAAGGTTTTTTAAAGAGTTTCACTGCATTTAGTTCAATTTGTTTATTCCCTTATTCTCAAAAGCAAAACGGAAAAAAGAGGAACAAGAAATAGATTTGCAGCAAAGCATATGCTCTATTTCCATAAAATAAACAACAATCTATTTAAAAAATTAAAAGGTGATGAATATGTAGCATTGGGGGTTAACTTTTAAAATAACAGTATATAATCTTTGTGGGAAGGAGGCTATCAATTGACTTTCAGTTGCCAGACAGGGGCCATACTACAAAAATGCACGTCAGGACAAAAGTACTATCTCACTTAGGATAAAAATTAAATTATTTTAATATTATTCATCAACATTTGCTCCCTCACCCATCTTTTTATAAAGTAATTTTCCTAAACTCCAAATTTTAAGGGTAAAAATCTAAATGTAAAACTAATTACAGTGTTTTGCACAGAGTATATAAGCAGATGCAGTATATGATGTTCAGGTTTTCAAAAATTGGGTGCATTAAATTTTTAGCTCCAGGTTAAAACATTTTTTTAAGAGAATGGACCTTTACTTTTTGAACTTCAAAAGCTTCACATGCTTCGTTTCTGCTGAGGACTGTTTTAATGCTTTTAACATTTGCATTTTTTTTACACTAGAATGATTGTTTTATTAAATCAATTACTTCACGAACCATCCAGAGACTGGTTTGATAGTGAGAGTAAATATTTGGCAAGGAGCAAGGGATGGGAGGAATTATTAAGTGATGGAATGGTTCTCCATAGTTTAAAAAGAGAAACTCTATTTTAAAAACGAAATAAAGAAATGTAAAGGAGACCAGATAGATAAACCACCCATTTCAATCCCCTGATTCAGCTTACTTTCCAGCTTAAAAGGCCGTTGCATGAGCATAATGTTTTGCAATACATTCTTCATATCCACTTCGTCATTATCTGCACACAAAATGTAAATAGTATGAGAACTTCAAGGAAATTGGAATAAGGGAGGAGTGAAGGAGTGAAAAAAAGGCAATTTTTCTTCTGCACAGTTTCTTTAAAGAAGACAGCCAAGCAGTTCTTCAGTTCATATTGACTTCAAACTTATAAGTTATTGGTTTGTTGTCAGAAAATACTGGCTGGAGAGATAGGCTACCATTAGCATTTCCTGTCCAATGAGTGGTACATGTAAAATAGCAGAAACAAAAGGAATGTTCTCAATAGTCTTAGATGTGGAAATGGATAGGAAAGTACTAATCGGTTCCAGATAAACATGAATTACAAATCCCAGTAGCTTCCAATACTGGCCAAGTTGACTGTGGCTGCTAAAAGCTGATGCTTAGCAACATTTGGAGAACTACAGCTTGCCCATCCTAGAAAATAGGAACAAAGCAGGGGGGCAAGAGAAACAATGCCCTAACTTCTGATTTCTAGCTTTGATTGAGGAAGGTGGAAAAAATTTAGCATAGGAAGCCAAGTCAGAACTGAAAAGATTATGTCTTCTCAAGAGAATGCTTTCCCCTCCTCTGATTTGGAGGCTTGAATCCCAGCCCTAAATGGTGTCTCTAGCCAACAAAAGAAAGGAGCTGCTGATATCTCTTTATGGGCATAATCAAAGAATTTTTTGTATTGGGTCTATAATAGCCTGGAAGCTATTATAGAAACATGCTGCTCACTAATCAAGTAGGGCAAGTTGAGGGAAACATCTCCCTCAGATCTGCTCTTGCTAAAAGATCTTATCTGTCTGTACAGATAGATTCTTCCCAGAACTAAATACGGTCACAAACTAGAGCCACTCAGTAATTTTATGGTTTAGCTATATGTCTTTAAGTCAATCCCAATAATACAAAGCATATATTCAAAAGTTGCTTTGGGTATTTTTTCTATCTGTTGCAAGACTGTGAGATGCTTGTTAGTAAAATGTCAAATTAATCCCCAATTTTTGCATCTGATTTCTTTCTTTAGATACCAAGAAGTCCAGGTGGGAATTGGAAACAAATAACAAATTAGATGTCATGTTAGTAAGATGAATGTTGGAGGCTTGGAAGCTGAGTAGTTTCCTGGCTCATTCATTAATTCTGGGCCAGCCATTTTTTTCCCTGGTTTTAAAATCTTGAAGGAGTTTGGAGTGGATCTAGAAGAAATGAGGAATCAGATCATTTTTCTCAATGTGGGAATTCCTGTTAATATATTCATTAATTGAGTAACACAATAATTTTGTTTATAATTTTGTTTTAAAAACTGGGCTGCTGAATTTGGGATTAAAAAGTCTTGGGTGGGGGTGGGGGTGGGGAAGTTTCCAGGGCCAGTGTCTGGCAGGTTCATACAACCTTCAAAGCATTCTTCCTTGTTATAACTGCCTTTTCTGTTCAACTTACCATCAAGAATAATGGGCTTCAGAGCTTCTTGAGTTTCTTCTTCTGTTATATTGAGGCCCATTCTTGTCAGGCTGGAACTCAATTCATCAGTTTTAATCGCTTGCCCTGATATCAATTTACAGAAACCATCCAATGTCACAATCCAAGATTCATATTTCATAAGCATCAGTACATCACTACCGACTGACCTGGTGGCTTCTGCTACCCTTCAACTCCCCAAACCCACCACCTTGGAATGATAAAACAACAATTTGATTAGATGGTTCCCCACTTTTAGCCATTAAGGATTCAAATTAGTAGAAGTAGATAGGTGGTTGAGTATCCTTCTTCCTGGACTTATTTTCAAAGTTGGGTTGCAGCTTCTAATATTTTACCAGACATGATATCCTGATTGTCCAGTTAATTATGTGTCATATATATTACAATGTCAGTCAGAATAAAGTTTAAAAGGCATGCTATTAACCTATACTTATAGATTGATATAGGATCATTAATAATCCCATCATAATCAGAAGTATATAGCTTACTATTCCCACTTAAAACTGTTTAAGGAGGAAACATTAAGTTTCTACGACTGCTGCATTGAAATTTATCTTTAAAGTGTCTTGATTCCTGCTTCTGCTAGAGACTGGAATCAGAAATCTTAAAATTTAACACCACTACTTTAAGATCAGAGTGAGAAAGACTGAAATATAATATTTTTTTCTAACATCCACCTGTTAAGAATTAATTTCTACATTAAAAAGAATCTACCAGCAATGCTTTGAATAAAATCCAGAAGAAAAGAAAGCAACAAGACGTGCCACATTACAATGATTGCAAAGAGCAGCTAAGCAAGAAGCATAAATTGAGGAAGAGATATACAACAACCTGAATTGCAGGCAGCTTATGTAACACCAGCTGCTGAAGCACAAGAGAAGAAGATAATTACTACCACCTGTTCATCTTTGTGAGCTTCCCAAATGTATCTGACTGGACGCAATAGAATGCTGGATTCTATGGGCTGCAGCCAGAAGTCTCTTAAACTCAATTAGTAAAAGCAGAGAATATTTTCATTCTGATTATTTATATTTTACTTGTATTATTTATTAGATTATAAATTATTATAATTAGGATGTTTCCATGGAAAATATGCTGCACAAGGAGGTTTTTTTTAAAGTTACCTCTCTCATAATTTATACTGTATACCTGTTCTGCAAGACGTTTCTCAACCTTGACAATTTTAAGGCATGTGGACTTCAACTCCCAGAATTCCACAGCCAGCATTGCTGCCTGTGGAATTCTGGGAGTTGAAGTCCACATGCCTTAAAATTGTCAAGGTTGAGAAACAGTGTTATGCAGCAGCAAGACTAACATTCCCTAGTATAAGTACAAACCACTGACCATTTCACACAAGCAGGAGTAGACAACATCCTTTTCATGCAGCCAGCCCACTGGAAAAGAACTAGTTCCTGTCTTTGGGGGCTACTTTGGAATTGGGTGGTTCAGATGAGAGCAAAGAGAAGAATGTGATTTGCTTAATTACTCCAGAATGGAACTTGAAAAAGGCAAATATCCAATTCTTGCAAAAAAAAAAATCTGCCAACTTTTCCATCATAGCAATAACCACAACAATTACAATACTTTTATTTCAACCATAAATCAGAAAATAAAATAAGATAAAAGTATAAAATTTACACCAGTAGCTACATTGATCAAAGCTATACAAATATTTTACTCATTGCCTGGAGAATGTAAGAACAGCAACCCCAGACTATCCTTTAGTTTATTGTAATTTCAAATTTCCCAGAGGTTTACCTCCTGCACTTAATATGAGCTTCATATTCTTCACCCCTTCCATGAAGTCATTTAGGTTAACGTTTCCATCTTCTGCAAGACAAGAAGGGGAAGTAATTAACCCAGCTGAACAGGGAAACCGAACTGAGGCTGCTGTTACTTAGAACTCAAAGAAATATGCATAAAATAAAAGAACTATTCCTGAATCTGGAATTCTCCAGATAAGTTAGAAATGCACATTTATAGCAAATATTAGGAATTATAGTTCTAACATATCCTGGAAAAGTGGGAATGTGTGTGGTAATGTGCAAAAGACCGAATCAACAAATAGCATCTTTCTTTTTCTTTTCACTTCTATGCTCCTTTCAATTTATTATTTACTTATTTATTTATATCCTGTCTTTATTATTTTTTATAAGTAACTCAAGGCAGTGAACATATCCAATACATTTTCCTCCTCTTATTTTCCCCAGTTCACACACCTCCTTATAATCCATATGAGCTTTTTGTTTATCTTCCCAGTCATTGAAATTTCTCAGCTGGGAATTAATTTTCTGCTCCAGGTTCCATGCTTTTATTCTAATCACTTCTTAAGAATGATTTTAAACCCATTGCTGACTGATATTCTTTGATCCGCTAGTATTTCCTGAAGCAGGAATATCCACAGGTAGATGAGGGCAAAAAAGATGACAGCTGCACTCCCTTTTTACGCATGTTTCACATAAAACAGGAACAGCACTCCATTTGCATGGTCATGGCCCTCATCTTGACTTTTTTGTCCTCCTCATAGACATCCCTGCTCCTAAGCTTTCTAACTCTCCATCGTTTTTGAATAATGGTATTTAAAACACCTAGAGGTCTCCAGGTTGCCTCCTTCCAGCAAATGTATTGTGCATCTATTCAGCTTTTGCCAACACTAAAGAACTTTAAGAAAAATATGACAATCCTTCTCTCCCTCAAGGAGGTTATAGTGAGGGAATTCTGTGCTTATAGTTAGAGGTACTAGCCTTTTTTTCATCTTCGGAGTCCTCTGAATCCACTTGAGAATGCAGTGGTGATTGATCTGGGTAGTGTTAATTAAATTTGGGCTTTTTACCCAGAGTTGCTTTTTTGATGAGATGGTAGAAAAAGGAGTGTCTGCGGCTGTTGCCGATTATAAGGGCGGTGCTTATTTCCGTTTCAAAGCCCTTGAGCCAGCACCGTCTGAAGACAATTCTGTGGTCATGTGACCAGCATGACTTCATGGAGCGCTGTTACCTTCCCACCAAAGTAATACCTATTTATCTACTTGCATTTACATGCTTTTGAACTGCTAGGTTGGCAGAAGCTGGGGCGAGAATGGGAGCTCATCCTGTTACATGTTGCTCTGGTCTTGAACTTGGGCTGCCAGTTTTCCAGCCAGCAAGCCCTGCGCCACCCCTGATGGGATGGATTGCATAAATAAATAAATAATAAATAAATAAACCAATCAAGCAAGTCAGAGAGCACTGTAAAGCACTATGGAATGTTATATAAGTCTAAGTGCTATTGCTACTGCTAAATAAATAAACAATAGTTGACATGCTTGCAGGTTCTTAGCACTTGCAGAGAACTAAACAGAAGGAGTGTAGTGCTTAAAATACATCCCTTCCATTTATGAAAACAATTACAGATAGCTTGACTCAGAACTATTCATTTAATGACCATTCAAAGTTACAATGGCACTGAAAAAGGTGACTTAACAGATCCTTCGATTTATGTCCATTGCTGCATCTCCACAGTCTCATAAACAAAATTTGGGTGCTTGGCAACCAGCATATATTTACAATGGTTGCAGCATCCTGAGGGGTGTGTGTGTCACATGATCGCCATTTGTGATCTTCTTGGACAGCTTCTAACAAGCAGAGTCAATGGGGGAAGCGGATTTGCTTAATGACTCACATAACAACTGCAGTGATTTCTTTAACAACTGTGGCAAAAAGGTTGTAAAATGGGGCACGACTCACTTAACTGCCTTGCTTAACCATGGAAATTCTGCTCCCAATTGTTAGAAATTGAGGACTCCTGCATACGCATTGTATGGTTAGTGTCTCTGTGCTCATCAGAGAGATCCATCAGCCTCCCTTTCCAAGCTCCTATTGGTATTGAATTCTTCTTTCAAAATCTTTACTCAGCCATGGATTAATCATTAAGCAAAATAAGCCTGTGCTTACGACGCCAAGGGAAGGTGGGCACCACACAGTTTCCCCTCCCAACTATTAGGCCCTTAACTCTTTCACTACCATACTTCACTTCAGCCATTTTTTTTAGTGATCTGCCATTTTTAACTTTAGTCTGCATTGTTAAAACAGAAGAGTTTTCTTTGGCATGTTGATTGATTAAAGTTTAAAATTTTGGTTTATTTATTTAGAAAAAATTATATGGCTGCCCAACTCACTCTCAGTGACTCCAACAACAATCTATCAATTAAATAAGCGACTTGATGGGTTCTATCTCATTCTGGGTTCCCCAGGTTCATTGGCAAAACCAGGTCTTCAGGGCCTCATGAAAGATTGTTAAAATGGGGGAGCCAATCTTATCTCCATGGGGATGAAGTTTCATAGGGAAGGAGCTATAGATGTGTCTAATTTTGATACCATCGATCATGGTATCCTTTTGCGACGACTTGAAGGGGTGGGAGTGGGAGGCACCGTTTTACTGTGGTTCTCCTCCTACCTCTCTGGCCGGTCACAATCGGTATTGGTGGGAGGGCAGAGGTCAACCCCGAGGCCCCTTGAATGCGGTGTGCTGCAGGGGTCGGTCCTCTCCCCCATCCTATTTAACATTTATATGAAGCTGCTGGGTGAGATCATCAGACAGCACGGGGTGAGATTTCATCAGTATGCTGATGATACCCAATTATATATCTCCTCCCCGAGCTCTCTCAATGAAGCGGCCGATGTGATGGGCCGTTGCCTCGAAGCCGTGAGGGTCTGGATGGGGGTTAACAGACTCAGGCTCAATCCTGACAAGACCGAGTGGCTTTGGATGTTGCCTCCCAAGGACCATGTCGACTGTCTAGTGTTGACTCTTGCGGGGGAAAATATACCCCCTTCGGAGCGGGTTCGCAATTTGGGTGTCCTCCTTGATCCACAGCTGAATTTGGAACATCATTTGACGGCTGTGGCTGGGAGGACCTTTGCACAAGTTCGTCTGTTGCACCAGTTGCGACCCAACCTGGATCGGGAGGCTCTCCTTACAGTCACTCATGCCCTTGTCACCTCACGTCTGGACTACTGCAATGCGCTCTACATGGGGCTACCCTTGAAAAGTATTCGGAGACTACAGTTGGTCCAGAATGCAGCCTCGATACACCCACGATACACCCACGTTACACCTATTCTCCGTGAGCTGCACTGGTTGCCTATTGGTCTCCGGGTCCAATTCAAGGTGTTGGTTATTACCTTTAAAGCCCTATATGGCTCAGGGCCAGGCTATTTGCGAGACTGCCTACTACCTCATAGTTCCCTTCGTCCGGTTAGATCCCACAGGCTGGGCCTCCTTCAGGTCCCGTCGGCCAAGCAGTGCCATTTGGCGGGGCCGCAGAGGAGGGCTTTCTCTGTGATGGTGCCCACCTCTTGGAACCAGCTCCCCCTGGAGATTAGGACCGCTCCCACCCTGTTGGTTTTCCGTAAGCTGCTTAAGACCTGGCTTTTCCGGCAGGCCTGGGGTTTATAAAATCTGACCCCTGGATGACTGTTCTTGTACTGTTTATTTTGTTATGTTTTATGTGTTTTTATTGTTAGCCACCCAGAGTCCTCCAGGAGTGGGGCGGCTTATAAATTTTAAAAATAAATAAAAACAAATAAATAATTTAACACAATTCAACCATAAATGACTTAATAAAACTAATATAAAGTATCTAAAAGACTCACCATCTGGAGCTGCAGAATTCAGACCTTCCTTGATTTCATTATCTGTTAGGTAAATGCCCATGTTGGTTAGGACAGTATCCAGGTTACTGACATGGATCTGATCCACTGAGAAATAACAATAATAATAATAATAATCAGCAAATAGTCCCAGAGCTTTGGCATTCCATATGCAGTTAGCAAAGCTTATAAGGTAACTTTGCAAGTCTTTCATACTAAAATCAGACAAGTCACATCTTAAGAGTGGAAATCTTGATTCTATACAAGTTTTATAAATACATATACTTTTTTTTCATTTGACATTATTGGTGCATTTCTATTATTTTGCTTAATTTATTCAAATTCATTGAAAGATGTAATTTATTCAAACTCAAAGACAATATGTCTCACTCTTTTGCCCTATAGTTTTACATTCAGTCACAACCTTGATTTCTGAAAAATCAGCAAAGACTAGCGAATCACTGCTACCAATATCATCATTGTAACATCTAAATGCAAACAAAAACAATACCTTCTCAAGAAGCTGAATTCTGTTTCCATTACAATATTCTATATTCTCACAGAATCAAAACATTAAAATACAGCCCCTAGTTCTAAGCAGACTGCCTTTTGCTGAGTCCACTAATTTATGTGTTACTGTAGTTTTATCTTTTCACCTTCTAATTGCTGCCTTTTTTTCCCAACCCCACCGGGCCCAGCTATTATTTTTCCAAATATCACCAGCATGCTTGAAGAATTTTAATCCAATCATGGAAATTCACTTACTGTCTGCTTGGGATTGTCCCTGGGTTTTAGTCACACTTTCAATCAGCTCATTCATCTTCACCTTTTCATTTTCTGCAAAGGCATTTAAAAGTGAGTTTACCAAGTGGGTGAGTAGGCAGAAAATGCAGGAAGAATTGAGTGCAACATTTTGCAAATCAGCTTAATTGCATTTAAAATATTAAATGTATATTAATAATTAAATTTCATTAAAGTGATAGATATTAATATTTTACCACTCAAAGTAGCTATTAAAAGTAATGGAAATATAATAAAAATATAATGCACATTTAAAATCTCAATAAAAAAAACATAAGGTTCTGATTTAACTCAGTCAGAAGACTAAGAGCTTATTAATAAGAGTCTGGAGAAAAGACTTTCTCCCCTTATATCTGAAAATGGGACTAAAGCCAGATAAAACTCAGAAAGGAATTACACAAAATAGGAGCAGCAACTAAATACCTACATTTTTGAAATACTAGCCTGGCTTGAAGAGATGAAGATTCAGAGGGAAATCTCTACAGCATCCTACAGGCAAAGCGGATTCATGCAAGACAAGATGATATTTTGCTTTATTTTATTATTTTATTTTATTTATCTCTTTTCCCACTCACCATCCACAGTCACATTCTTCAAAGCTTCTTGGAGCTGCTCTTTGGTTAAGTGGATCTCCATGTTGGACAAAAGAGAATTTACATCTTCCACAGCAACTTTTTCCTTTGTGTCACCTAAAAAGCAAAACAAATTGACCAAAGGCCACATTTTTCAGAAAATTAATCAGCCAACAAGATTTAATAGATATGCTCCATCATCTGGAACCCTGATCCCAGAAGTTTTCCTTCTTTAGTTCTGGACAGGGTAGCATGTCCCCACGAAGGACCAATAAGAAATCAGGGTTTATTCCTGGATTTGCAACTCCTGCTGAAGAACAGGTGGCTAATGGCAGCTGTGGCTCAGAGGTTCTTGCATAGACATGTCAGTTTTGCTTGTTCTAGGACTGGGAGACTGCTCTATAAACTGCATTGTTTTTCAAATGACCTCAGGTAAGGTCTAGTAAAATGTGAATACCACATATAAAATCCTTTGTAGTGTAAGGCCATATTGACTGTCTCTAATAATTTCTGTGCAGGCATGTTCCAGGCCCCAACAATTAAATAATGTCATCTATTAAAATCCAGTACACAGGCCTTTTCCAATAAAGCACAATTTTTTTGGAACAGTCTCTCTCCAGAGATCTATGTGGCTCCCGCACAGTGATTATATTTAAAATGGCTTTGAAAACCTGGTTTCCTTCTGAGGCATGGATTAGGATGGGTGGTAAACCTCTTATAAGAATTTATATGTTACTTTGTTTTAGTTTCTCAACTTTTATATAGGTATTTTCCTTGTTTTATTGAGCTTACTTTTTTAAATAGTATATGCCTCCCTCTAAATTTGGCAACTAAAGAAATAATTCTTTTATCTGTGGTGTCCTTGTTGCTCTCTGAGCTTGGTGGTTTTCTTGCAGACATTTCATTGCCCAGTTAGATAACATCATCAGTGCTAGCTTTCTATCCAAGTCACCACTCACCATTTGGTTGAGGTAACTCCTGCAAAACTCTAAGATTCCTTGTGAATTCATTCAGGTTTACCATTCCATCTAAAGATTATAGAAATGACAAATAAGAAGAACTTGACATCACAAATAGGGAAGGGATTTTAAACATTGTTCTTACACTAACAAAAACTAAAATTTTAAAAAGGGACAATTAAGAAAGAGGAAGCACCACTTCCAAAGTGAGGCATTATTACTGTTTGCAACAGTGTTGGAGGATCAGAGAGGGATGTTTTGTTGCATGTGGAAAGAGAGATAAATATGAACCCACTATAAGTACCCCTGATTAAAACTAACTAACCTAAGCCTGATTTAAAAAATGGTGCAACCAGATTCCCCTCAATGTGCTTGATCTATAATACCCCAAATTTTCATACTGCACCCACTGAGTGTTTTGGCCATTGTAGTTCTAATACATCTGGAAGTCATCAGATTGGGGAAGATTGTTCTGAATTCACCTACTTCTTAGTGCTCTAAAGTAAAACTGGGGACATTTGGGTATAGCCAAAAGAGGTTTCCAAGGTTATTCATGAGACAAGGTGCTGAATATATTTTGAGAATCTGATTTTTTGCCTGTTAAATAAAAAAAAAGTTAATAATAAGAAGGCCAGTTTGATGGTCAAGCCTCCAAAAATGTTGCAAACACTAACAGTTATGATGATTGTGGGAGCATTGTTTTTCCTACCAGTTATTTTTTAACTATGGGAGTTCTTCCTGCTTAGTGTTCATGGGCTCCTAGGCTGCTTTGCTACTTTCTACTCTCATGTCACTTAAATATATATCTGTATAGTTCTTACCATCAACTGTAACTTGCTCAAGGGCTTTCTTCATTTCCTTCTCTGTTAAATTAATCCCCATGTTTTCCAAAATGGAATTCAGGTTTTTAACAGGGACTCTATTTCCTGTAAAAGAAAGAGGAGGGGGAGGAGGAGGAGAAAGAGAACAGCATGTGAAAGAATATTCAACTATGTTCAAGTATGTATATTCAAGTGTGTATATTCATTTATGACACTTCCATACCATCACTGTTTTCAATCCTGAAACACTCAGAAACAGAGAAATTGCTTCTACAGGTAGTCTTTCTTTAGCAACCACAATTGGCAATTCAGATGTTAAACAAAGCAGTCACTAAGTGGAATCATGATTGTGTTTATGGTCTTGCTCCACCATTCATTTACTTTACAGATCTGGTAGGTCATAAATGTGAGGACTGGTCGCAAAGTTTCATTTTCATCATTGTTGTCATTGTGAATGGTTGCTGTACAAGACAATCACTAAACAAGGACTCCTGTCATCTTTACTTCTGCTGACCTAAATAGGAGTGAAAATTACTGGCATGAATAGTTGCAATTCTCTCACCCTCATAGTACACAGAGGGGAGGGAAGAACGGTCAGTTCCAGGGTATTTTGCCAGCCTGTTCTGTTGAAGAGAAAAAAAGAAATTGACAGAACACTTCCCAATTTCCATTCTGTTTGTTTAATCTAGGCTAATGAGAAATTTGTTGCAAGCATGGTTCCGATAGATGAAACCCTTCAAAAGAACTTTGAGGCATTGTTTACCTTAAAGAATCTTTTTATTTGAGAAACAAAGTATTGGCACTACATAGTTGAACCCAAAAACTAAATACCCTTCCTCCTGATACAAAGTAACAAAGTGCAATTCCCACCCCCAATAAACTGTCATAAATCACATTCCCCAATTAGCTTAAAGTGAGGGCTTTCCCCTTAGCTCCACAGCCTGCCAAAACATTATCAGCTTGTTCTTGGGTTCCCACCACAGCGTGATGTTATGGCTAGCTGAACTTACATTCCAACCTCCCCTCTCTCTGCTGCACCTAATTTCTAAAGTAAGAAAAAGCATGTTAAAGGAATAGAGAAAATGGCTGCATTTTCATCAGTTGTCAAAGTAGGAACAACTAATGTCAGCAGCATTGACACATTCTGCTTAGAAGAGCTGAACCTCAGAAGGTGGGAGAAGGAATGATGCAAGTGTTCCCTCTAATAGGGAAAGAGGACCTTCAATTTTATCTAGCTTTGTAGTTGGGTCATATACATTGCAGGTGAGCTGGAAATCAGGTTTCCCTACAGTAGAAGAAAGCCATATCAAACTTTTGTCTTCCTACAGCATAATAACTGTAGGGATACCAAAGTTTGGTATGTCTTTCAGACTGATGTTGCAAGATTCTTACGCAGAAGTGTCCTTAACATTTCTGTAATTTGCTTCATTAAGTATAAAAGGAAGACTAACATCAAATTATTATTTACATGTGTAGAATTGAGAGTTTTGTTTATTGCTTTGAAATGAAAAGTTAAGATCTTCCCAAACTTAATAGAATTACATTAAAAAAGAAGAGGCTATATCATCCTCCCAGCTGTGGGTACAGAGAAAGAATGTTCAGTATATCATCTTCTTTGAGATTCTAATCTAATTCCTTGTTCTTATCCTCAATTAGTCCCATTTTCTAATAGTAGTCAAGCTTTTAGAGCTCAAGAATGTTTAGTACTAAAGCCATAAAAGCTTTCAAATATAAAAGTGAGCTGCCTCATGAAGGCAACTTGCTTGTCTTTAGGTGATTTTGGCAGAGGTTGCCATCAACCAAAGAAGGTGCCACCACCATTATGCTATTCAGATGGAATCAGTTTTACTCCCATGTTTTAGAAGAATGGGAGGGGTTCCTTGTCTTCCTCAGTGTGAGTAATTTCCCAATGTTTAGCTTGAAACCACCATCGAAGATCACACTGGCCAAAGCATAGAACCACTCAAAGAAGTAGTGCAAGATTGGAAGATGGGGAGAGACCAGGCCCATAGAATCGCCAAGAGTAGGACATGATTGATCAGATAACATCAGCAGCAGCAGCAGCCTGAAACCTGCCTACATCCATAATTGATACTGTTATTAATATAGGAAGGATTCATTTGAAATGCAAAGGGAACATTAAGAAACATGTTTATAATCTTTGTCAATCAATAGATAATGAGAGCTAAAATTATAACCATATAAATAGACCCACAGCTTGTTTTAAACTTACTGTCAGCTTCAGAAAATCTTCGATTATTGGTCAATGCAAACATAAAATCTTTCATACTCAGTGTCCCATCAGCTGCAAAGAAATAAATTAATGAAAATTACTGAAAATAGGCAACACAGTAATCTTGTATATCAATAAATAGTTTAATCATTTAAGTATGTTGCAAAATAGATCATCAGTTCATTTTATCGTGTCACAGAAAGTGGTACCACTCGGCAAAATTTGGTTGAGTAAAAAAACTGAGCAAGACTGAACTTGGATGGACATGACCAGAGCATTTTAATGCTCAAAATTAAAACAAAGAAATAAACAAAAGAGCTTCCTTTTTGTTGCAAAGAAAACATGGACATTTTGAGTAATAATTAGAAGTTGAATTTCATTCAAGAGAATCTTTATGTTCTTCTAGTGCAGTGGTTCTCAACCTTTTTAATGCTGTGACCCCCCAACCGGTCGTAAGTCGAGGACTACCCAACCGGTCGTAAGTCGAGGATTTTCCCTGCCCGAGAGTGCCGCGCATGCATGGTGCCATCCCCTGCGCCAGCCAAGGCGTAGTGGCAAGCAGCAGAGATGGCGCAGGCCGACCACCGGCTGGGCCACCAGCTGGGCCAGCCCAAGGGAGGTAAGGCAACCGCTGGGCCCCACACATGCCAGCACCTGGAAACTTCCAGACAGCTCGCCTTCGCTGCAGACAACTTTGCAGAATGGGACTTTTGGCGGGCTCAGCAGGGCAGAGACAGCCTGGACAATTCCTATTGGCTTTTGAAAGCCAATAGAATTAGACTCTATTCAAGAGAGTCTATTCTATTGGCTTTCAAAAGCCAATAGAAAAAAAGGGAGTAGCACAGCTAAGGAAAAGGGGGGGAAAATGGCAGACTGCATTGTTTGGCGACCCCCATGAAATGGTCGTTCGACCCCAAATGGGGTCCTGCCCCACAGGTTGAGAACCGCTGTTCTAGTGCTTTGGACATAAAATAGATTTAAAAACAGACAAGAATGTTAGATATTATTTGATATGCCGCAAGTTTAGTTCTTGAATCTGTTACTAGATTATAGTCTGCAAGTAAGACTTTTAAAAATAGATTTTTTTGTAGAATAGATTTCCTTAATGATTATGATTTAGGTTGTAATTTCAACCTGCTACTAATTTTAAGACATTGAGATTATGTATACTGAAGACCAATTATTCTGGAAAAGTCTTACCGTTTGTGGTAACATATTTCAGTGCTTTCTGGATTTCATCTTGAGATAGCTGAAGGCCCAGAGCATGCATGATGGAATCCAAGTCTTCACATTCTATTTTATCTTGTTTGATGCTCTTCAGTGTTTTCACTGCTTTTTCCATGTCTAAGACAAGAAGTACCACAATGAGGCATCCAAAGGCAACAATCTATAATGAAATATGTAATATTGATGAAAAGGGTTGTTCTTGCCTACAGCTGAAGAATATTGCTGTGTGAGAGATAACATCTTCATAAATTCTTTCAAATTCACCATCCCATCACCTGTAAGGGAAAGTAAATCTTATCAGAGAAAATAAATTTGAAAAGTAATACATAGACCTTTATACATCCAGTCAATTTTATTTCAGTCATTGACCAACAAAAACATTAACATCTTCCAGCTGCCAAGATTGAGAAACATGAATCTAAGTAAAATTCAGATAGGGATGGGACAATTGAGTTAAGTATAGTTACTTAGCTAACACCAAATTATCAATGAAGCAAGATTTTATTTTTAAATGTTTGCTTTCCATCCAAATATCCAACCCATGATTCACTATAGAGCTTTGTATTGTATTTGATTCAGCTGCAGGAAGGTACAAATGACATAAAAAATTAAATTTCCAGTTGCCCTGACATTTCACAACTACTCAGAGAAGAATGGTGTTTGGTTTATATTTTGAACACATAATTACTCATAGAAAACACAGCTTGATTTGTGTTATATTTGAGCACTAGAAATGTTCAGTATTATAAACAGGTGACATGAAAGTACACACATAGAAAAACTTACCAGGAACTAAAAATGTGCAAATAACATGATTTGGTTTAACTAATGCTAAAAAATATCAAACATTGTTCCACATTTTCTGGAGTGTCACGTTGAAGATATTTGAGAATATATTGGGAGAAAACTATCCAAAACTTTATTACTTTAAAAACTGTATTCATAGAAATTCAAAGAGAATGGTTCTAATACTTTATCAGAGAAATTCAAATATGTAGCCTTCAATCATTTAAATAGAATACGTCCTTACTATCTACTGTCATGTTCTTCAATGCCTCCATCATTTGCTCCTTGGTTAAGGTGATGCCAATAGCAGCTAGCACATCTTTCATCTGAGAAATCTCAACTTTATCTCTATCCATTCTGGAGAGAATGGTATAGATGCCATGAACTGTTGAAATAAAAAAAGTTGTTTAGTTAATTTCAGAAATAGGTAAAAACGTTGTTTGCTTCTACATGAATTGTGCATCAATGCACTGCTGCTAAGAGATACTTTGAATCTTAATATTTTTATTAATTTTCTAATTTTACATCTAGATATTTAAAAAGCAACGTAGTGACTAGGTTAATCAATAGTTTAGTAACATAAAAAAATCTTTAATACAAATCTCAAACTACAATCTATTATCTCATATTTAAGCTAATACAGTTCTTATTATATCAATTAAATAGAAACATCGTTATTACATTTATCAATAAATTTTTAGCTTATACATATCTTAATTACTTTTACATTCAATCTTTACATTCAATCAATGTACTGTTATTGGTTTTTCCCAATTTTTAGTTTCCCATCAATATTCAAATTTAACATTTGATATTTATAATTTCCAGGTTTTAGGTAACCAAAGTTTCCTTTAGAGAGATACTTTGCTCTCTGATTGCATCAAACTTGTGTTGGAAGTGCTGAGGCGCTTCCATGGTGAAAGGATTAGCCGGTGACATTACCATTGCCTGGGGGAAAGATTGCCTTGGGGGCCTCTTTCATGTCCTTGTTAATGTGCCTATCAAAGTGGTATTTATTTATCTACTCGTGATTGCATGCTTTTGAACTGTTAGGTCAGCAGAAGTTGGAGTGAATGACAGGAGCTCATCCCATCATACAACAGCCCTTGGGTCTCAAACGCAGGCTTGCAAATTGTCAACCCAGCCTTCTAACTACATGAGCCACCATGCTCCTTACTTTCTGAATAGTCTGCCCTTCTCTGCTTGCAGTATCAGCTGTAAAATGGCTAGCCTGGAAAGATATGCTATAGATTGTCAATGAAATCTGAAAAGCCAATAGAGTTGTACTGTATATTGCAGGTCATCACTTTTACTATATATAACAGTTCAACAACAAGATTACACACAGGATTATTACATGTTTATTGAATCTGAGTCTTATTTGGAAGTGAATTACTTCCTATTGCCAAACAATCTACTTAATTTAACTTTAATTGATTTAAATTATTTGTTGATTTATAAACTTGTCCATATAAGAATCTTCTGCTTTTCACAAAGAATCTATTTTTCTCATACAAAGTGGAAACAGCTTTGATTTTAGCAGCAGAATTTAGATTTTCAGAAAATGAGAACATCAAATTATTTGTTCTTTCTTCTTCTCAATAAACTTTGAAATATTGCTAGTGTAATCTAATACCACTCTTTATCTCACATGAACAATTCTATGATGGGAGACTCTCACTACATCTAAAAAAATGAACTGGTATACCTGATTCAAAACCAAGCCATTTCCCTCTCTTCCAACTTATTTGTTTTCCTGACCTTCAACCAACATGTCTGATGAAGAATTCTAAGAACATTGACAATAACTTGCAACTATTACAAAACTTTAATTGTCTCAATATAGGTATTATCTCTGGATTTTTGATTTCCATTCTTCACACCAACATAGTGGATTTTTGTTTTGTTTTGACAGAGCAATAGTTGCTGTATAATATACTCTTATATGTTGGAGTCAACTACCTACTGCATGCATAGGGAATTCTTTGATCCTTGACAGTTCCTTTTATTGTTCACTTGCCTACTTTTGACTGTATGTGCTTTTGGCTTTTCTCATTAATTATTTGCAGAACCCATAGTGGCTTCCACTTACGTGAGTTTTCAGAAAAACGTTCATTTGTTGTCACATTGACCAAGAAGTCCTTGAAACTGAACTTTCCAGTTCCTGAAAAATCAAGTTTTTCTATAGTTGAAAGAGACCAAAAATTTTGTTGCATCTTATAATAGAATCCCTGGATAATTTCTCAAACTCTTAAGAAATTGCTAATCATAATCCAGAACACGGGAGAGGCCATGTTTGAATTGCTTGAAATTAACAAGGAAGAGATTCAAACAGAAGATCCAAGAGGCTAGATTCACATAATATAAACAAGAAATAGCCAATCACATTTTAGGCTAACACAGTGTGAAAACACAGCATGAGTGATCAATTTGTGATCCAGTGTTTATGTGAACATAAAAAAATTGGGTTAAATGAATAAACACAAGCTAGTGAAAATGATCCCTTTGAACTACCGGGTGATTTATCAGAATAACACTTGACTTGGCCACTTTCTTCCAACATGGATGTCCTCCAAAAATTCTGTGTGCGGACTTAAAATTCCCCAAATTCTCAGCAATGGGCATGACGGCTGGAATTTTCTGGAGTTGATTCCGACACCTGAAGAGTGCCCAGAGGTCTGTTTTTGGACATTGAAAGGGAACAGTCACAACAATTGCAATTAAATAAGGATGTCCTCTAACATTTGGAAAACCTGGCTAGGTAAGGTTTTCTACGAAATTCTATGAACTGTATACTGGAAAATGTAACATTTGCCACGTTTTGTGTCATTTGGTTTAACCTTAACTGCTGGAACTTTGTTGTGGCCTACTTTTTGCCGATTTTTTTCCCCCACAGGCAACATTTCACAGCTTTGCTGAAACTGAATGTTATAGAATTTTAAAGTGAATCTAATTTTTTGCCCATTTGGGATGGTTGGGAGATATAGACTGAATGAGCAAGAAGTGCAGGCTCACCAGGTATGGAAGTACCCTTTAATGCATCTTGGAACTCTATGGCATCCAGCTTAATTCTCAGAAAGTCTAAAATGGAATCCAGTTCTCCAGGATCAACAGTCCCATCCTTTATCTTGCTGAAGGCCATAACAGCAGAGTGAAATTCTATCATAAGAAAGATCAAGAACAAGCTTTGAAGAAAACCAAAGTATTTTAAATGATGAGTGAAATGGAAATTGCACAAGGTTGCAAAGATCTCTGATTCGAAGATTCTTACAAATGGCAACAATCCAGTTCTACCATTCAAACTTATTACAAAGTTAGCATTTCTAAACAAACAAAACATAACAAGCCCCTGTATCATAACTGACCACTTAATTACAAGGTGTACTGAATTTTAGGACAGAGAATGATGAAACAAAAAGAATAAAGGGAGGAAAGTAATAAAATACTTTTTCAGCTGAAGTATTTTCTATATGAAATATTCTTCCTGGCACTTGGACATATCTCACCTTGCCTTTGCAAGGAGATAAAAATTATTGTTATTATGCCAAACACCTTAATTCCCTCCCTGCTGATATTCCAGTAGTCTTTGCTGTGATTTTTCACATTTTTTAATTTCTGAAGAAATTACATTGCTTTGGAACTGAAAAATAAATTCAATAAAATGTGGTTAAATATTTATAAATATTTTATAAATTCAATAAAATATGGTAAAAATATGGCAAAGCAGTGGAAATTAAGTTTTTTAAAAGTGAGAAGACTCATAACAAGAATTTATTACTGCATTTCATATCATCTACCTTGGAAGCTATTAAAACATATAGTTCACATATATGTTTTTATAGTTCTGTCTTGCAAAAATAGATCATGCCTCTGTTGTCTAGAAGTGTTATAATTTTCCAAAAAGGTAATCTTAAATTATAATTATAATTTGCCTATGTGAACTGGTGACTATGAGGTGACTGTGAATTTGCTATATGTAAAAGGAAATTTGCTGCTACAGTTATGGCTTACAGTGGACAATGAGAATACTAAAGGGGTAGATAGCTTTTACCTTTTAAGATCATCTATCAGGAATAAAGAAATCAGAAATATAAGAAATACAGCATAGTAAAGTCTAACGTAAGGTAGGGCAGCAATGAAGGCCTTGGAAAAGACATTTGGATTTTGTGATGGATCTATACTTTCAAAAATCAGAATCATTCTGTTAATGTTTTTCCTTTGTAACATTCTATGGAAGTAAAAGTTGATTTTGAAAAAGCAAGATATAACAGTATGGACACTTTTAGTTGTCAGAGAATACCATGGAAAATAGGAAAACAAATCAATCATAGAAACAAATCAGTCCAGAATTCTAACTTGAGATACAAATTGCCAGGCTCTAATTAATACAGTGGTTCTCAACCTTTTTAATGCCGCGACCCCCAACCGCTCGTAAGTCGAGGACTACTCAACCGGTCGTAAGTCGAGGACTACTCAACTGGTGCAGCACCATTTGTAGAATGGGACTTTTGGCGGGCTCAGCAGGGCAGAGACAGCCTGGACAATTCCTATTGGCTTTTGAAAGCCAATAGAATTAGACTCTATTCAAGAAAGTCTATTCTATTGGCTTTCAAAAGCTAAGGAAAAGGGGGAAAAAATGGCGGACTGCATTGTTTGGCGACCCCCGTGAAATGGTCGTTCGACCCCAAATGGGGTCCCGACTCACAGGTTGAGAACCACTGAATTAATACATTGTGGAAGCATTATGCAAAGACTCAGCTCCTTGTGAAGTCCAAAATGCTGGGAAGAAAAGGCAGAACTGAATGACCAGTAGCAAGCTGGTTGAACTCACTTAAACAGCCATGCACCTATTTTGGGGGATCCACAGGGCCAGACTGAGAACAAACCATCCTGAAGAAGGTCTGTTTCTACGACCACTAATGATTGACTGTGGTTTAATTACACTTATGATATTTTCTTTGTTGAGCAACTTAAATGGTTCCCATTTTATGAATTAAATTGATGAAAGAAATCATCCACAGATTAAAAACTGACAATAAATCACATGCTAAGTACTACATATATATGTGTGGGCAACTGGATATGCAATTGAGAATTTTTCGTCATTCTTGCCTCAAATTTCATAAGACATTAAATAGCAACATTTGATCAATGAACTGAAGCTATTTAAATAAGCCACCACTTATTAATAGACATCACATTGCAAATTTCTGGGTTAAAATTATCCAATAGATCAGTGGTGGTGAACCTATGGCACGGGTGCCAGAGGCGGCACTCACAGCCCCCTCTGTGGGCACACACGCCATCGCTCCAGTCCTAGGCCTTCAGCTGGGTTTTATAAAATCTTTTCGCTTTAGGCCTCCACCGCCGTGTACAAAAAAAAAAGGTTCAATCAATCAGTCAATTTCAACTTCTCACGGAAAAAAAAAGATTTTGCAAAGTTGGAATTGATTGATTGAACTTTTTAGTCCCACCCAGTCTGCTGTTATCACCGCAGCCACGCCCACCCAATGGGCCACGCCTGTCCAATGAGCCACACCCACACAATGGGCCACACCCACCTGGCACCCAACGATGCATAAGTGGATTTTGGGTTGCAGTTTGGGCACTCTGTCTCTAAAAGGTTCGCTATCACTGCAATAGATTCTTTATTACAGATCTTTTTCCAATGTAAGGTTTCCAAATGTAAATTTCTTCTGTCCAATTTTTTAAAAATGTAACCACTTTGTTTTCTACCTAATCTTCTGAGATGCTTATTATTTTTCTGTTCAATTTTTTATACTTCGGGTTTTTTTTTTTTAACAGATTCTATTCAATGCTGCAAAAGATTCTGTTTGGATAATACCTCAACAGTAGTTTTTTTTTAACATTCTGAGAGACAAATGTTCATCTCCTACCAAAGTAATGGCTGTGTTTTTAAGAACCTCACCTAAAGAGTCCCTGAAGTACTGCATCTTAGGAAGAGTCATCAGAAAGTCTTTTAGATTTACAGTCCCATCAGCTAGTAGGAAAAGAAGGTACATAAAGCAACCATTAAATCATAAAAATGTCTGGTCATAAAAATATTCCTAGATAAGAGAGAGTTGTTTTGAAGCCTTGGGCAGATTTACCTGCCCAAATGTCATAAAAGACTTTCAATGCAATCATTTAAGCATTTTGATTAAAAATAACATTTTTATCACATTTGTTACTATGCAGTTATTTCTATCAAGGTTTATGGTTTATTATAAGCAATACCCATGATCAAAAGTTAACATGTTCATGTTCTTGAAGAATATCTATGAATATAAATCTTTACTGATTTTCTGGAAAGGAATTTCAAAATACATAGTGTAATATTAAAATCAATAAATACCAATCACCAAGAGGAAAGTAGTAAAAAATTTAATGAGCTTTCGTTGGGATCATCCAACATCATCAGGGCTTTAAAAGTAGTCACTGGGAAAGAGCCTTTATACGATGTTAGCAGCCTGTATCCGGCTTGTTCCCCTCCCCCCTCATCCTCGTGTATATGACACCATGCTTTGGGGGGCTGCAGTTCTTCCTTGATCTCACTGTCAAATTCCTCCGTCTCTTACAACCATGATCCAAGTGTGCCACCTCCTCTTTGCTACGTATTCCCCTATCCACAGACGCCACCCCCATCTGATCGTTATCCAATCCCCCGGTCCCCTCACCACATCCATCAAAGTGTTTCTTTATTGCACAGGCGATAGTGTGTTGATGACCAACATGCAGCCGGCTAGCTTCCTGTTCGTTCTTGCCCGCCGGGGAGCTTCCTCGCTTCTGGCCACTGATGACTGATTCGGCATTCTAGCAATGGGGGGCCGATTCCGATGTCACACTCCCAGCGCCAAGCACGTCGGGCGCGTGTTCCCGTAGCAACTCACAAGATCTTCACTCATCCCTTCATCTCCCATCACAGATGTCCCATCCCATTTGTCGGCAACAATCTCTTCCTCCCCCTGATCACGGGAGCCGTCCTCGTTCGTAAGCTGGGAATCTCTTTCCCTCTTCTGATGGGATCGAGTCATCATGGTGTGTTTACCCGATTTACTGTCTGGGGAGGTTTTTAAGGAGGTTTGTTGAGGTTGTTGGCCCATCCCGGAGCAGGTGGATATAGCTGATGGGGGGGTGTATGAGCCCATATCAATCCGGTTATGTGATAAAGTGGCAGCAGCGTTCCTTTCCCGATCCGGGCATGACCCATACATCAATCCTCTCCGGTGATTGAGGGGCCTGTTCATGTGCCAAGTTCTTAACGTTTGCTGTGCTGGGCACATATCCACATGTTGGTTGATGAAGTCCTTTCCAGAGAACCACACCTCTTTTAATAGTCGGCCCCCTTTGGTGGCATCACTCGCTAAGATCTGAATACGGTCAAAATCAAAACGGTGGCCATTTTCAACCATATGCAACCAGACCTGCGAGTGTTGCTCGCCCCTCTTAATTGCCAACTCATGTTCGTGCAGGTGAGTCTTCAACCTCTTAGATGTTTCACCCATGTAATTACGTGGGCAGTCCATGCACTTAATTTTGTACACCACCGCTGATCTTTCTGCGGTGGGGAGTTGGTCTTTGGAGTGCATGATCTTTGATCACAAAGTCTGGTCCGGTCTATGAGCCACCTTGATGTTGTAGGAGGCCAACAATCTAGCTGTGGCCTTAGAGACATTGTTGATATACGGTAAGGTGATGCGTGTGGTCTGCCCCTGAGATTCCTCTTCATGGTTACGTCGGGGTCCAAGTGTCCTACTATGGCGTCTTATGAAACCCAACGGGTATCCATTCAACTGAAAGACATGGTACAAATGCTTCCTCTCTTCTATTCTAGATTTCACCGTGCTGCAATGCGAATGTATATGCCCAAACAGCATTTTGATGCAACCAACTTTATGGGCTACCGGATGGTTACTGTTATAGTGGAGGATTCAATCCGTGTGAGTGGGCTTACGATAGACCTTCGTGCTTACAGAGCCATCTGGTAAGCGCTGGAGTAATACATCCAGGAAGGCTATCGAGCCCTGGTTCTCCTCCTCCACTGTAAACTTAATGTTTGGGTAGATTTAGTTCAGTATTCCCATAAAGTTGGTTTTATCGCATCGTTTAACGACGACAAAAGTGTTGTCCACATACCGGGCCCAAAACTTGGGCCAGTACTGGGACATAGCCTCATGTTCCAACTGTTGGAGGACCGCCTCTGCTATCACGCTGGATATAGGGGAGCCCATGGGGGTGCCTTTTATCTGTTCATATACGACACCTTGAAAGGTGAAATATGTGGTCAGGCAGAATTCTACAAGTTTTAACAAGTCTTCCACGCGCAGGGAGTCCCGGCATTGAGTACTTTCTCGTGCCTTCAACTGTTCTTTAAGAACAGCCATTGCAAGACCCCGAGGGATGGAGGTAAAGAGCAAGGTGACGTCAAACGATACCATCACCTCGTCTTCCTTCACCCTCAGGTTCTGGATTTTACCCAAGAACTCCTCTGCCAATTTAATTGTGGTAAGACTATCCTCCACCAGGTAGGAAATGCGTTCACTCAGCCACTTCGCTAATCCCGAAATGGGTGTACCCCTAAAGGAGATGATAGGGCGAAGCGGCGTGCCTTCCTTATGGATTTTAGGAAGTCCGTAAAACCTGGGGAGAGCTGAATCCTTAGGACGCATTCTCCTTAAGGTGTTCTCATCTACTCTTTTGGCACGCTTAAAATTGTTCAATAATTTGTTGATCTTATTCACCATAGATGCCATGGGATCCTTCCCAACCACTCTATAAGCCATTGTATCCTCAAGGAGTTCTAATCCCTTGGTCACATACAGCACCCTATTCATTACCACAGTGGCCCTACCTTTGTCTGCTGGTAATATGATTATAGACTCATCACTTTTGAGTTGTTCTAGGGCCACAGAATCCTCCCTGGATAGGGTCTGGTAGTGCCTATGTTGCATAAGCAGTCCTTTGACTTGCTGTTTTATAGAGTTTCTGGAATCCTCCCCTACACCCCCGTGATACATGGCAGGTTCTAAAGCTGCTATAAAGTCCAACAAGTGTGCATCCATGAGGTTATGTCCTATATCGCGCTGCAGCAAGGTGAGCTGAGAGTGTGATATATATATACCACCACAACTTGCTATAGTATTTTTCCCAATGAACCCAGATATTGAACTTACCAAACCAAAATATAGGCTGTTTCACCTTATTAAAAAAAAAACACCTTACCATCCACATCAATATCCTGCAAAATTTCTTGGATTTTTTCCTCTGTCAAATGAAGACCCAACTTATCTATAGTGTCCTGCAGTTCATTTGTATGTAGTTGGTCACCATGCATTTTATCAACAATGGTAATTACATGCTGTAAAGCTAGAGAAAGACGAGGAAAAGAACAATGTTTCAAGGAAATGTACCATAAAGAAGAGGCCAAAATACCCTAAAGGAATTCCACCCACATTATATCTGGTCTCTTATCCCAGGAGGAAAATACAGAAAGGGTTAATTCTAGAGGAGTGTAGTAAAATGAATACAAAATCTGATGCTATCTTAGATCCATCTACTTGGTCAAAGATATGAAGAAATGGTAGCAACCTGACTCCAAGACCTTTAAACCAGACTTCCACAAAGGGAGTAAAGGAGTGATTCCAGGATCATAGAGCCAGATCCTTAAAGTCCTGGAGTCTAAATACTAAGGAGCCCAGAGTGAGGAACCAGAATAAGGCCCAGCTCAAAAGAATGCAAAGAACTAATGAAATTTTAGGGAGAAATAAGGGCATAAAAATAAGCGCGTGCTGTGGATTTAGAAACTGAGGCACTCTACCTATAAACCCTAACACTTTAAACTGGGCTTCCCTTGAAGAAAGAGCCCACTAAAACAAGTAACATTTATTGCACATATCTGCTAACAAAAAAATTCAGATTTATTTGAACTTACCTTCTATTTCAGTGAAATCTTTAGTTTCACCCAGTGCTAGCAAAAACTCTTTGAAATCTATTTCATCATTTTCTGAAAAACATTTTGTTTTTTATTTAATGCACAGGACACTTCTGGGACAAAGGAAAACACACACAAGAAAGTATTCCTTATTGTTTGGTGGGAATTGCACATACTTTAGCTATATAAAAATGAAACAAAACTTTAACTTGGTGCTAATATTTTTATATTCCCTTTTCTCCCAGTGAAGTATTTGCCATATTATATATTTCTCTGTGGATTAGAAAATAATAGATAATAATAATAGAGAGTGCTTGCACTTAAAGCGGTATATAAGTCTCATAAAATAAATAAATAAATAATAAATAATCTTACTTAGTTAAGAATATGATTTACAATGCTTTCAACTAAACCTGTGATTGTTTTCACCCCCAGTTTTTGTGCACCTTGGAGGAGACTGTTGAAACTTAAATTATGCAAAATAAATAGTTTACCTCTAATTCTCACAACAAAGAGCAAGAGAAAAAAGATAAGGCCTCAGGGATAGATGTTTACTGGATAAATGTTTAAATGTTAAGATGTGTCCGTGGCTTGTTGAAGGAGTAGTTGTACAACTTATTTAAAGATTGTTGTCAACCTTATGAGGTAGTTCAGAGAAGCTCTAACTTTATTGTAAGATTAACATAATCTTCCAAGTCTGAAAGTACATCTCTTTCCTCTTGCCTTTACGGTCCAAGAAACTAGGAAGGGTCATTTCTGAGATGTTTGCCATGCCCCCATTTCTTCTCTGAATTCAGCTACCCCCATCTTACCATTGTCTAATCTGCAGCTCTTCGTGTCTTCCAAGGTCATACCATTACATCTATATACATAACGCCAGGCTTCTTAAAATGAGAATTGGGTATGTGTAGAGAAATTTAAAAAGCTGAATTTAATGGGAATGGGAAACTTATGGGTACATAAAACAAGAAGTGGTAGGAACAAGAAAGAAGAGTTGACAAATAAATATGGAATGAATGAAGAAGTAAGTGACCCAGCATTTATATTGTATATTGTATTTATACTGTATTTAAACTCCATTTCAACCTCTGCCAGAACTGCTGGGACATGCTATACTGCATTCAGCTGATGCAAGAGCTGTAAGTCTTGGGAGATTCCACCAGAATAGTAGATAGGCCCTGATTGGATCTCCATTGTATTTATATTGTATTTATACTGTATTTAAACTCCATTTCAACCGCCGCCAGAGCTGCCGGGACGTGCTATACTGAATTCAGCTGATGCAAGAGCTGTAAGTCTTGGGAGATTCCACCAGGATAGTAGATAGGCCCTGATTGGATCTCCATTGTATTTATATTGCATTTATTCTGTATTTAAACTCCATATAATTATATAATTATATAACTAAAAATCAAAAACAGCAGTAGTACATTCAGGGCAAGTGGATCTGAGATTCCCTATATCTAAGAATGTCTGGCTTAGTTCAGTGCAACCCTTGCTTTGCAGCTGTCTTCCACAGTACCCTTTTCAAACTTGGAAACTGTCCTATCTGTAAACAAATCACTAGCCTACAAGGACAGATTACTTATCTAGGCTCTGTAATCTCTGCTCTTCAGGCAGAAATTAGGTGTCCAGTTCAGCCCCTCTATTCTAGTAAGCCTCCGTGCTATCAGCCCTCTCTACCACAAAGATTCTGCAGGAGAAGGGCAGTGTGGACAACCGTGGGATCTGGCAGGGTGAGAGCTGTGAACCATAAATGCAAAGCTTTCGCTGTGTCTCTGCACAACAGTTATAGTACCCTTGCTGACCTTAATAGGGACATTAAGGAGACAGGTAAAGGTATTTGTGAAGATAACTCAAATAAGCAGGGGATTGTGGTCTGAGATGAAGAACTAGATTTCGACAGGGAGAAGTGGGAATCAGGTATTACACATCAGTCAGGCAAGAACAGAAAGGCATCCAAAAAGAGAAACTACCTTCTGGTAAGTGATTCAATTATAAGGGATGTAAATTTAGGAAAGGACACAGAGGCTTTGAAAGAGGTCCGGTGTCTTCCAGGTGCTACTGCCAGTAGGGACAAGAAGCGTATTTCTAAAATAATCAAGAATGGCAGCAAGGACTGTGATGTGGAGGCTATCGTACATCTTGGCACTAACAATCTGTCGAAAAAAGATGTACTCTTTGTGCAGAATGATTTCCAAAGCTTGGGGAAGGAACTTAGCAGAATAGGCTGTAGGCTTACTTTCTCAGAGGTTTTACCAATGTATAAGGAGCAAAATGGAAAAGGCCAGTGCATAGCACAATTCTATATGTGGCTAAAGGAATGGTGTAAAGGGGAAGGCTTTGGATATATTAGTCACAATGTCTGTAGCTGGTCCAGTGAAAAAGATGTACAAAAGAGATGGTTTGCATCCATCAAAGAAAGGGACTAAGTTACTTGGCTATAAATTCACAGATTTTCTGGAGGAAAATTTAAACTAAACAGCGGGCACAGTGAGTTAATTGATACAGAACAACCCTGTCCCTGGCAATCTAAAAATTATAGGGCTATCAGTGCGTGTAAGAATACCAACCTTGCTGTCAAGAAAAATCAAGCCTCCAATAGCAAGTGCCACACAAAGTGCACTAACCAAATAGGTGGTAAGACAATAGGGGAACTCAGGCACCACACAGGTTATGTAGAAAGTAAACACAGGGCCAGTCATAAAGGACTCAAATGTCTATACACCAATGCATAGAGTATGAACAGCAAACTGGGTGAACTAGAAATTCAGGTTAATGAGGGCAGATATAATATTGTTGCCATTACAGAAACATGGTGGGATGAAACCCACATATGGAACACACAGCTAGAGGGATTTAAATTATTTAAAAGAAACAGACCAAATAAAAGAGGAGGTGGAGTTGCTCTATATGTAAGAGATAACTACATCTCTACACAAATAGAGCACAACAATGATGAAAACTGTCTTGAATGCATTTGGGTCAATATAAAAGGGGGGAGGAAATGACATTGCCATAGGTGTATACTACAGGCCACCCAACCAAACAGAGGAAATAGATGAACTTTTTGCTAGTCAGCTAACTAAGGTATGTAGGAAGCATATCACAATAGTAATGGGGGACTTTAACTACCCTGACATCAACTGGGAGACAAACTCTGCACCAAGTGGAAGATCAAACAGGTTCCTGGCAAACGTAGCAGACAACTTTGTCTCCCAAAAAGTAAAGAAAGGAACTAGGGGATTAGCCATTTTGGATCTATTCTCACTAACAGACATTAAATGATAGAAGGTGTGGAATCTATAGGAACCCTGGGAGGAAGTGATCATGTAATACTGGAATTCAACATTTTGAAGGCAATAGAACACAGTCAAACTAGGGTCTTGGACTTCAAGAGAGCTAATTTCAATAAATTTAGAGATGGCTTGGGAAGGATTTCATGGATGAGAATTCTCAAGGGGAAAACAACTCAAGAAGCTTGGGAAATTTTGAAAAATGAGATAATAAAAGTCCAGTCTAGCACAATACCAACAGAGAGGAAAAATAACAGCTCTCAAAAGAAACCAGGATGGCTGCATAAAGAACTCTCTGACAAATTGAAAGATAAAAAGGACAAGTATAGAAAGTGGAAAGAGGGGCACATAACTAAGTCAGAATATCAGCAAATAGCCCGAGCCTCCAAAGATGAAGTGAGGAAAGCCAAGGCTCAAAATGAACTAAGGCTTGTGACCAAAGTCAAAAATAACAAAAAAAAGCTTCTTTCAACATGTAAAAAACAAGAAAAAAGTGAAGGAAATGATTGGTCTATTAGTGGATGAAAGTGGCAAGAAGGTGACAAGCAACAGGGAGAAAGCAGAACTATTTAACTCGTTTTTTGCATCTGTCTTTACACAAGGGAAAAAACAGACCAACCTATCAAAAATAGTGCCATAAAAAACAGAATAGAAACACAAGTTGAGATAGGCAAAAAAATGGTAAGTGAGCACCTGTCCAGTCTAGACGAGTTCAAATCACCAGGACCAGATGGATTATACCCCAAGGTTCTCAAGGAACTGGCAGATGTGATTTCAGAACCACTGAACTATATTTTCCAAAGATCCTGGAGCACAGGGGAACTACCAGAGGACTGGAAAAGAGCTGATGTAGTTCCCATCTACAAAAAAAGGAAAAAATGGACCCAGGAAATTACAGACCTATCAGCCTGACCTCAATACCTGGGAAGATCCTGGAAAAGATAATCAAACAATAAATCAACAAACACCTAGAGGCAAACAAAGTCATTACTAAAAGCCAACAAGGGTTTGTCAAAAATAGATCATGCCAGACAAATCTTATTGCATTCTTTGATCAAGTGACAAAATTAGTGGATCAGTGGAATGCTGTGGACATAATTTACTTGGACTTCAGTAAAGCATTTGATAAAGTAGATTGCAACCTACTATTTAACAAGATAGAAAAATGTGGGGTAGAAAGCACCACCATCAGATGATCCGTAGCTGGCTGACCGGCTGTATTCAGTGTGTGGTCCTCAATGGAACCGCATCTACATGGAGGGAAGTGTGTAGTGGGGTGCCCCAAGGCTCTGTTCTGGGCCCAGTGCTCTTCAACATCTATATCAACGATTTGGATGAGGGCATACTGTAGATGGGGAACTCATCAAATTTTCAGATGACACCAAAGTGGCAGGAATAGCCAACACTCCAGAAGACAGGCTTAGGATACATGAGGATCTGAACAGACTTGAACACTGGGCGCTATCTAACAAAATGAAATTCAGTGGTGCAAAAAGCAAGGTTCTACATTTAGGCAAGAAAAACCAAATGCACAGGTACAGTGTAAGGGGTACCTTGTTCAATAGTAGTAACTGTGAGAGGGACCTCGGAGTCCTAGTGAACAATCACCTAAATATGAGCCAGCAGTGTGCTGCAGCTGCCAAAAAGGCCAACACAGTGCTAGGCTACATTAACAGAGGGATAGAATCAAGATCACGTGAAGTATTAATACCACTTTACAATGCCTTGGTAAGGCCACACTTGGAATACTGCATCCAGTTTTGGTCACCACGATGTAAAAAAGATGCTGAGACTCTAGAAAGAATACAGAGAAGAGCAACAAAGATGATTAGGGGACTGGAGGCTAAAGCATATAAGGAACAGTTGCTGGAATTGGGTATGTCTAGTTTAATGAAGAGAAGGACGAGGGGGGACATGATAGCAGTGTTCCGATATCTCAAGGGCTGCCACAAAGAAGAGGGTGTCAAGCTATTCTCCAAAGTGCCTGAGGGCAGGACAAGAAGCAACGGGTGGAAACTAATCAAGGAGAGAAGCAACCTAGAACTAAGGATAAACTTCCTGACTGTTAGAACAATTAACCAGTGGAACAACCTGCCTCTAGAAGTGGTGAATGCTCCAACACTGGAGGTTTTTAAGAAGAGACTGGACAGCCATTTGTCCGAAATGGTATAGGGTTTCCTGCCTGAGCAGGGGGTTGGACTAGATGTCCTCCAAGGTCCCTTCCAACTTTACTATTATTAGCACCAAAGAAGTATGTTGAAGTGATTGGATGATATAAAAAGAATGAAGGTCTTTGAAGGGTTTGATGAAATTTTTATCACAAAGACAAAGCTGATGTTTAAAAGACAAGTATGAAATAGCATGGATTTTCCAGGACAGGAAGGCATGGAATGAATAATATTGTGAGCAGTGTAGGTAGTCCTTGCTTAGTGACCACAACTGAGCAACTTCATAGTTAAGCACTGTACTTGTTAAACAGAAAAATCACATGAGGGCAATAGATTTATGATGTCACTTTCCATATAGTCCTTAATCAATATATTATATGACCACATCTTGTGATTTTTAATTTCATGGTCTCTATTAATTCTGCTTGTCAGAAGAATGGTGATCATGTGACCATGAGACACTACAATGGTTGTAAATGTGTGGTAGTTATAATATGCCCAAATGGCAATTATGTGGTTGTGTGATATTATGGCAATTGTAAATGTGAGGTTAAGTTGCAAAACTGGGTGGTTTTTTTTACACTGTTGTAAGTTCAAATGGTTGCTAAACAAGCCAGTTAGTAGGTAAGATCTATCTTTATTGATAGGAATGAGATTTCATCACATTTCCTGTTCTTTGTCTGACCTCATTTTAATTTTTTTTTTTTCATTTTTCTTGTTCTTTTTCAGTGCTTTCCATAACACTGCTTCCCCCAAAATATGCTGGCTATGTATTATGCATGCCAGTGTGTAACCTAATTCCAGTTTGTGATTTGAATGACACTACAGTTGAAGACATCTGAAAAATTCACATTCCTTGGTGAGGAGAGGATGTGTCATTTTTTATGCAATATATGAAAAAGAAGACTGTTTTCATTGACTGCCCATGGAGGCAATCTTCTTTTTTTTCCTTTACAGATGTAGATATTAAGGAAGATGCAAGGAATATCAAAAACCATAATGTTACATTTATCTATTGGCGGCTGTTGAGCTAGTATATAGCTATTCACTGAATGATGTATGTATGTATGTATGTATGTATGTATGTATGTATGTATGTATGTATTTGATTGTTTGATTGATTGATTCATTCATTCATTCAACAACTAAATGTTCAATTCTATTCAGATTTTGAGTTTTTAATTTTAGCATAGCCCAGAAGTTATAGACACAAAGAATAAGGCTTTGTCTTACCATCAGTTTTGATAGTTTGAATTATCTGATTGAATGTTGAACTAGGTAAGTCAACACCCATATTCTCTAGAGTATCCTCCAACTGTTTGGTAGTCATCTTCTCTTCTTTGAGGTTTTCAATAACCTTTGTGGCATTCTGCAATGCTGGAGAACATGAATTGTTAGAAGAAAGAAGAGGCTGCTGTAATTTTCAGATCACCCAGTGCTTTGCAGAAGAAACAAAGTTTGGGAAGTTGTGGATCTGCCAAGCCAGGACATGACTGTTAAGTGGCCAAAAAAGGAAAGAGAGAAAGGAAAACCTGACCCTGGGAACTGACTCTTCTCTTTTTTATTTATTTCCATTTCATTTGGTATTTGGAGAACTTCTGCCCTCTGCCTTCCATGCAAAATTTGAGTTTTTTTCACTCACATTTCAATTGCTTACCTTTGAAATCAGAAATGCTGGACAAAATCTTGAGGAATTCAGTCCCATGAACTTTCCCTGATTCTTCAATGGTTTGAACAAAAAAAGAAAAATGAACAAACAAGAGATCAGCAACTGGACAAAAGCTGTTGTGCTATGGTGTCCTGAGGAGGGGGCACACCACTGCCTTTTGAAGAGCCAGCAGAATCACTCCCTATCTCAAAGAGGAATTAACCACTGACCAAAACCAATAATAATGCATCCCCTCCCTTACAGATTTAGCTAGCCAGGGAGGAGCATGGATCTAAAAGACAAGTGGCTGAACTAGCAGCTGCAAGATTTTGCCTCTGGAACCCAGTTGGGTCTATTAATCAGCTGGGGTGAGCTATTATAATAGACCCAATCTCTCTGTGAAAGGAGGTGGTGCCAGAGAATTGGAGGCTCACACCGGAGTGATTCGACCATAACAAGAAGGAAACCACTCTCTTCCCCAAATCCAGAACATGGTGCTACTGTTCTGATAGGAAAAAACTCTGTCAAGTATATTACCACCTTTATGTGTCAGGCTCTGGATGACTTGGGATAAGCCCATGGCAGCCATGGTGGACATAAACTCTTGAGCTATCTCTGTTCCCAGATCCAGAGAAGGTAAATTAAAGTTCCCAAGGTCACCATCCCAGCCAAAAAGCTTAGGCATAGAAGCTGTTGTACACCTCTTGGTATCCAACTTAATAAACTGTCTTACACCCAAGAATTTGAAGAACAGGGCCTCTGGATGCTTCTTAAGTATCTCAGATTACCATTTTCCTATTCTGGATTCATATTTTTAATCACATTAGAACCCAAGCCTCAGAGACAAGAATGAGATAGAATACTGATATATTAGAGAATGAAATAGCCAGAAAAACTGGGTTGTCTGTGGGCAAGAGAGTAAAAAACCCCTCAAGAATGCAACTGTGATCAAGTGATGGAAGCCCTCCCCTCTTTTAGGCACATAAAAAAGGAGAGAGGCTTCAATTGCATGGATATGGCTGTCATCTTGCATGTAGGTGTCCTTGCAAAGAAACACACCTTTGTCAGTTTTATCTTCAAAAATATTTAATGGAGGCCTTTAAACAGAAAGGAAAACAGTGTTTTTTTCCTCCCCAATAATCTATCAATTTATTAAAGACTTACCATCAATGGAAGCAAATGCCAGAATTTCTTGCAGATCATCAGGTGTCAGGTGGCTGCCTAAGTTTTCTAGGGCATCCAGCAACTCTTCCTTTTTAATGTCCTCTTTTACAATCTTGAGGATAATACTGAAAGTATTCTGTAAAGCTTCAGGACACAAATTTCAAAATGAGCTCAGCCTTGCTTATTCCTAGCCTATTCTCTGACATTCCTCAAACAAGATTTGAAGCAAAGTGATCTTGTGAAGCCATATTTAATGTTGATAGAATGGACTCTTTCAATGCAAACATGGAACTTACTCCCAACTGAATCAATGAAAGATGGTAATTACTGGAGCTCATCAAATGAGGTCCATTCATCTTCTGAAAATGATGTGGAGAAGTAATTTTGAAATATACAGAAGCTTTGCCTGATGGGGCAGTTAATGCTAGTAGCATTTCAAAGAGATACTTCCCATGTATCATTTAGAATGTGAGAACCAATTCTAGCCTTTCAATATATGTCAAATCATAATGTATATCCTGATTTCTCAGAAGTTGTAGCCGACTCACTACTTTTGCACATTAACTCTTGAGCTAACTGTGCACTTTTCAGGATGAATTAAGATGGTAGATAACAGAATTCCTAGGTTAAAAAAAAATATGAATATTACCACCAGTTTGGTATAAGGAGGCATTCAAGTTTGAACTATTTTTTCCTGCTCCCAGAAAGGAAGAAAATAGTACAAACAGAAGTGAGCTTTCCTCGAGAAAAAACTGATCTTACATATGCCACAAAATAATTGCAGAAATGATGTGAATGATTACTTACATTGTCTACAACCTGATGCCTAACACACCTGACATAAATTATAGCATTCCTCCTATCTGTGGGATGATGGCTTCAGGGATAACCTTCTACCCAGATTATACATTTTAGAGCTGACCTTGGAGATAGGGAAGGAATAATTTAGCAGATAAGGGGAGAAGGAATGAATAGCTATTAAGGAGGAAGTTGTAGAGAAGCTCACATGGTGCTGAGAAAGAAATTTAAAATGTCATGATATAAAGTGGGACAGACTGGTTTCTTCTGTCCAATTCTTGGAGCAGCCTGAAGTTTTTTTGGCAAAGTTTTTTCAGAACTGATTTGCATTGCCTCCTTCCCAAGGCTGAGAAAAAATGACTGGCCCAAGGTCACCAAGCTCGCTTGGTGACTAAGATGGACTAGCTTATGGTCTCCTGGTTTCTAGTATTTTGTTACTCTAATTTATTACAATAAAGCACATTTCTGAAGTCTGTGATATCCTTTTTTTTTTTAAACCCAACTGATCTCAAAAGGTTGATATTGGACCCTAATGGCAGAATTCTTTTGTATTTTATGCTCTATCAGGCTCTTCTTTTCAGATCTTTTCAGTAGCTAAGCTTAGTAGAAACTGTGCTAGAGCATATCTAAAGCCAACACGAAGGGTAACTTTTCTCTGTTAATATTATTGTATTTATTAATTTTTTAACCCTGTGAGGTAGGATGAACAGAGAGAATACCTGGCCCACAGTCATTCAATGTGTTTCTATAGTGAAGGATGGACATGGACCTGAGTCTCCACAATTCTGTCCCAATAATGTAATCACAATATCACTAGGTGGTGATAAATCAGATAAATAATGTGCTTTGAAAATAATTTGTAACCGGGGCTTTGGATTTCATATCACCATAGACTGTGAGATACCAAATTTGTATGAGGTCCACAGATGCAATGTACTATTCTGAAGCACATTGAACCTTGCTCTGAATCCATTCCCATTTGAACTGACGTGTCTTTACAAAAGATAAGAGATATGTAACAATTTGGTGGGTAAATACTGCAAAAATATGTTTTATTTTAGGGCAAACATATCTAATGTTGTACTTTTGAGCAATAAACAAATGGAAATTTGGCCTTATTTTGAAATACTTTTTTGAATTTTGCAATTTGGTTCCCAATCAACTGATTAAACAAGCTTCATATATTAAGGAAAAGTGTGCAAAATAAATATATAGAAAAGGAAATAATTTTAAAATATATGGTACATTGGGGAAAATTGACTTCAAAAATTATATATGAATGTTAGGAAATATCCTCCCAATGTATATTAATTTTGATATGTGATTAAAACAGACTGAAATTTAAGTTGGAAAACATGAAAAGTGCAAAGATGTTTACCAATTTATTAGTATCTATGCAAATACTATCATATTTTCTGGTCTTACCATGAAATTCTTCAAAGGACTCTGTACTGATTATTTCTTTCACAATATCATTAAAATGTACTGTCCCATCTTCTATAAGGAACAGAACAACAAATTGGTTGAATGGAAGTAATAATATATGCATGACAAATCTAGGTTCTGAAAATATTTCTAGAATATTGTTTTGAGGAAAGTTACTGTGTTCTTTGATATTACAAGAATTAGTGATTAGAGATCTGATAAAAAATACTTTGACTTTATACAATGTTTACCAAGGATCACCACTGAATGCAGCTTATTTACTCTAAATAAACATGCCACCATTTAAATTTTTAATACAAGATATTAAAAAAATATCTTATTTATCTTATGCAAGAGAAATAAATGTGGATTAGGTAGTAAGAAAACTTGGCAAAATCATTGTTAAGAAATAATTATGACTGAACTAAGAACTCAAAACCTTTTAATAAACATTGAGGGTACTAAAACACCAGCCTTCTCTAATTTGATGTTTTCTAGTTGGGTTGCAGTTCCCAGAATATGCAGCCTGGTGTAAATGTGTATTGTCACACTGGTAAAGAGGCTAGTAGCCATTGTGTAAACAGTATCGAAGTGCAGATTAGGCCTTATTCTAAAAAAAAAAAGGCTTTTCTCCCTTTGAAGGCATGGGACAGATAAAATAAGGAATTGTTTTGTGTTTTCTATATGTAGTTCTAGTTGTTAGAAATCTCATGTTGTCACCTTAATATTTTATTTTAATAAATATTGCTAATTAGAAGCTAGAGAGGTAAATCTGTTCCTAAACATGATGAAAACAAAATGATGAAATGACACAACATGAGCTTTGTACTTGCATTGCAACACTGCATACAAATAGGTAAGGAACAGAGTTTGTATCATGATGTTGCAATACATGTTTTGTCAATCTATCCAGTCCCATTAATACCTATCCTGATTGCTGCTACAAGGTTTTGACACCTACATGTCCAGCAACCCTATTTTGAATTGTAGTTCTAACATATCTGGGGGATCTTAAATTAGTGAAGCTGATATATGAGGGTTGACATATGGCCTCCTTATGTATAGCATATGTGATGCTATCATGAGCATGTTTCCTCATGATCATCTTTCACTACCAGCTCAGGAAAGAAAAAAAGTATTAAATATTCTTACATCTCTTTACTGCCATCTAGTGACCATCTGCATTTTTGCAGTCCATATACTATCACTATCATAAGACTAGAAAGAATTTTATTACGTTTTTTCTGTCAGTAGTGGAAATATGAAGGAATGAATTTTATTATTTAAGTAATGATAAAATATCTGTATGCTGGAATACTGATATTGAAATAAGTACTAATCTCACCAGTGACTGTTACTGAGTTGCATAGTGATTGCATTTCATCCGGTGTCAAGCTGATACCCATGATAGTCAAGGTTTTTGTCAGGTCATTGACATTAACCTCCTGGTCTATGATATTATGCATTGCATCAAGAGTATCCATCAGCACTGCCAAAGAAATATTTGTATCCACATTCAGTTGCACATTTATTTCACCAACTGAAAAAGCAATGTTATTCCTCTTAAAACAGCATTTCAAGTGCTATATTCAACAAACTCAAATGAGGGCAGGGTTAAGTTGTCCTTATTCCATCTTTATTTTTCCTCTATTTCGTACAGTTGCTTTGCCTTTACAGTAAACAAGATCAACAGTCAAGAGAAAATCTTACCCAGCAGCTTGTTTGTAACTCCTTAAACCGCCACGTCTTTTCTCAGAATTGTGCCAGGAGAAGAACCAGCTACTTTAAAGAGTTAAAAAGGATGCTATATTTCTACCCCTACATACAAGGAAGTACTTTTTAAAAGAATCATAGAATTCCACAACAGAACATCATTCTTGAGACTTGAGGCTTGAGACTGAAAGTAAGTTCCAGGAGTCAATATTGAATATGTATACTCTAAGATATGATTGATGGCTAGAGGCCAGGTTTCCCTCCAAGAGTTGAACCCATAACACAAGGCACCAGGCTGGAGAAGATGATGCTAGGAAGACTATAAAAAACAGCTATAGAATAGAAAAATAAAATATTAGCCTTACCTTCTGGGATCTCTGGCATTACAGTTAAAACCCTTATGAATTCCTCTAAATTAACCTTACCATTACCTGCAAGGCAAAAGATGGGTTATGTTGAAATGCAGAAAAGAATAACTAAACAGTGATTTCAGGAATGCCACCTCATACTAAGAATGCTTACTGTCAACTTTGGCTACATTCATCACTTCTTTCAGTAGTTCACTGGCCTTGAAAAGTTCCATAGTGTCCAGGCTGGATTGAAGAGTCTGGAGATCAAAGTGATCATCTTTGAATTTGCTCAGGGCCAAGCAGATGAGTTGCAGTTCTATAAAAACATCACTCCAAGGTTAGCAAAACACAAGAGAAAAGCTTTTTACATCATCATTATCTGCATGACTAGGATATTTAAATAATCTGCCATGGTTTTGTTGTGGTTAGGGATGATGAGAAATGTAACTTCAACATATCTGGAGCTAACTAAATTAGGAAAGGTTGGCTTATACTAGTAAATATATTATGAAAGAAACAAGAAGGAAAAACATTATTCAAACAATTTCCCATTTTTAGTTCACCAAGCTGTTTCCAAATCTTCCATTTGGGTTATTCAAATTCATGAAATCTGTTAATGGTTATTATTAGTACTATAATACTAATAATAGTATTATTACTAATACTACTAATTAGTACTATAATACTAATAATAGTATCTGCCCCGATATATGTATTGAAGTCAGTACTTATATAGAGGCAAATAAATGTGAGAATATACAAATGTGAAAATTTCTAGGAGCTCTTTAGAGCAGTTAATGGAAATCTATAGCAGCAAATAATGTAACTTTAATCCAAAATTATGTCATTCTTTGCTTGATCCTCTGTTATTCTCTTTATCTACTGTCAAAAACCTTCTTTTCTCACTCAAGACATTCCTCATTACCTGTTTATCAAGTTGTCTCTTACTCTTAGCAATTAATTGCAAAAAACAGGATAGTTTGTATGTCTAATACTTAAAGATAATTTCAAATAAATTTTCACTCACCTGGGTTGATAACAAAAGTATCAGTATAGATCACATTTCTGATGAAATCTTTTAGATTTAATGTATTGTTATCTGAAAATGGAAGGGGAATGGAAAGAAGGCACAGAAAAATAAGAATAGAAGAATAATCTTTGTATGAATATAATATATAACATAGTATAGTACAGTATAGCATATAGTACATAGTATATAGAATATAATATATGGTATATAGTAGTACTATATACTTCTTGGATGAGAAGCGAAACTCTTCAAGGAAAAACAAAGTTCAGTTGCCTTTTACAAAAGCACTTGTGGGACAACAATGATCTGGATGACTGAGAATCTCCATTGACATATATCCCTAAAAGTCTCAAGAAAAATGGTACACACCATCAACATTGCAAAAGGCCAGTGCTTCTGACATCTCCTCTGTTGGCAAGTTGATATTGAAGCTCTGCATAAGCATCTGCAACTCTGTGAATTCAATTCTTCCATTTTTCATTTTGGCCAGAATTTCAAAACCATCTCCCAAGGCTAGAGGAGATGGAGACATAAAAGGGAAAGCAATTGGACTGAGGATAAAACATAATGATGCTGGATAATTCAGACTAATTTATGGGACCCATTTAAAAACGCATTTAAGGGTGTGGTGATATATGATCTGAATTGGGTAGGAGTAACTGCCTGCATGGGGGCAGAAGTATATACAGTAAATCAGCAAATTGATTAGGACTTCTTGCATTCAAAGTTTTTAAATGGCACAGGAACAACCGAAAAAAAATTCTATGTATCCATTCTTTGTATTCTTTCTACTCTGTCCCCATAAGTCACATTTTTGGGGGGTAGAAAATGGGAAGAAAAATAATAGTTGTTAATCCATATAAGTACCAACCGATTGGGCCAAACAGGAAGTGTTAGCTTTCTAGACTCCTTTGCGGTGCCTACAAGAATGTGAAAGAAAGACCACTTCACCTTTCCATGGGGCCATTGGAAGTCTTGTGCTGCTAGCCCAGGAGGTTAGGCTATTGCCTCCTGATTTAGAGCATATCTACACTTTGTCCTTGACTCAGCACCAGAATAGGCTAGTTGCCACTTCCTGAGTGCAGGAATGGATAATGTGGCATTCCTTCCATGTACAGCACACTGCAAATGCACTCTGTGTCTTCATTTTCCAGATTTGGTTCATAGTGGCTGTTTTGCAATCTGAGGATTCTTAAACCCTTCAGAACACAAAGCCTCTAGTGCTTCAGTTTTTTTTCTAGTAGGTGCCCCATCTCTGATGGGCTTCAGATTCTGGCACTTCCCTTTGCCTCCACTGGCTAGTCACTGTTATGTTTTCTGTATTTTAAAAACAATTTTGCAATTGATCCAGTGATGACCTTTTAACTTAACTTAATAAACTATCATCAACCTTAGGCATACATACGATCTTCACCTTTTATATCTTCTGGATATCCTTTTGGATTCTGCCCAGGTTAGTTAAGTCTAAATTGGCTTAAAAATGTTCTGTCAGAAAATGAAATGATGGGACTATGTACTTCATACTGTGTGCTTTGTATTGTGTTCCTTGTACCAAGTGCACTGTATGTTGTACTGCACGTTGTATTGTACTGGTTTTAGAAAAACCCTAAGTCAGGAAGACCTAGCTACCTAGCAAAAGGAAGGGAAATAATAATTAAAATATACATGCACATTTCTGCTAGAGCACATTTTGAAGCAGAGAGCTCTTGCACAAGAGGCAACATTCTTAATCACTGTATTGTTTTAATACTAATGATTAATAGGGACTCAGAGTAGGCAACTTTGTCTTACTTGCATGGTGTTTCTTCTCCTAGAAATAGCAATGAACTGTTAGGGTAAGCCTTTGAGGAAATAAAGTGCAGTTAGAACAATTAACCAATGGAACAACCTGCCTCCAGAAGCAGTGAATGCTCCAACACTGGAAGTTTTTAAGAAGAGACTGGACAGCCATTTGTCTGAAATGGTGTAGGGTTTCCTGCCTGAGCAGGGGGTTGGACTCAATGACCTCCAAGGTCCCTTCCAACTTTTTTTATCATTATCATTATTATTAACTACAAAGAGAAAGTCTATTGGTGGTAAGATTTGCAGTGAGAAAGAAGTTGGGCGACACTGACAGTAGCATTTTCTGACCTGAAAAAAATGGTCACTATTGCATTCTAGTAACAGAGCAACTAGTCAGGCTCTATCCTTAACTTTGCACAACTTTTCAGACTCTGTTTCTGGGGCTCCTACGTGCTTTTGCTATTAAATGCTCTGATCTTCCAAGTCTGTCAAATACCACTGCTCATTGCTTGTGGAAATTATCTGGCAATCTAGAATAAAAGAAAGCTGAAATGCCACTGTTTTATTGCAGATTTGATGGATGACTAACACCTTGCAGAAAAAAAATCTTTGCTTTCATTTGGTAATGCTAGCACACTTGTGAAAATAGACATTATTACAAGGAGCTCACAAATTCTGAAGGATCTCATTCTCAAAGCAATATCCTTCCAATTTTCTATCACTCATGGAAATGGAAGATTTATAACAATAAAAATGTAAACTTTTTAAAAGAAATGATTAGTTCTGTGCTCTCTCTCAGAGCACCTTGTGCCTTTAAGGGACGTCCAGATCATACCTGCAGAAGTTTTAAGTTGCTGATTCTTTGTCAATATCCTCAAGAAGTTATTGAATTTTGCCTGTCCAGCTTCTTCAAGTTTCATTGGGAAAGAGATAAACAATTATTGCAAATTGTGAAATTCTCCCCACTAATACTTTGTAGTTTGTTATCAAAATTAAGAACATAAATTTAAATTCAAATTGATCAAGGTCAAAACAATATCTACCCAAACAACTTTCAAAGATGCTCAAAAAGCTAGAGAGAGCTTTTCATTTAATATCCCCCTTTCCACAAATAGCTCTTCCTTTGTACTACTTATTTCTCATAAATCTTTTCTCTTGAAATACCATGCCAAATTATATCTTCCGATTACCAAAAAAGTTGTGGTTTCTCTGCCTAATACCATTCTAGAATTCCCATAAGATACTAACTCTCCTTCCCATTGATCCAATTAAGTACATTGTTAGAATAAGGCTGGCACATTTACAATTTTTCTCAAACCATTAGGGATGAATGGACTTTTTCAGATAGTGTACTTTGATCAGAAAAATTTTTCTAAATTTTTGAAACAAAATTGCTGCTAACACACTCTGCAAGACTTTGAACTACTAATGGTCAAAGCAGATTGGTGGTAGATAAAACTGAATGCAATTCAAGGGGGGTTGGACTTAGATCTCTTATGGGCATGGAGAGACTTAAGACTGATGATGCATTTGACCCCTCCCTAGTCATCTCTTACACTATTCCTACCTTTTTTCTACAGAACTATTACAATGTTAGGACATCTACATGTCTCCTTGTGGCTTGGCCACTTACCTGTAATGTTTGCTGACCTTAGTGCTTGGCCAATCACCTGGTTAGCCATGGGCAGGTCTACAGTTCTGAAGGTTCCTGTTTCAAGGTTTAGTCGTACTGCTTGGTATTCCTTAATCAACTTGAGAGCTAGGATGCAGTCAAGCACAGCTAGAGAGGCAAGGATCAGCAATGTCATTTATATCTATGCAGAAGAGCAAAGGTTCTCATTTTGAATGAGCATCGCAGCCCACAGGCTTTGATCAACTTATAGGGAATTATGGATAATTCTGTTGGTTGAGTGAAAGGGATTCTTTCTTTTCAAGGACTGCATTAACTTCAGGGAACTATTCCAGGACTGCTTTCTAGCAGTGGGATGGGCCACAGCCCAAAATACATGGGTGGCAGTAGAGGGGAGGAGGTTGAGAATCTATTCTTCTTCATACTTGTGTTCCTGACATCCACAGTTTCCATTCACCAGGTTAAAGATGATCTTTGAATCAGGGGTGTAGGTTACATTCATTAAAGCCAAGCAGTCTTTTGATAACCCATGCATAGGAAACAAAATAGGCCCGAGTGATTCTAATATTAGAAGCACATTGTTTCCTTTTCCTGGTGGTTGTCTGTTTTTCCTCCCAATTAGCCCAAGAACCAAGTCATTTGGTTATTACTGTATTTCTCTAACTGCATTCCAATTCTCTCTCTTTGCCCCCCTTCCCCCCCCCCTCAGGCCTAGCAACTGGTACTACTAAATTCTTTCCTAATGATGCCTGGAAGCTGTGAGAATCTTGTTGGGGGAAGAAGAGGTTTTGGTTCAATCCTAGTTATGTCTACTTGTTTTAGAGCCCCTGGTTCTAGAGATTTTCCATCTAATTTTGTATGGGTATACTCCCCCAATCAGAGTTGGTGTACAGCTTGGGTGTCCTCCTGCATGAAGGGTAGCCATGGTCAGGGGAGCTTTTACACATGTTTTTTTTTCCAGTTATGCCAATTCCTAGACAGTGAGGTCCTATTCAGAATGCTCATATCTTTAGTACTTCTCATATGGATTACTACAGCGCACTCCATATGGAGATGCCCTTGAAGAGCATTCAAAAACTATAGCTGGTCCTGAATGCAACTATCTTGGTATTTCTCATTATATTCATGTAAAATCATTGCTCTGCAAACTGCCCTGGCTCCCAGTAAGCTTCCAGATGGTTATCTCCTATAAAATCTTCATGATATGCCAGGCTATCTGCAGGAGCACCTTTCTCCCACTGTTTCTGCTTGCCTCACTAGATCTAGAGAAGGTATGCTTCAGGTTCCTTCTATCAAACAATGTTTCTTGTTGGACCTTGGAGTCATGTCTTCTTGGTGGCAGTGCTATCCTATGGAACAGCATCCCCGTGGAGATTTGGATGGTCCCAAGCCTGTTAGACTTTTGTATGGCACTGAAGAACTGGCTTTTTTCATAGACTTTTGGGTCAGCTTAATTGAGTGTTTGTTGAGTATTGTTGATGTATTTTTTTTCTCCTTGTGAGTAGGATTATTGTATATCATTGGGTGTCTGGAGTTATATGATATAAAAGTTTTGTTTTTTAAATCCTTGTATGCCATCTAGAGTCACTTGCGTGAGATGGATGACTATATAAATAAAAAAATGACTGACTGATTATATATTATCAACTGATGTGGAAAAGTTGCATATAAATCCCACAGAAAAGAGCTCATACAGAGCTATACTTTACCAGTATAATTTTTTAACCGTCTAGTTTCCTTCATAGCTGATATCAGTTCTTTGACATCCACGGTTTCATCAGCTATTAAAGGAAAAAAAGGAAACCATTAAATGTTATCAAACCAACCAAATGCACTATTAATGTTGTTATAATGACAATAGATAATAACATCACATAAAATGCCAGATTGTCTGCCATATGTGTTGCAGTCAGGAAATCGGCTCAGAAATACAGGAAAGAGAGAAGTTTAAAAATATACAGTATATGCTTTATTTTCACCAGATCATTTAATAAAGAATTAAATGATCACCCATATTTCTTGGCCAAGAATTTCTAACAAAGTGTAAATGATCAAATGAAGCAAAGATGAAATTAGAAAGTTACAATCTGCCTCCCCCCCCCTCAGGAAAAAAACAGGGTGAGCCCTACAGTGCTGGTGTGATGGCACTGGAAGCTTCTTTCCAAATGGAAGACCTCAAACTTACTTGCTTATTTCCATTTCTATGCCATCAATTCCTCAGTATTCAAGTTTCAGTAGCACCAAATGGTCACATGAAGGGCAGAACAAACAGAATCAAAATGCTACAGAGATAAAAGTTTCTGTTCTTACTTGCTCACTATTTCTCAGAGGGTCTTGGGAACAAGAGCACAATTTTGAACCAGTAGACTTTTCCAAGGTTATATCCTACAGATATCTTGGGTTTTGTGGCAATTTTTCCTATACTTGCTAGCACTGTAGCAATGTTGAATTTCTTTTAATCTGTTGTAAATTTCTTGGGGTTAGGGCAAAGGCCCAAACTTTTTAGATTGGTGGACCTGCTTGAAACCTGGACAGCATGATGTAGGTACTCTCACCCAATTGGTGGGAGAGTGCTTTGTTAATCAGAAAAAGGCCATTGTGGATAGGGGAACATGAGGAGGTTTCTGCCTATCACCAGCATCTTTAGCACTGCAGGATACTCTTCACACCCTAGCTTACACTGGCTTTTCCCTCTAAGGAGATAGCAATCTGGGTCTTTTTCTAGGTAAATTGAATCCATTATTTTTATTTTCTAAGAATGCCCATTGAACCTAAATCAAAAGTGGTTTTTTGTTTATTTATTTATATCATAAAAATATAATGCTACTTGTGAGTGCTTTGCATTATATATATATTGGGGAGAAGCGCTCTCTCTCTCTCTCCCCCCCCCCTCTCTCTCTCTCTCTGTGTGTGCAAGGAGTCTGGCAGATCCAGAAAATGTTTGTAGGCCATTAGTTCCTTGACTTGGAATTCTAGTATTAAAGAAAGGCCCAACATGTATATGAAATCCTATGCACAATTGATCAAATCAGTTGTTCCATAATTATTTTTCCAATGTATTCCAACAGCAACTTTTGAAAGGACTATTTCAACTCCAGTTTCCCTAGTAGATCCCTGCCAAACTCCTTCTTCTGAGCAAGATGTCTACCAGATTTCCCAAAAACAGAGCAGGAGCAAAATTCTCACCAGAATCTGACAAGGTCTCAGTGGCGTGCATTAATTCTGACTCGGTTAAATGAATTCCAATATTATTGAAGGAGTTCTCCACTTCAGAAACATTCAACTGTGTTTCCTTGAACTGGTTAATAATTTTGATGGTATAGTTCAGAACTATAAAGAAAGCAGAGGTTAGACTTCTTAAACATATTTACTTTTTAAAAATTGACTTACTATATTTTTCCTATGATATTGTCTCCTATCGCTATGTGTATTTTACACCCACTAAAATTGAAACCCAACAATTCATATTCCACACTATGAAAAATTGAATTCTATAACTGTAGAGAGCCAAAGAGATGATCTTGGAAAAACTATATAGCAACAGGTTTTTAGCTTGGGAAATTGTAAAAATATTAAAAAGAATCTTAGATAGGCTCTTCCTTAATTCCTGAAGATGTAAGAGGGAGGGAACAAAAAACATAAGATTTCAAGATTCTGTTACAATGGTCTATATCAGTAAAACAGAATTTTGGTCATTTTTGAAGAGGCTGTTTTCTGGCCTATCTCAAAGGGCTGACAATAATCACTAGGATTTATGCAGATGTACGTGACATAAAATATTGTTTGATTGAAAATTATTTTCATTATCTGTCTTAGTTTACTTGTACCCAACACATCTCATTAAATCTTTCCTGGTTTATTTATGCTTAGAACAGTTCATTAAGATTCAACAGTCAAGAATCCCACTTCCAATTTTGGAAATAATCTTGCACTCTCTTGGCCATATTTCAAAGAAATCTATTCATTAGATTCAAAAGCAAAATCTATTTTCAGATTCCATGCTGATAATAATCATGGAGTGTAAATTCTGCAAAAACTTCATCCAGGATCAGAAGTGAGCATCAGGCCTTACATTAATCTTAAATTGTCAAGACTAAGAGAGGCACAATTTGGAAGAAGAGATGATATTTTCAGCAACTTCCAGAGAAGCAGTAGTCCTCATATTCACTCAAACTTTCAGAAACAAGATCATGCAGAATACCTTTGGCAATAAAGTCAGGTGATAAGCGTGACCACTAAAGTATGACAGCATCCAACCATCCTCACTTGACTTGTGTTCTTCATTAGTGTGATTCAAAAGCCTGCACACTAGTTTGTATTGTTAGAAATAGATTTTGTGCCATCATGTCAATATAACTTTTAGTGGCCATGTTGACAGACTTTCTTCAAGAAGATCTATCCCAGCTTGGCCCGTTTGGTTTTGCACTGATGCTCCTATCACCACTGTAGTAAATTTCATCTAACTTACTACTGGTCATTCTCTTCTCTTTCCTTCCACCTTTTCCAGTATTATAGTTTTGTTAACAGAATTGGTAAAATTAGGAACTAAAGTCTTTTAGGAAAACAGTAAAAATCTGGCTTTCCTCCCAGAAGTTGATAAAGTTGGCATAGGGTGATTAATGGGATGAATGTGAGTTTTATTTGAGCCTCAAAAAATTTATAGTTTTAAATGATTTTTTTTAGTGTTTTGTGTTTTTATTTATTTCACTATCCAATGTTCACTTCTGAGAAGCTAGATAAGTTAGTTTAATAAATAAAAATGTGGATTACAGTGGTGATATGGCCAAAAACTTTCTACCAAAAAAATAACTTGCCCTGTTTCAACTCACTCACCTTCAATTTCTGAAAAGCGTTGTAGTTTGAAAATCTTCTCTGTGACTTGCCCAATATCAATTTTTCCTTCTCCTGCAAAATGAATACATTTAATCAGCAGCTGCCTAAGGCTTTTCCTTTATATATGATGGAAGAATAATGACATTCCCACAGTAGTGGAGTGGATGTGAAAATGTCGGAACTGGCAGAAATGGCAAACTGACCAATTTGGTCAGAGAACAAACAGTATAAAGACTGAAAACTTGATATTGAACTTTTTCTGAAAGAAAAAAAAATGAATTGATATTTATGGATTTGAAAACTAAGAAATATATGGATTAAACAAGGAGTGAAGGGATTTCTGAAATATTTAAAAAGGGAGAGGGACAATAAGTATATAATTATCTCTTGAAAAGAATTTGGCATCCACAAATGAAAATCAAGGTGGTTTAATGTCAGATTCAAAACACTAGGTCCACATGTGAAGATTCAATTAAACTAATTTATTGCTGAAAGCCTATACACAGGAATCTTCTCATCTAATGGTTAGCACTCACTGAGAGTTAGATAAGGGCCAATGACTCTCAAGGTGAGTTGTGAGCTTGCCTCTTTTCTATACAATGTCACATGTCCCTAAAGATATGCTTTTTTATTACATTATTTTTAAATTTTATTTTTCACATTTCTATCCCACCACAACCCAAAGACTCTTACCAGTATAGAGGGACTATATAGCAAAAGCAACAAACATCTCTGGACCATAGATTCTAGCCTGCAGCCCTCAGATTTTCTGGTGATCTGCTATCCTAGTATTAACTAAGTCCAAACATCTAAAACTTTTTTTATAATGAGTTAGAAAGAGTCAACAATGCTGGAATGTTAAAAAAATCCAGAAGACAATGGCAAACAGTTTCTATGTGTGGATAGAAAACTATGTGTATGTATGCATATAATCATCAAGAGATGCTTGGGTTGAAGAAATTTTTACTTTAAGAGAGATGTTTTCTGAAGAGATCCCTTTTTCTTGGCAGTACTAAGAATGTGAAAAGAGTGCTTCCAGCAATACTTACTATCAGCTGGAATAATCTGAATTAGATCCTCGTACTCCTGTGGGTATAAATGAATGCCCATCTTCTGGAGGGTGGTTTTGAGGTCCTTCAAAGAAACTTTGTTCTCTTTAACATTGTTGACTGCCTGAATGGTATCTTTCAGCACTGAGGGGTAAGACAAATTTACATTTTATTTTAAGGAGTTACCAGTAAGTATATCAATTGTACTCTTTTGGATGAAACACTACAAACTAAATTACGGACTTAAACACAGTTCAGGATCCTCCAAATAATGAGCCAGAATACATATAATTCATCACATCCTGATTTGCATGCAGGAGCTAATTGGTTTAGAATAAAGGAGCTGATAGTATTCCATTTATTAGAAAGGAAGTGGACCCTAAGAAGATCCACTCCCAAAATAATAACTAGTACAATAAGCAGGACAGGAAGAATATTGACATTTTTAAAAATTTGATGTTTGGAGAAGCCTCTTGAGATAACATGAATATTGACATTTTTGAATTTTGGTGTCGGAGAAGACTCCTGGGATACAAACAAATGGATTATCCAACAAATGAACCCAGAATTTTCACTTAAGGCATAAATGATCAAATTCAAATTATCCCACTTTTGACCCAGTATGTGAAAAACCTAGCTCTCTGGAGAAGACTCTAATGCTGGGAAAAATGGGAGGAAAGAGAACAAGAGGACAACCAGTAGCAAGTGGATGGAGTCAGTTATAGTAGCATCATTGGAACATCTGAAAAACCAGATTAGGTTTCATTATAGGGAAAGTCTATCTATATGATCACTAAGATTCAAGAGTCAAGATAAGACACTCAGGTAAAATTTAGGGCTGATCTTCAGATATTCACATTTATAACGGAAGCATATGTCCTCAAAAGACATAAAGAAAGGAAAGCAATTGTTACTTCTTTTCTAGGCATGAATGGGAAAAGTAATGAAAATACAGCATCCACCAGTTTAGGACTTTGATACAAATCAGGACAGAACTCTTGGAATAGTTCTTCCAACAGGAATCCTTTATTAAGAGAAAATGGTTGCAGGCATGCTAGACAGGACTTGGGGTTCAAGCTCTCCCATTCAAGGTTTTAAGGGGTTCCCCAGTAGTCCCACCCAATCAACCCCCCTTCCAGTGATAGTTTCAAGTATCACAATTCCATCCCCTTTCTTCTTCCGTCTGGATGGAGACTTCAGATAACTACATGAAAGGCAATTACTCTTCTTTGATATGTTAACGCTGAGAGGCCACAATAAACACACATTCAGTCCTTTGAAGTGTGCTGAAGGAAGTGAGGGCCATAAAGCCCCTTTGCTCTCCCCCTTTTCTCCCTCTTATGGCAGAATCCAGAGAAGGCAGAATTGGGAGTTTCTATGTTTGATAATTAAAGATGAAATATAATTGGATTCTGACATCCGGCCCCTCTTAACAATAAGAGAGATCCACCTGAAAGAAAACACAAGTAAAAGAATTTAGTTAGGCTTGTTAGGATACTCTGTGTGAAACTTCTTCAATAGCTTCGGAGCTCTGACGTGACGTTTATGGACCCACTCATTTTGTGAGGCAGGGAGGTGTTTCCAGGCAACTAGGTACTGAGTTGTTCCATGATATCTCCTAGAGTCAAGGATCTCTTTTATTTCGAAGTGTTGTTCCCCCTCCACCATGATTGGAGGTGGTGGTGGGGGGGATTTTTGGCCGTAGAGGTGACTGATGCTCTCTTTTCAGCAAGCTGCAATGAAAAACTGGGTGTATTTGCCTGAGGTTTTTGTATAATTCTAATTCTACTGTTACTGGATTTATGATCCTTTTAATTGGAAAAGGTCCTATATATTTTGGTCCAAGTTTTTTACAGGGCTGTAGGGACTTTAGGTATTTTGTAGATAAGTACACCATTTCTCCTATAATGAATGGTGTAGGCTCAACCCTTTTTTTATTGGCTTGTGCTTTGTATGCCCGCCTAGCTTCATCTAGTGATTTTCTGACTATTGCCCAGGTGTTTTGTAGGTTTTCCATCCATTCTTTCAGTGAAGGGATCGTTGGTTCTTTTGGGGTTAACTCTGGCATAGGGTTGAAACTTTGGCCGTTGGCTATTTTAAAAGGAGTGTAGCCTGTGCTGGAGTGGACTGCATTATTGTAGGCAACTTCTGCAAAAGGAAGTAAGTCCGTCCAATCACTCTGTTGTAAATTTAAAAAACATCTCAAATATTGCTCAAGTACCGACTGGCACCGTTCCGCTTGTCCATCTCCTTGAGGGTGGTGGCTAGATGTCAATCCCTGAGTGGTCCCTAAGAGGGATAAAAATTCCTTCCAAAATGCAGACGTAAATTGCACTCCCCTATCAGAGATGATGCGTTGGGGTGCCCCGTGCAATCTGAAAATGTGCTGGATGAAAAGTTTTGCTAAGGCCTTTGCAGTGGGAATTTTTTGGCAAGGGATAAAGTGCACCTGTTTGGAAAATAGGTCCGTGACTGTCCAGATAACATTATTCCCATTGCTTTCAGGCAATTCCACTATAAAATCCATGGCTATTTCCCTCCAGGGGGCTGAGGGACTTGCCACTGGTTGTAACAGCCCTGGCGATTTCCCTTGCAACCTCTTTGCTGATGCACAGGTTGGGCAGCTGGCAACATAACTTTCTATGTCCTTTTTATTGATGGCCACCAAAATTGCCGTTTAATTAAGTGTAAAGTTTTTACAAATCCAAAATGCCCTGCTGATTTTGTGTCATGGCAAAGTTGCATGAAAGTTAGTCTTTGAGTTGTTGGTATATATAACTTTTCCCCTACCCAATGCAATCCGTCTCTCATTGTGCACACATGTTTGTTTTTCTGGAACCAATCATCTGTTTCCAAACTTTTTCTGAATTCAATCCCAGTTTGGCTGTCCATTTGTGGTTTTATTTTGGCTTGGGTTCTTGTGGTTACTGGCGCTGCCAGTTGTGATTCTGCCATTATTGGTCTAGAGTCTGTGGTTCGTGCGCTGTTATATTGGGGCATGCGAGATAGTGCATCTGCCAGGAAGTTCTTTCGTCCTGGTAAATGTTTGAGCTTAAATTGGAATTGGTGAAAATGCTGGGACCAGCGGGCTTGTTTGGGATTGAGTTTCCTGGAAGTTTTCAGGGCTTCTAAATTTTTGTGATCAGTCCATACCTGGAAAGGGATTTTGTTGCCTTCCAGGAACTGTCGCCACGTGAGTAATGCCCAACGTATCCCATAAGCCTCCTTCTCCCATACGGGCCAGCGCTGTTCTGTTTCCGTGAGTTTCTTAGATGTATATGCACAGGGTTGCAATACTGCATCATCTTTTTCTTGTAATAGCACAGCCCCCACTGCCACATCACTTGCATCTGCCTGTATTATGAAGGGCTTGTCCATATCTGGGTGCCTTAGTACTGGTTCGGCAGAAAAAAGTCTCTTTAGTCTCTCAAACGCTGCTTGGCACTCCATTGTCCATGTTAGTGGCTGGCTAGGTTTTACTGAGGATGTTCCCTTCGTTTTTAGTAAGTTGGTGAGGGGCAAGGCTATCTGTGCAAATGAGGGGATGAATTGGCGGTAAAAATTTGCAAAGCCCAGGAAACTTTGTAGTTGCTTTCTTGTGCGGGGTGGTGCCCATTCTAATACTGCTCTGACCTTCTCTGGGTCCATTTCAATGCCCTGTGGGGATATGCGATAGCCTAGGTAGTCTATCCTTTCCTGGTGGAATTCGCATTTTGAGAGTTTGGCATATAGGTGAGCGGCTCGCAGCTTCTTTAAAACCGCTCTGACAAGTTTGACGTGTTCTTCTTTTGTTTCGGTAAAGATAAGAATGTCGTCCAAGTAAACAAGGACCCCCTTAAATAGGTGCTCCCTTAGAACGTCATTGATTAGTTGCATAAAGACTGCAGGGCCCCCTTGTAATCCAAATGGCAAGACTTTGAATTGATAGCACCCCATGGGGCAGTTAAATGCAGTCTTCCATTCGTCCCCTTCCTTGATTCTCACTCGATAGTAAGCTTCCCTTAAGTCTAGTTTAGAAAAAATTTTCCCTTTCGATAGGTGTGACAGCATGTCTTTCATGAGGGGCAGCGGGTATAGGTTGCTTTCACTGATTGTGTTCAGGGCCCTATAATCCACGCATAAACGTAAAGAGCCATCCTTCTTCTCTCTAAAAAGGACAGGGGCAGCCACTTTAGGCTTAGCTGGTTCAATGAAACCTCTCTCCAGGTTTTTTTTTATAAATCTTTCCATTTCCTCCTTCTCCTTTGGGCTCATGGAGTATAATCTGGGTTTCGGGAGTTTTGCCCCAGGCTTGAATTCAATGGTACAGTCTGTGGTCGGTGGGGGGGAAGCTCATTCGCCCTCTCCTCACTGAAGACTTCAGCAAGGTCCCTATATTCCTCTGGTCTTTCTGTTAATCTTTTTTCCTCTCCTATGGATGCTTTTTCTATTCTTGATTCTGGTAGCCTCTCTTGGGGTTTTAAGTCCATAGGGTCCCCCTTCTGGAATTTGATTTCTGTCGTCCTCCAATTTACCCAGGGGTTCCATTTTTTCAACCATTCCATCCCTAGAATCATTGGGCATTCCATACCTGGGGTCACCACAAACGTTAAGTCCTCTTCATGGTTGCCCAGGGAGAGGTGTATTGGCAGAGTGGCTAGGGTAGCTGGCACCCCCCCTCTATGGATCCATCTAGCTGGCCAAATGAGATTGGTTGTTCCAGTCTCCTGGATGGGATGCCCAGATTCCCCACTAGTGTTGGGCTAATGAGGCAGCGGGTGCAGCCAGAGTCTATTAAGGCTTTCACCTTCACAGCTTCGGGCATGGGGGGGATTAATATAGTCACTGTTTTGAAGATGGGTGTGATGCGTCCACTTACCAGGGGTTCGCCTTCCGAGCTGTCATCTGAGGCATCCACCGTCCCTGTGGTGTAGGCTGGAGTTCTTTCCCCTTGGTGAGCAGAGGTGGGGTTTTCTGCAATTTCCATCATTTTCATGGCTGTTTCTTTTGGCTTAGCTGAATACCCTCTGGGTTTGTTGATTGGGGATCTGTCTGGGTTGTGCTGGGGGGCCTTTGAGCGGCATTCTACAGCTCGATGCCCTTCTCTTCCGCACTTGAAACACCCCATCTGCTTCTTGGCTGTATCCGATGATTTCACCGGTTGGTGTGTCAGCTCAGGCGGGGGGCGGCTCCATTGTTTTCCTCGGCGATGCCTCTTCAATATGTCGATCTCTGCTTCCTCTGCCAAGACGTACCATTCCTCAAGTCGATGTGGGTCTCCTCGGGGCAGGCAAGCATCCTATAGATCATAGTTTAGTCCGTCTTTGAAACGGCCAAGGAGGATGTCTTCTGGCCAATTCAGTTTGCTGGCAATGGCTCGGAATTCTTGTGTATACTCAGCCACTGGGCGTTTGCCCTGCCTCATCGTTGTTATTCTTTCACGGGCTTTGCGATCAGCCAGGGGGTCTTCAAATCGTCTTCTCAACGAGGACATGAAACGGTTGAAGTTACTGAGTTCTGGGGCATTGGAGTCATGCAGGTTCACCACCCAATCTGCAGCTGGTCCATCCAGGGCAGATTGCACGATCCGGATGCGGGCTTTGTCGCTGGGGATGTCCTGCCCATATTCCTCCATGTAGCTGAGGACTTGGGTTAGGAAAAACCCCAAGCGTGTTGGCTCCCCTTTGAATTTCACCTCCAACGGTGGACGTCTTGGAATGGATCGGTGCCTCCATTGTGGGTGGTAGTGTCTTCCGTCCAGATTTCCATCTTGGGTCCGGTAGGGGGTGGGAGCTCCTGGATCAGTAAATGTCCCTGGGGTTGCAGGTTCCACGTCCCCCTCGGTGTCTCTCCCTTTGTGGCTCCAGGAACTGGGGCGGGCGTAGGGCTCAGGAATCTCCTCTCCTAGGGAGCTGAGAGTTCTCTTCATCAGGTCAATAGCTTTCTCTAGGATCCAGTCTGAGTACGGCATACAGCTTCCTCCCTCTTCACTTGCGTGCAGGGATTTCTCCATCTCCTGCTTCCATTCTGGTTGCTTGGTCCCCCGTCTCAGGGTCACTTTTCTTGATTCCTTTCCCCACTCGCTTTTCTTTCCAACGCCCATCGACCAGTGAGGCTTGTGGTCCTGGGTCTCCACCACTTCTTCTTCTGAGAAATCTGGCCTCTCGGATCCCAACGTCTGGCAAGGTTCCAACTGGGTCAGCGGCTCTCTTTCCAGGGAGTTTTCTCCCTCTCTTTCTTCGTTGTCTGACATGGTAAATTTTTTGCAAAATCCCCCGGCAAGGGTCTACCTTCCAGGTGGATTAATTTTGCAAGTCCTGTCTAATGTAAGGACCCACCCCACTTTGCATCTTAAGAAGACAGAACTCTTGGAATAATTCTTCCAACAGGAATCCTTTATTAAGAGAAAATGGTTGCAGGCATGCTAGACAGGACTTGGGGTTCAAGCTCTCCCATTCAAGGTTTTAAGGGGTTCCCCAGTAGTCCCACCCAATCAACCCCCCTTCCAGTGATAGTTTCAAGTATCACAATTCCATCCCCTTTCTTCTTCCGTCTGGATGGAGACTTCAGATAACTACATGAAAGGCAATTACTCTTCTTTGATATGTTAACGCTTAGAGGCCACAATAAACACACATTCAGTCCTTTGAAGTGTGCTGACGGAAGTGAGGGCCATAAAGCCCCTTTGCTCTCCCCCTTTTCTCCCTCTTATGGCAGAATCCAGAGAAGGCAGAATTGGGAGTTTCTATGTTTGATAATTAAAGATGAAATATAATTGGATTCTGACAACTATGTCCAAAGCCAGCTTCATTTCCAACTGGATTACATAAGAAAAGCAATGTGTTTAAAATATTAATTAATATGAAAAAACAACATTTATCAGGGAAAAGTCCAGGGTCCCCACTTTGTTAACCTAGGACTGCCAATTCCAGCTGAATCTGATTTTGGAAATTTAAATAAATCTGTATGAGACACTTTTGTGCATATCTACCAGATATAACATTTTAATAAAGAACAGGTATCAGGTAGATGAAGGCAGAGACAGAGCATGTTTAACTTTTGTATGAATATGTGTGATGGAAATGAGGGGATGCTGCCTAGGCAACCATCAGACCATAAAGGCAAGAGGAGCACTTCCACGGGATGGAGGGAGCTTCAAGTATTGCAAGAGACCGAGTGGAGGAAAATGGTTCAGTTCCTTCCATATCTGACATACAAGACACTGAGAGGAAAAGACCAACAGATTTCTGGAGGAGAGGGTTCCATACAAACATAAAAAAGCAAGACATCCTTGTCTAATTCCACTAAATAATGAGGAAGTAGCAAAAATATGCTGCTAATCTTTAATTTAGATGTGGGAAACTCATAATATTTTGATCTGTTTTATGAATTTCAAATGAAATCCAAACTTACTTAATATAGCAAACATCTACTGCCTATATATTTTTTTCGGTGTCTAACAATAAGGTTACAAATTGCTCTTCCTTTTTATTCAAGGCTACTACAACTACAACTAACCTATTGTTGCTTGTCTAGTTTTTATAAACCCTGCTCCATCATTTTTAAATAACTTGTTGTTCTTATTTGCTAGCACTGGTCCTAAACACAATATTAATCGGTCAAGTTGGATAATAACTAGCACAATGGATGTGATCTTTATCTGATTTTGGTATAACTGTATTATAAGATTAATTAAATGCTTCTAGGGGTATTCTCTTATCAAGTATCATCATACAATTGTAGGGCCCATGTAAGGTCCATGAACTCCAAGAAATTTATTAAAATGATTGTGTAGGAAGGCTGAAGGTCTCAGCTACATCTCCATCCTTCTCTTTCTCAAAGATCAGTCTAACTTACCTGACAGTTCTTTAAATTGGGGAGTGTGGGTAAGAATTTCAATGAAGTCTTTCACAATTATCTTTCCATTACCTGCAAGCCAAAAAAAAAAAAAGATAGATGATAGACTGATAGGCAGATAGACAGATGATAGCTACATAAATAGACACAACATACTTTTGAAAATAAAGGACAAGCAGAAGTGAGGCCAATTGGAGAAATATAGGCCTTCTATAGCTGAGATATCTGGTATATAATTTATGAGAAAAGACTTTCCTGAGACCCGAATGGAATAGGATACTTTGCCAATGTAGTAAATTGTCAATGCAGTAATAGACCAGACAAATAAAAAAGCCAATGAATGTTTCTTTGTGGCATTTTTCAATGTCTGCAGATTTTAGAAGGGCACCATACACCAAAGAAAACTCTTTATCATGTGAATTTCCACAAGCACTACTAGATTTTTTTGTCCAATAGCCTAAAAATTAAATATTTAGGTATAATTTGTCTGCATAATCGTTAAGTGTTCTGTGCTGGACTTTTTTGCGTTTTACTATATATGGACTCTCAGTGGAGGAGGAGGAGTGAAGAGGAGAACTGGAATTAGTTTATATTTTTACCATGTCAGTTGATTCTGATATTAAGCACACAAAGTTGTGAAAAAGTTAGTACTGCAATGAAACCATAAACTCAATGTTTTCACCAATAAAAAGGACTACCCTTTTGAAGCATCTATCCTAAAAAATAAATAATAGTATGGAGAAAATACCTAGTCCCACCTTCTAAATTTTAACAATGAAACAGAAAAGCCTTAATCATTAATATTAGAATGGATTGAGGGCTTATTGCTGGGATGCACACATTTGGGATTATTGAAGCACTGCCATTGTCATTGAAGGAGCTTGTACAGAATAGTTCAATATTTCTTTGTTACAGGTGGTCTTTGTTTAATGACTGCCTTATTTAGTGTCTGTTCAAAGTTTACAATGATGCTAAAAAAGTAACTTCATGACCAGTCCTTGCACTGACAACTGTCACAGAGTCTCTGTAGTCATATAATCAGAGTTTGAACATTTCACAACCATGGGATATTTAAGACCATTGCAGTATCCCACAGTCATGTAATCGCCATCTGTGCCCTTCATAGCCGGTTTCCAACAAGCAAAATCAGTGGAGAAACCAGCAATAAAATCATACATGATGTCTCACCTAATGAGCATAGCACAAGTGAGTCCATTGCAATCATATGATATCATGCTTCATAGAGCAAAATGTACATTGCCAACAAATTTGGAGTGCTTGGGTATGCTTAGGAGAGCACTGACTTTTCTAGGCTTCCCTATCTATGTTTCCTGGGAAAATACATGGGAAAATCCCATTGGAGGAAAATTCCACTTAGGGTTAAGGTTAGTCCCAACTATGGTACTTAAGTGAGGACTACCTATCTATTGTCTGCTAGTTATTCTAGCGATATGGATAAAAAATACTTTATTTTGTACTCACCATCAATAGCAACCTGTTTTAGGGCTTCTTCTAATGCATTTTCATGTAGCTGGATACCCATATTTCTAATAAAGGAAGGAAGATCATGCAGAAACATCTTGCCTTCTTCGATCTTGTCAATGGCTCGTATGGTGTGTTTCAAAACTGCAAAGTTGTAAACATGCCCAGTTCTTGTCACTAAATACTATCTATGCTGCTACCAAAGATGCAGAATGATAATTCCAGAGGACATACAACAATTGATAAAAAAATCTTTCAATTTTGCTGACTAAGAATCAGAGGAACAATTTTATTTTTGGTGAGGTGAGCAGTTCTGCAGTTTATGTTGTCTCAGATCCATCAAGATGTACAATTCAGTTGCTACATTCTGTCTTAGTTGAAATGTGAGTTTCCAGCCCTTTCTCATCCTGAGAAAAAAATTTTTTTTTCATCCCTCAAGGAGGGCTGTTTGTAGAAATTTTACTCTGATAGTAGCACCCTACACTGGTGGTGGATGATGGAGTGAGAGAAAAGACCCACTGCTGTGCTGCCTGTCTCTGAGGCTTTTAATCTTTATTTAATTCTTACTAATTTAAATGTTTTATATTTATCTTTTTTCATTTTGTAAGCCATCCAGAGTTGCTTCAACAACGGGATGGGTGGCATATAAATTTAATCAATAAATAATTTTTTTTCTGTTGTTAGCACCACTACTATCTCCTGTCCTAATTCCTGCTTTATAATGAGGGAACAAAGATATAACTTTAAAAATTAACCCTAAAAAAACCAACATGAGAGAGAAAGAGAGGGACTGGCTACTGCTATTGACAATCACTACTGAGAAATCTTTGGAAAATCTCCCTGCAAAAGTGTGGGTTAAAAATATTCTGTCCTGACTTCTGGTTCTGGATCGTGGCACAGGCGGTTGTGCGAAGAGACCTGTCTCTTCACCGGCTGGTTTCCCTCCGCCAGTAGACCCTCAATAGGGTCAAAAAGTCACCCTGGAGGGGTGACTACTGTTGAGGAGGCCCCTCATCTGACTGCGGAAGGGTGGCAGCTCCTTCCGCTGTCCGAGCCAGCTCTTTAGGGCCAACAGAGAAAAGATCAGCCAGTAAAATGGCTGATCACTTAGCCGCATCAGCTGAAAATCAGAAGAACAGCTGAGCATAAAGAACCACAGTGGAGGATCTGGGTGAGACTTTCCTTCCCTCCCTTTGCCCTAACTATTTTCCTGTAAAAACCTTCTGAACTACTTCCCTGCTTTGAGAGAGCAGCATTTGTTTACTTGGGAAAAAGAGCTCTAGAAACAAAAGAAATAAAATAGCTAACTTTTACTGACTATTTAATTTTTTGGATACCTAGGGGTTCTGAAAATATTCCTATCATTGTACATTATTATTATTTCACTTATTATGCTGGAGATATCTGCTTTTTTTCTCTATTTTCCTAATGAAATAAAATTTTATTAACTTGGAAAAAAAGATCTTACAGTCTACTGAGGACATCTTGTAGCGAAAAGTGTTATTGCAACTGTATTTCCTCTTGGTGTTTGAAGATAGATTTGACCTTCAAATGATAATAAAAGGGAAAAGATAAAGGACTTGAAACAGCTGGGTGGTGAATTTGTTTACTAGAAATTGTGGAGGTGGATATTCATTGACCTTTAGTAAATATAGCCTCCACTAAAAGATTAAAAGACTATTTCACCACTGAAATGGAAGAATTTTACCCACAGCTTGAATATGAGCTTATATTGGAAAATTTTTTGGAAGTCACGGAGTACATGAAATCTTGGAGAAAGATTAAAGATGATATTTCTGAACCACAAATTGAACCTCAAATCTTAATGGATCATTATATAGGCCAAGGAACAATAGAGGAGGAACAGATTAGCCCCAAAGAGGCCTGTACACAACAATATACACAACTTAAAGAGATGGAGGAACCATACCCACAACTCAACTATAAACTTATACCGGGAAAAATTGTGGAAGCTACTGAGCAAATCAGTTTTAGAAAAACTCTTGCCCCAAAACCTCAAACTGATTTTCAGACTCCAATTGATTATACCATAAATCAAGAAACAACAGAAAAGGAATTAATTAACACAGAAGAAGAGATTATACAACCCCATGCACAATTTATGGAGAACCTTGATGACTAAAGAATGACTTTAATTGAGATACCTGCAGTGTCAAAAACAACAGGAATTGACATCCAGACACAAGTTACTGAAAACTGTGATAACGCGGATAATCAACTAGTAACTATAACATGGAATAAAACTGATTACACCATTCAGATGATACTGGAAAAAGGGGAAGAGAACTTTGACCAGACAGAAGTGTCACTAAATACTCCCATTCAAATATTAAGATTCAATGATACAGAACCATTATTATGGAAACCGGTTTGACACAGAAAGAAAGCCAGAGATAGATTTAAAAATGTGATTTAAAATTTCACTTAATGGGTTAAAAAGGCTTTAGAGATCTTGACTGATTTAATAATTAATGGAGAATGTTGAGTTCAGTAAGAAAATATCTTTTGTAATAATATGCTTGTCTTAGATATGATAATTATTTGGAGGGGATTTAAACTTTACCTAATAGGTTAAAAAGACTTTTTATGGACATAGATAGATTGATAGAATATATATCTAAAATAGAGTAGAAATGTATTTTCTGAGTAATATTTTTATTTTAGGTAGGATAACTATTTCATAATGGAAGGAGGATAAGAGGGATTTGTGACGAGAAGAAATGATATTAATAAATGAATTATTAGATTAAGAAATAGAATATATGTGGAAAATACAAGAATGTTACTGTTGGAATAATATATGCATTTTAGATATAACTATTATGTTAGGAAAAAAGGGAAATAAGGGATACCAGAAGTGTTAACAATATGTTTATTCAAGGCTAAATTGGAATATGGTAATTGTAAATTAGTAAAGCTTAAAAACAGGATTTGGATTTTTATAGATGAAATGTTATTGATGACTATTTTGATTGATTGAATTTTACTTAGAAACATATTAATTTGAATATGTCATACTATACGAGGGAAACAGAAAGGGAACTTTTAATGAATTAACTTGAGTTATATATGTATGATTTTGTTTTTCGATGATTGATTTCCCCATCACCACGTTATTTCTTAAGCACTTTGATGTAAAAATTAAAAAAACGAATAAATTGCTTTAAAAAAAATATTCTGTCCTAACAATTTATAGAATTTTAAGAGGCACAAAGCTCTAGTCCTTTCAATAAGTGGAAGTTTTGTATTATCTTGATACTTGATCTAAAAATAATTATTTGCTCTAGAAATTCTTTTCTTTTCTTGTGTTAGAATTCTTATGTGATGGGGAGTTCCAACTCTCAGAGCTGAAACATATATCTCTTCTAATTTTTAAGATCAAGAGCATTTAAATTATTTGATGACATGGGAACAGAGTATCAGTGTGGTGGCCTGAAAAAGTCAAGAAGCTGCAACTGTTCACTCACTGTCCCTCAACTTTATGTGTGTCACATGGAGTGCTTAAAAAAGAGGAAAGGTTTCAATCACATGGTCATAGCTACCATCTTGACTTTTGTGACCCTGCCTTGTGGATGTACTGGAGCTGGATAAAACAATATTGGCCTGATTTTGGTTTACGTTAGTACAAAAATTGAGACTGAAGTGAAAATCTGCCATATCCCTTCCCAGGCTTGAAAACTAATGTTTTGGTTTACTTACTTGCAAATTCATTCAAGAAATGCATTTTCTCCATTATAGATATGAAGCTGTTGAAATTGACTCTCCCGTCTTCTGCAACGACAATTTACAAATATATTACAATTACTCATTTACTGGGATTTATACATAATTAGATTGATCCTTAGAGGAGGAAATTGAAGCAAATGTGGGCCCTCAAATGGTTATTAGATTCTAAGTGGCATCGATCCAAATCAACATGAAAACAAATCATAAACTATGGGAACTGCAGTCCAATGTTCCTAGCTCTATATTGGTCAAGGATATTTATAGTTGCATGCAAAAGTTTATCACCCCCCCCCCTGACAAATTATACACATCAATAAATCTGGAAATAAATTGATACAGTATTTATATGATACAGTGTTAAATACAACATCATTGTGCAAATATGACCGTGTCTTACCATATAGGAGCAGTTGTTTACTGATTCAATAATATGAAAGGAGTGTTCACCCTCCTGCTTAATATTTGTAATAACTTCTTTAGCAGAAATTACAGCTTCTAATAAATTTTCTGTAGTTTTTCTATTCTTGCTTTGGATTGTTTCCCACTCTTTCTTGTGGAACTTTTCTGGCTAAGAAATATTTTTATGTCTCCATATGGTCTTAGGTGAGATCTCCCCAGATATTTTCAATAATATACAAGTTTGGGAACTGAAATGATCCTCCATAAAATCCTTATTATTTTTTCCTGTAAGTACTTCATGGTTGATTTGGACAGATCATTGTTTGGCTGAAATACCTTTTTTTTTTTACCTTTACCTTCAGTTTCTTTAATTTGACTGGTTTTGAAATTGTTGATAAGATAAAATATCTGGGGGTTATTTTATCTGTTTCTAATGTAAAATTGTTTAAGAATAACTATGAAAGGTTGTGGGTCAGGGTACAAAAAGACTTGAAAAATTGGGAGAACTTACAGCTATCTCTCATGGGAAGAATTGCAGTGATTAAAATGAATGTCCTGCCAAAATTTCTCTTTTTATTTCAAATGTTACCTATTTTAAAGAATGAGGTTAATTTAAACGAATGGCAGAAAGGCATTAATAAATTTATTTGGGCAGGGAAAAAACCAAGGGTAAAGTTTAAAATTATGCAGGACTTCCGTGAGAGAGGTGGACTCAAGGTACCGAATTTGAAATTATATTATGACGCTGTGGTCTTAACATTAATTAGTGATTGGGTAAATTTAACAAATTCAGAGATACTCCACTTGGAGGGATGGGATTTACTTTTTGGTTGGCATGCCTACTTAATATTTAATAAAAAAGTGGATTGGGCCTTTAAATCTCATATTATAAGGATCTCTTTACTTAGGGTTTGGAGGAAATATTATAAAAGTGATTTTAAAATACCATTATGGGCTATACCTTGGCATGCGATAGAGGGGATAAAGAGAGGTGTTAAAATGGATACGGTGTCTTATACACAATTACTTAGATGGGATGGTCAAAATTGGCAGTTAAAATCTTTGGAAGACCTAGCACATGAAAATATTACCTATTCTTGGTTTCAATATAGACAATTAGTAGATAGATGGAAGATGGACCGTAATATAGGCCTGCTTAGAGAAGATGAAAATCTTTTTAAGCAAGTAAAGGATCAAAGACAAACTCATATTAAGAGAATTTATGGGGTGCTAGTGGAACTGGATTCAGAATCAGAATTAATTAAAGACTGTATGATTAAATGGGCGCAGAATTTTGGTGAACCAGTTCTACTGGATACCTGGGAAACTATCTGGCTGAGAAATGTTAAGTTTAGGTCAATACTGGAAGAAGGAATCTTTGCCTACTTTGCAAGAGTGGTTTTTTAAAGTATCTTACTTGGCGGAAATGGCAAAGATTTTGGCTTTCTTAAAAGAGCAAACGCAAGAGAAATTTTTTGCTGTATGGGAAAAATGGATAAATTTCATACAATTTAAACTGGATTTGAAAAAATATCATTTAGCTTTTTTATAACCTGTATTTTTCTATTTTAAATAATTATCTTATAATTTTGTTAATTTTTTTTAATTAAGCCTATATTCTGCTCTGGGAAGCTCCGGGGGGGAGGGAAGGGGTGGTTTGGGAGGGGTTGGGGGAGGGTTGTATTGTTTTTGTTGTTGTTGTTGTTGTTATTGTTTTTTTTCTATCTTTGTAAAAGTTTTTAAAAAAAAATTTCAATAAAAAAAAATCATTATTATTTTTTCCTGTAAGTACTTCATGGTTGATTTGGACAGATCATTGTTTGGCTGAAATACCTTTTTTTTTACCTTCAGTTTCTTTAGCAAATATTAACTTCTAAGATACATTGACATTTAGTTGAATCCATTATTATTTTTATACCTTTATAATATTTGTTGTGCTACTGGCTCCTGACACCTCTGAAGTGTGATAAAGCCACTTTATATTTTATAATTGTCAAGATATCCCTTTTCTGCAAATGCTTCACCCTTTTTTCTCCAAATATATCTTGTGTAATTGTGGTCAAATAGTTCAGTTTTGCTTTATCATTCAAAAAACACTTTGTCTCAAAACATTTTGAGGTTATTAAGGTTTTCTTTTCTTACACAATGGCTTTTGCAAACAGGCTGACAACAAGATTTCCTTCTAATAACTCTCTGATGCAGTATTATATTGTGAAGCTATGCATAGCTCATCAGTATCACATATATTTTTCAGCGGGTCAATTGCAATGATCCTGTTTTGCAGATATGACAGTGTGGAAATAAAATTTTAGCTGAAATTTTCTTGGTCTTTCAAGTGGATCCTTGTCATCAATTGTTTCTTGTAATTTCAGTTTCTTAAACATGTAATTATTATTATTGCTATCTGGAAGCATGTAGATAATTTTTTTAGCCTTATCCTTATTTCAAATGAAGTGTGAATTATCTTTATTATCAAATGCTCTGAAAAGTGCCCGGAGGAGCCATGGTAGTTGGAAACAGACAGAACAACAAACACAACCTAAAACATTTTCTGTGGAATGGCTTCATCTGGCTAAATATAGGCCTATTTGGGAGTCACATTTACAACTCTGCAGTAAAAAAAGTACCACTGAATTAACTAGTTATAATGGCATGGTTTGTTCTGATGCTGAAAGAATAGCTTCTTTAGTTAAATATAGCCTTTTTTACAGATTCACACAAAAAACACGATTATTTCTACTTTCATAGATTGAAGATAATATGAGGTCTGAAACTTCAAGTAAACCAATGAAATTTGTCTAACTGAACATCTTTCTCTTTTCAATAAATCTGGTTAAAGAAACCAATGTAAAAACCATGCTTAATTTTCTGTCGATTAAGTGTGATGATAAGGTAGTAGTAACTGGGTCTCTGATTGTAGCTGTCACCAGTGTTGACAAAAACTTATTCATTCTTCCACAAAATAGAGAAAAATATAATTAAGATGTGCTGGAATTAAAAGCCCTTCTCCTCAGCTAGAATAATTTTGGACCTGCTGGTTCCATTTCACTGCAATTTTAGTAGATTTACCCAATATTTCACATGGTATAACTTGTAAATTATCTAGTTTCTGGGGGAAAAAGTGAACTAAGTAATTAAATTTCAATTAAGGACTCCAGGGCATAGAAAACCACAATCCAACATATTATTAATTATTAGAATTGGATGCGCATGTAGATATAATGCACACAATGAAAAATCATGTTAATCAGCATAAATACCGGTACATAAAACTAAAACACTGAGATATATGATTTGTTAGATAGCAGCAAATAAAAGTTGACAATTTGGTTTATCTTTTATGGAAGGTAATACTGTTCAGTAGTAAGCATAAATTTTGCCTGTAGTATAGAAGATCTTGGGCTCTGTTCCTGGCATCTAAATATATTTGCTGGGTTAGGTGAAGATCAGTAGTCTGATGTGGTATCAGACTTCTTTTGGAACTCTTGGGCTCAATCAGAATGAAAGCTAGATAAATGCACAAACATAAACCCTGTCCATCAACCCACTGGCTATCAGATATAACCCCAAAAGAACTAAAGAGACCCACTTGCCACATCTGCATTCTGTAGCCTTTCCTGGAATTCTGTGTCACTCGTGCTGATTCCCAGTTTGTTCAGGGTGGAGCACAGATCATGACTTTTGATGTTATCTTCCGCAAGCATTTGGATGACATCAAAGACATTCTGTAAGGCTGAAAAAACATGCCAGTTTGGGGCAAAATACATGTTACATAGAGATCTGTGTTGAAACAATCTGAAGTTTCTGATGCATCATGTCAACTCTCTTACAGTTCTACATTCTGTATGTATAGTTGGAAGCTGAGCTTTAGAGAGAGATAAAGGAATGGAGGATGCGTGACTTCCAAGGATGATGCTGGCAACTAACCAATGACACAATGCTGATGTCAGCTACTTTAGTGAAACAGATGGAAAAAATTAAAACATATATTATTCTTACAGTCATTTCAGCAGAAAGTACTCAGAAACAACTTCAACTGCAATGGCCCAGGCTGACTATGATCTATGGAATCTCATTGTTGCTAACTATTCTTGTTCTTGCTTCTTATATTGTAACAAAAGCCCAATGTGCAGAAATGAAGCAGATTAGACATTTCTCTTCAAATTATATCATTTAGTATTTTTTCCCTTAAATTATTATTTAAAAAGAAGAGAATAAGTGAAAAAAGTGGGAAGCCACAGTTGGTAGTCTGCAAATTACACACATATCAACTTTTTTCAGGCTGCCCCAATCAATGCTTTATTGGCCATTAGGATGATATGCACGATGTCATCTGGCCTCATTTTTTTCAGTAGCTGCTGACTTTTATGCAATCTACTAAACTTAGATCAGTGCGGGAACATAAATAGCAAGGACTCATTGAAAACAATGACCAGCATGCATTAAATTAAAAAATCAGCTACTGGTGGCTTTTTTAGCTAGTGCCAAATCCCTTCTCTCAGTGTTGTTTCATAGGAAATGATGACAATCTCTAGGACCATTATGGATGCATATGTCTTTATGTCTTGCTCTTATCACTTCATATAAAGCAAAAATAGAATTTACATTTGAATATGTATTTTACACAGCTGATTCTGAATATGGCCAACCTTTTTTTTTTCTGGTGGAAAAATATCCTTCAATGTGTATACATGTATTAAGGGTGGCATTTCCCAGCCTTGGCAATCTTAAGATGTGCGGACTTCATGCTAGCAGGGGAATTCTGAGAATTGAAGCCCACAAATCGTACGATTGCCAAGAGTGGAAAACACCAGGTTTTTTTTTTTTAAACAATGCTAAAAACCAACCAAGCAAAATGCTATAAAGCAGCCAGACTTGTTGTTTGGCATGGTAGCTGAACCAGCCAGTATCAGATCCAGATGCTAGACATCTTTTTGTTCTCTTGCTGATGGTTTGAAAATGTGAGGTTACGGCTTAGGAACACCTCTTTCCTTCTGCTAAGGTTAGCTTTCCAATAACCTGAGCAAATAAAAACATATCTGACATGAAAGACAGGGGGGGAGTTTCATTTCTAGATGCATGTTTGGCCTTTGGGTCATTCCACTAGGGAGCTAGTTTCAATGTTGTTTTCTTAGTCTTTCTCTTAAGCATCATAAAAACTGGTCATTTGCACCCCAAGCCTATCAAGAGCTTCAATCTTGTCTGGATATTTATTTGGGAAAAATTATTTATTTATTAAGAGTTTAGCAAAGTACTGTGGACAAGTTTGCACTTTCTATGTAAGATAAGCAGCATTCCATACAACAGATGCCCATTTTGCTGTCATCCATAATGACTGCTTACCATCAGAATGCTTGGTCATGTCCTACTCACTGTCATTAAAAGGCAGTGAGGCTGGTGATAAAGGATCGTGTGGCTCCAGTTCAATCCCTTCACAAGAAAGAAATCAAACGAAAAATCTGCAGAATTGCTATCTGATGATCTTTCCCATCTGGGCTTTCTTAAATGGCTCACTAGAAATAGTACATATCTGAGAAAGGTCAAGCAGTCCTCAACCTATAACCGTTCATTTAGTGACCATTTGGAGTTACAATAGCATTGAAAAAAGTGACTCATGATCATTTCCCACACTTACAAACATTGCAGCATTCCCATGGTCACTTGATCAAAATTCAGATGCTTGGCAACTGCTTCATGTTTACGACTGTTGCTGTGTCCAGAGGTCATGCAATCACCTTTTGTGACCTTCTCACAAGCAAGGTCAATGGGGAAGCCAAATTCACTTAACAACCATGTTACTAACTTAAGAACTGCAATGATTCACTTAATAACTGTGGCAAGAAAGGTTGTAAAGTGGGGCAAAACTCATTCAACATCTGTCTCATTTAGCAACAGAAATTTTGGGCTCAATGTGGCCATAAATTGAGAACTACCTCTATCAGAGGCCAAATAACAAGAATATAGCATAGTATGAAATCAATTAGCTAAGATGAAGCAGATAAATTTTGCTAAAAATTGTTTGGAACTTTAAAAGGGTTTTGCTCATGCTTTCATGGGTTATTTTAAGGAAGGTTTTGCCAATGTGCTATTCACAGATTTGTTTTGGGTTACATGACTTGAAATATTGAATGTTGCAATCCCAAAATATCTGAAAGATGCAAGTTGAGGAAGATTGCTTTAGGGGCATCTACTTTATTGGTCTTCATGATGGATATCCATGTACGTAGAATGTAGTCATGATAGATAATCAAAAGCCTATGCTAGTTTGCACACTCTGACCAGCTCAAGGTTGATTCAGCCTTCCATCCTTCTGAGGTTGGTAAAATGGGAACCCAGCTTGTTGGGAGCAATATGCTGACTCTATAAACCACTTAGAGAGGGCTGTAAAGCACTATGAAGCAGTATATAAGTCTTAAGTGCTTTTGCTATTGTTAAATCTCAATGCTTATCCAACAAGACAATCACTAAAATTTCTTAATATTCAGAAAAGTGTGGAACATACTAATCCCATGATCCCTTGGTTTGATAAACAAATAGACTGAATGAACTCATTACTCACATGAGTAATGTAATATCATTATTCTTTAGTCTTCTACATCTTATGAGTAACACTATCCAGGGTCTGGTCCTACCTAAAATTTGGGAATGATTGCTCAAAAGGAGAAAATTGCATAAATCATTCTGCCTAAGGCTTCTCATTGAAAAGCCTGAATGTCAGAGATAAGAATACAGAAGACAAAAACGGAATATATAATCAGTGGCTATGGTTATGGAAAATTATAGTGGCTGTAGTTCAATACATTTGAAGCTCATATAGAGGGTTTATAGAGTAGACCAGAGTAAAAGGAAGCAAGCTGATATATGCAGCATAGTCAGAGGGAGAACCATTGATCTGTCAGGGATAAAGCAATGCAAAATCCTGGTGGATAATTCTAGCTCTACAATCTTAAATAAGTCTTCATAAAAGACTCTGTTAGGGAAAACAAAGGGATCACTTGTTCAAACTTCAGCTGGCCCTGAAGTTATCTAAAATTTATTAGACTCACCCTTCCTCTCCCTGCCAAATCCCTAGTAGTCAAGCAGAGGAGATGCTACCTCAGAAACTAGCTGTTCTTGGAGATGGTTACATGGCACTCATTAGAAGATAGATACCTGACTTATTCACCACATTTCAATGACCCGAAACATGGAAGCATAAATGTGTACTGCACTAAAAGGACAACATTTCAAAACTTACCTTCCTGAAATGGTAGATCTTCTGAATATTCTGTATCTTCACTTTCAGCTTTCTTAGCATCAGTTTCCTGGTTGTCTTCATTAAGATTAGGCCTAGCTGAGAGGTCATCTTGGAATAAAAGCTTCTTTTTCTTCTTCTTTTTCTGCTTCATGATGTCACTGCTAAGGTTTGCATGAGGAACTAAAGAAAGATCAGGTAGTTCTGGGGGCTTTTTCGATGGCCCTCTTGACTTTGACTGTGGGGCAATCATTTTACTTTCTCTAAGTGGGAGAGTGGAACTTAATGGAAACAGTGTGTCCTGACTTGTGTAGCCATATTTTGATCTAATCTTTGGCCATTCTGAGCTTTGGTCTTTTTTGTCCTTTTCATCCAAAACTGCAGGTGTTGCTTTGTTGGTTTTTTTTAGCCCTACAGGTTTCTGAGATTTATTTGCTTTCTTCTCTAGGCTGTCAACAGTGATCTCTTCATCTGGTTCATATAATCCAATCAAGTGAGCATAACCAAGTGGAATCCCTTTATCAAGCAAAATGTTTCTTTTCCATTCAACTTCACAATCATCTATAGTAGTAAAGTCTTGACAAGATCCTGTCTCCAAAATACCATACTCATCTGTAAGTAACGTGCAGAAAAAAATAATGAGATTATTAACTCACTTCTATAAAAGTGCTATCTGCACTCTTACTGCCAAATAACAATATTTTACAGAATGGTTCATTGTTATGAGTATAGTAAAAAGAAAATTACAGTGTTATTTTGAATCCTAGGTACCCATCATTCTCCATGCAGGAACAACATAATTGACTTTTCTCCAAGAAGTACTGTATATCTCATGATTTGTCTAAGAATCTTTGCTCTCCCTTTAGCCAATTATCTCTTTCCAAATCAATGATTCATAAATAAAACACAGGACGATGAGCTTCTCTAAAGATAGGACATTCTAAGAACCATCAAATAAACAACAAAAAAAGTAAAGTGTGCCTTCTATTTCAGTTCAGAAAATAAATACGCCTTAACTTTTTGAATTTTGGGAATCATACAAATATATATTTTTTCATAGTACATCAATCTTTTTCATATCAGTTCAATATACCATCCACTGTAAATCCTTACAAGAACCCTCTAAGATAGACTCTCCCCATTAGTCCCTCTGTGATAATCTAAAGCCTATCCATCTCAAAGCAAAAAAGGTCCACCCCAAACTAAAATTATGCTTTTTATATGGTCAGAGAATCCCTTGATCTAATAATTACAAGAAATAGGGAAGCGGGCTCAGAAACGTTCAAAACTATGAAGCGTGAATTAATTAAAGTAGATCACAGGATTCTGCATGATAGTTGGAGTAATTGAAACTAGAGATGTGAAGATAATTAGATTGATGAAAGTCACCTTACATTGTTGTTCAAGATTTCAAGAATATCACCCTGAAAAAACCAAGAATATAAAACTGCTGATTATATTTTGATAGCAGTGGTATTATTAAAATTGGGCAACAGTTAGTTCTGATACTAATTTTTCAAATGAACCCTTCTTGTTGCCCAGTTTAAAGAAAAATGTTGTCTCTGATTCATCTTTGCTGGTGCAATGTGGAAAAATAGTTGAGCTCAGCAGAGGATATGAGATAGCAGAAATATTCCTGCTTGGCAGGAAAAGTTTCTCCTTTCAAGATGAAAGAAAAGAAGAGTGTAGGCTCCTCATCTGGGTTTCTCAGGTATAGCAACTGTAAGAATATTTATTTTCCTTCATAAAAAACTCTCTTTTAAATGTGCTATTGTGGTGGAATCTGTTACTGGTTTACAGGAGGGACATGTCTTTCACAAGATGCTAAGAGGCATACCCTGAGTTCTTGGAATTCAGAAAGAGGTTCAAGAGGGATTTCCCTTAAAACTTTACAAGATTTACCTGATAGTTATGCAACTGGGTTTAGTCTGGCAAGATTCCTCTGTAAGGATGAATAGCAATAAAGAAACTATCTAGATCAATTCATGATGTCTTCTTGGTTCCTTGTGCCCGACAGCTAATCCCACATGGTCATTGGTAGTAAATTTTAGCATGTCATTTTTTATTTATTATTTGAAATAAAATGAATTTAGTTGATGTAGTTTCAGAGCAGTTATGTTCTAGTTTCCTAACTGAGAATTTGTTTTTCCCTCACCTTTGCAATAATAGGTGCTTTCAGAATTGAGCTCTGCTGCTAGGGGTCAGGAGTACCACAAATGTCCTGGATGGTGAAGCTGGCACTGCCTGGTAAGAAGTGAGGTAGGCATGAGCTGTGGGGTTTAGATACTGGCCATGATCCATTGCCACTGCATTGTGTAGCAAAAAAAAAAAAGTAACTTGCAGGGACCAGATAGAACAGGCTAGACTGGGGTCCCCAATTGCTGGGCTGCAGACTAGTATTGGTCTGTGACCTTTTAGGAGCTCAGGAGGTGGGTAAACAATAAAATCTCATTTGCAAATGCACAGGATCTAGGTGGCCATTCTCCCTTCCCCATTCTCATTCATAGAAAACAATTTTTCTTCCAAAATGGGTCCCTAGTATGAGAAAGGTTGGGGGCCACTGAGTTAAACAACATCCTACCATGAACCTAATTCATGGGCTGTGGACACTTACGCATATGATGATTTAATAATCCTCTCACAGCTGACAGAAATTCTGAGATGTTCAATTTCCCATCCTCTGTCAAAAGAAAAAGAGAGACTTCAGGCATGTACTATTTAAAGGAATCTTTTCCCCCTCCATTACATATGCATGCTTATAGTTTCCTATTAGGCAACTCATGCTTAATTATTGATAGTGTATCTCAGCTATCCTGAGGAATCAGCTCTACAAAGGAGTTCATTGAAGTCCAGCTTTATTGGTTTGTTGAAATTGGTTTAATTGGGTTTTCATTAGTTGACAGGTATTTGGACTTTAAAGGAATGGATATTCATTTCAGTCAAACACATATATATTTGTTGTTGCTGTGACAGTAAATATGATATCATTTGAATAACTGATGTAAACATTTGCTGAAAATCTCAAAACTTTCCTCCCTATTCTTCGTCACAGCTAATTTTCATCTCAATTTATAGAAAAGTGTTCATGATAAATGTAATAGAATTATAAAGCAAGGAAACTGGCAATGTCTCTAGTGCAGTGTTTCTCAACCTTGGCCATTTTAAACTGTGAGGACTACAACCTCAGAATCCTCCAGACAACATCATGTTGGCTGGAGAATTTTGGGAATTAAAGTACACACACAACTTAAGTTTGCAAAGTTGAGAAACACTGCTCTTGTATTTAATTTTGATGCACACTGAGAGAGAACTTGGAACCATAAATTTCACATTTCCTTTGAGATGAACTTTTGGTTCTTCTGTTGAAATCAAAGACTAAAAAAACTTGACAACAACCTTGAGTTTAACATCAGATTTTATAATCTTTTTAATGGTACCATCGTCCCCAACCCAGCATATACTGAAATAGGCAGATACTTACTGGTAATTGTAGTGCGTTCTAGTGTCTGCTGTATAATTAGGGGACTGAGGCTGACCCCCAAGCATGCTAAAATTGGCTCCAGTTCTTCAATGGCTATCATATCTCTTTTAATGGATCGGAAAACCCACTGAACATTCTCAAAAGCTGCAGAGTATGCAAGAGAATGAAAATAGGACAATTAAAAAGCCACCTCAGTAATTTACATATATTTCAATAGAAAACCACTTTTGCCTTAATTTGTAAAGCTGCTGGATGAATTGAAAATAGTGCAAAAGGTTATACAGAGACACAGTTTGTAGATTATATTGTAGCTGTCTGTTTACATGATGGGTGTAATGTACATGACCATTCATTCAACAATAGTTCAAAATAACAACGGTGCTGAACAAATGGTGTTATCACCAGTCACTGTATTTATAGCTCTTTCAGCATTCCTGCAATCATGTGATTGTAATCTGCAACTTTTCCTGCCAGTTTCTGAAAAGAAAGTCAATGGGGAAGCCAGCAAGAAATCATAAGTTGCAGTTTCATGAGGTCCTTGCTCAACAGTCCATGCAGTTTTCACTTAATGAGGGCAACCGGGACTGCCAGAACTGCTGCTCTTAAGTTGTGTGTGAGTTTTAACTTAAGGACAAAGTTTCTGGTCCCAGTTAGTTAGGACTTCCTGTAATATGGTTGCAATCTTTGGCCAAGCTAATATGGTATCACAAAATGTTCATGAAAATTTCATTAGCATGGGAATAAAATCATTGATACTAAAATGGTCAAGAAGAAATACTATAGTCAGTGAAGCATTTTTGGCCCAAATTTTTCACTGATCTCACAGGGATTCTGGTAGATACCAGTGATTAGGTTACAGAACTATCCTGCAGCTAAAAATTGTCATAACGTTATCTTAGTATTGGGCCTCAAATAACAGTCAAGTTTTTGTAAATTCACATAAAGTAGTTACTTGTAATTTTTGAAGTCCTCCAATTCTGCACCTGGCCATCTTAAAAGGCCAGTGACTGGATAGGTACTATCAGGTTTAGGACAGGCCTCTAACATTACGTTTATCTCAGGCAAAGGACGGAATAGTGCCTCCCTTCTTGCTCAAGTTGTCTGCTGAATCTTATTTCAGCATTAGTGACATCCGAAAGCAGCAAGGAAACTTAAAATAGCATGAATAAATGTAGATTTAACTCAGAGAAGGAAGAAGGACATGACCCATCACATAAAAGACACATGAGCCTTGAGAACATAGAAAGCGTGAGGAAAAAAATTCAAAATAACTTTATATTGACTATGACTCTATGAGGAATGTTCTTCATTAAGTACCAATGATGTCAGTTTCCTTTACATACCCTCAAGATCAATGTAGAGTAAGGTGTCACGTGCAACATCCAAAAAGTCGTAAAAATCCAGATTGCCATGTGCTGCATGAAAATGAAAAGCAAGATGTGATGGTAAGGTGTGAGGTGTGGGTTTATTATAAATGAATCAAATGTAATATGTTCTATTTATTTCATGTGCACACGCACACACATACACAAGCATGCACACAAGGATTACTTGTTTCAAATTCATGTAAGATTTATGAAATTCTTAGGTTTAAGAATGAAAAATAGCACACACCATCAACAGGGATAAACTGGAGAATCTGAAACATCTGAGCTTTGGTCAGAAGGATCCCCAACGTGTGTAAGGTAAGGAGGAGATAGTTGATGTGAATTCTTCCCCTTCTGATGGCACTAAAAATGGTGCAAGTCCTGGAGAGTCCTGGAAAAGCAAACATAATTTATTCTGAGTCTGCTAAAAGACCTTAAAAGCAAATTATATTAACGATTTATTTGACCCAAAGAAATCCAGATATCCTCAGTCTGAAATCTATTTCAGATCTTTTCATCAGATTATTCCACAAAAGCTTAAAGGAGTCTGGCAATTTGGACAACCTCAAAAGTTTGGTTGATAAAAGTAAAAACATACTTTTTTCATCCGGAAGCAGCATACAGTTACTTGGTAGAGAGATGGGCAGCATACAAAACAAACAAACAAACAAACAAATCTGTTACCAATTTCAATAGTAAGGAAAATGCAACCATATTCTCCCTTACCTTTTGCTCCATGAAGAAGACATGGGTCAAAGTGCTCTCCCTCATCACAGAATGTTGTGTAGAGATTGTACATAGCCTTACTTTGCCTGCCAAGACACACACACACACACTAACAGGTGACAAATACATTAATTTATCTCTTTCTTGCATTCAAAACACAACTTCTTCCAGTCTAATGGCTGCGCCTTGATGTAGGGCCATAGGTCTCCATTCCTATTTCTTTAGAAACTTACACTACAAAATCATGAGTTGATAGAGAAACCAACTTATTCTTTAGAGAAGGAATGAAAAGCAGATATATTCATTCCAAAAGTTGCAATATGGTAAATTGGCATAGCATTAAAAAAGATGGAGTTTCCAATCACATAGATATTTTTTCTGTGTCTATAGTCATAGATATGATGGTTCTTTTTTTTCATATTGTTGAAGGTGTGTAGGTAAAATTTTATTTTCTCAGAAGCTTGAATCTCTGAAAAGTGAACCTTTATTTTAGAAAGTAATAATGTACAATAAATATTAGAATTTCTACCAGATATAGATCTTATAAAAGACAGATTTTATATATCATTGGAACTGTAGACAGTACAATGTCAACTATTATCTATTCAATTAGTATAACTTTGCAACAGTTGATTTCAATTCAAATCTTGAATTAAAGATCATTGCCTGTTACAAATGCAGCTGGTTTAAAACCACCTGTTGCTAATTGCAATTTTTGTTGCTCTAATCATAGCAATTTATGTCATAAAAGGAGATATTGGAATGAAACATAGAGTTTATCCTGCTTTTCAAGGTGGTTGAAAATTATGACGCCAAAAATATATTGACACTATCTGGAAACATAGCTGGCTGATGTGCAGCTATGAAGAGAGAATAATATGGTTTGTAAGGAAGACCTAATACTCAGGATTATGCTTCTGACACCCTGTGATTTTTTTTCTCCTTACAGAAGATGCAGCATTTTAAAACAAAATTATATGGCTGCTCCTCTTGCCATAGCAACTGTGAGCAGCAAACCAAGTTTAAACAGAAATTAAAATCGTAAAGCATGCAGTGCTAAATATGCAATTCAAAGCAAACATGGCAGCTGAAAAAAGCAATGTAAGCTAATATCAAAACACCAAACCTCACTAATTCCACAACCCACCATGTTTTCAACAACTTCCAGATCAGCAATGTACTATGATTAGTACATTGAGATTATAACATGGCATGATGATGTATTTCCCCCCTTTCTAAAGCCATTGAAAGGCTTGGAGGCAGAATGGCCACCAATGTTCCTCATACTGTGCTTATCCCAGTGTCCTATGTTCATTTAGAGGAGGGGGGTCTATTAAAGTCAATGGTCCCATAAACAGGATTGTGAATATACTTCTTGTATGAATTCCATCTGATAATTTTAAACACTGAATTATTTTGAATATCTTCAGGCTAGCAGCTGGTAATCTCATACCAAGTATACAAAATTCCTATAGTTCTTGATTTATGACCACAATTGAGCCCAAAATTTCTGTTGCTAAGTGAGACATTTGTTAAATGAGTTTTGCCCCATTATATGATCTTTCTTGCTATGGTTGTTAAGTGAATCATTGCACTTGTTAAATTAGTAGCATAATTCCTAAGTGAATCTGGCTTCTCCATTGACTTTATCAGAAGGTTGCAAGATTACATGACCCCAGGACACTCATAAATATGAGTCAGTTGCCAAGCATCTGAATTTTGATCACATGATCATGGGGATGCTGCAATGGTTGTAAGTCTGAAAAATGGTCATAAGCAGTGGTAGCTAATTTTTTGTTGCCCAGGCTCAGAATGGGCTTCCGGAAGTGGCATCTACACAGAGAATCGGTTGTTCACATATTTGAATCCCACCATTGGCCATAAGTCACTTTTTTCAGTGAGTATGTAACTTTGAATGATCACTAAATGAACTGTTGTAAGTTGAGGATTACCTGTACTTTAGCAGTGTCTTCTGGTAGCATGAGATTTTTGCAAATTATATTAGAGTAGATGTACTCCAAAGTAGTCTCCCAACATATTTTTAGTCATCTGGGGAGAAGTGTCATTAATCGCTCTATCTCTGCTTCTAATTTACTTCAAAAAATATATTCATTCCCACAGAATAGTTGGGATTTTTTTTAAAAAAAATGCCACACACACACACACACACACACACACACACACACACCATCCCTGATGCCCTTAATAGACAGTTCTACTCTTTTCAGTTCTGCTCCAGGATAGATTTTTTTTTACATTAAGCTGCAGATTTTAGATATTTAATATCTACAAATGGAAGATAATATCTGCTTTCTAACCTAAAAAGGCTTTGTCTTGTCCAGTATTCATTGCAGATGTTTCCCTTATTAAATCAAGTATTCTAAGTTGCCCAAATACCTGTTGCTTCCTTTGGAGGAGAGTATCCTAAGCATTTGAGCTTTGGTAAATGCCCGGTGGTCTTTCTTCCTTTTTACATCCTTGAAAATTTTTTGTTTCAGCACCTTCTCTGGAGAGCAGATCTAATGGAGAGGATGAAATGACACCATGCACTCAACTATACTTTTTATCAGTTTTAGGCAGGAAGAAGTATAAACAACATCTTACTCCTGTACAGGTATGAGTTATTACTAGGGGGCATGGAAGAGAAAGAATCCATTCCCATCTCAAACTTACCTAGGACCAAGTAAAGTTAGAAGGATGTGTGAAGTAAAATCTAGTGCAACTTAACAGATTTCCTGGCACAAACCTTTATTCCAGCAATAATTAAAAATAAGTGATGAATAAGAAAGAAGCACAAATGTCATAATAAAAAGTGAAAAGAAAACCTGTGCCAAATGTGAAGCTCCTTCAGTCCTAATGTTGACATAATACTATGGTAACTTAGATAGATAGATGGATGGATGGATGGATGGATGGATAGATAAATAGATAGATAACCTTTATTGTCATTTTTTACTGTGAGCACAATGGCACACATTAAAAAAGAAATTTAGTTGTTTGCTCTCAAAGTGTATATATAACACACATTTAAACATATTATATACAACATATGTATAGACTGTCTTGCATCCTTACATATAAGTAACATATAAATATTAATCACTGTCCGGCTTCCAGTTTGCTGACACAGCCGCTGCGGACGTTGGAAGGTGAGCTTCATCTTCCATGTCCAATTTCGCACCCCTGGGGGACCCTGGAAAAGGTCAAAAGTCACCCTGTATGGGCGACAAGCAAGGAGGGGACCCCTGTTTGATCACGGGAGGGCAGTACCCTTCTGCTCGATCTGGGGCAGCCCTCCAAATTGGCAGATGAAAGACTGGCCATAGAAATATGGCCCGTCACTAGGCTGCAGACAGCCGAAGTCAAACTTACCACTAGGCACCTATAAAGCAGCACGGATGAGACTGGGTGAGATCTGAGCCTCTCTTCAATCCTAACTATTTTTTCCACCTGTATAAGCTGCCCAAAGTATTTTCCCCCCTGTAGAGAGATGGAAGGAAAAGTCCATCCAACACTCTAAAAACAGTGGTGACTGATTATCCAGGGGGAATTTAAAACACTGAAAGAATAACCTGATTCTAATTGGATTTCTATCCTTCTAAAATTTGAGGACTAAAAGATTTCTTATTCTTATTGAAAATTTGGGTTTTCACTTACAAAAAAGAAATAAAATTGGAAAAAGGATTATAAAAATTTTGGACTTTAAAAAAAATCTTAAATGGTATGGGCGACATCTTGTGGCTAAACCTGATATTACAACTTGTTATTGTCTAAAAGAGACTTGGCTTGAAGCCCAGACTATAGATAAGATTTTTGCAACCTTGGCAGCCCAGCTGTGTTCTATACTCAGTGACAAAATTATTTTCATTCTCTGATTGTAAAGCTTTTAATTTAACACATCACTAAGAGAACATGGATGAAGATCAGGAACAGATTCTCTTTATGCTGAAAGCAATTTATGAAACTATTCTTACAGCTACTGATGAAATAAGAAGCTACAGAAAAGAACAAGATGTTAGCCTAGATATATGAACCCAAACTTTGATTACAACTAAAGAATCATCTACACAGAATATAACAGAAGAAGTGGAACAATCAAATACTATGATAGAAGATTCAACTGATCAACAAACACAGTTAATGAAAAACCCAGAAAAGGGACTGACAACACTGAAATGGAAAAGACTTTCTATATAAACCAGAAGAAATCTAAGAATCAAGAACAGACCGAAGGGAAGATAATCATTTCAGGACAACTATATCGAGATGGAAAAATAGAGAGATGATTTGTTAGTCCTTCCAAAAAAGTGGTGACTGGAGGGTCTTTTTAAATCTCAAACAATATATATAATAATAGTGGGAGATCTATTTGATAACTTAAAAGCATGGATATGGAAGGTGAGTTGGCAAAGAAAAAAAGCTAGAATAAGGTTGAAGAAAATTGGGGTTTTGACTTATTAGTGAGGATTAAAATAGAATATACTCAAAGAGACAAGATGTGTACTTTGAATACTAGATTTTGTTATAAACTGAGATAAAGAAAACTTTGGTCATTTAAAACTTGTAAGTATAAATATTAAAAGTTAAATTTGAATATTGATTTGTTTATAAAGGTTGAATATAAAAGTAATGAAGATATATAAGCTAAAAATCTATTGATAAATGTAATAAACATGTTTTTACTTAGCTGATATAGTAAGAACTGTACTAGCTTAATATGAGATAGTAGACATTAAGAGAAAAAGAGAGGAAATATTTGATGTTGAAATAAATATTAATCACTATCCATTTTAAATACATAATGGAAGGAGGAAGATTTAGAGTTCACAAGGTTAATACTGTATGGAACAAAACTTGTAAGGCAAGGTGGTCTTATTATTATTATTTGAACAAAAAGCCACCTACTAATTTCAATTTAAAGCAAAACAACACTTTTTTCTCAATTACATCAACAGGATACAATGGATTCCTATATACAGTATAACTGTAGGTTTATACATTATAAAAATATAAATAAATAGATAAGTATTTATTCAAGACAAAAGTCGCCAAAATGCTTATGTTGCTGATTAAAAGTTTTTGTTCTCCCTCTGTTCTTCTTCTTTTGCTATACTGTTTTTTCTGTTATACTGCATTTGTTCACTATTTTTTATATTATAATATTTATTAGCTACACAATGCACTGATTTTGTAGGCTGTAAAGGCAGACATCGAAAATAAGTCATTTATCTAATGGCTAATCAGTGTCTATACTTCAACAAATAGGATTTTTGTGTCCATTATCAGGAGATGCAAATAAAGGAGTATAAAGTATTTACAACTCAGTTGAAATGAAGGGTCCTTGGTCCTCTCTGAATTTGGTTGTTTTGTTGCATATGTTTCATTAGCCAAATTAAGCAACATCACTAATGCTAGGATGGTTTGAGTAATGAATATCTTCAAGAAAACAATCAGGCTCAGAGAGCACCAAGGACCCCTCATATCAGGAGATTATTTCATTCTGATTTGTCTACTACAAGGGCCTCTAAATCATAGAATCATAGAATTATAGGGCTGTAAGGGTACTTGTAGTCCAATCCCATGCCTAAGAAAATAATAGTCTCAAAGCGTGATACATTTTTGTAATTCTTTGGGAGCTTAATCGATTGTCTCCTCTGCCATTTTCAATGGCATTAAAGTCACACAAACATTTCATGCTGGGATCACTTCCAGAAGACATCAAAGAAAGATGTGGCCACAGCCCTGCTCTTATAATTGTTGTAACTTCCCACCTCAGTTAGTTGACTGAATATATTGTAGTTATAATAAAGATGGAATAGGAAAATATCTTGGGGAAAGCTATGAGGAGCCACTTCCCTACTGCTGATGAAACACTGCGTGATTCCATAATTCAAATAATATCTTTCCTTCATTTTTATTATATAGATGCTTTTATTCTCCATATTGCCAAGGACAAGGGGCAATCACTTACAGCCCACTGAACACTCCTGCCAATAGACCCCAACCCTGTTTCCTTCCAATTTGGGGCAAGAAAGAATAAAATCCTGCTTTTTTCCTACGGATGTGAAACAGTTCCATAGTTCTGCCTCTTTGCCAAAACATTCAGTGTGATCTCCAGTATGAAAAGGTTGGCTTAAGGATGGTTTAAGCATTCTTGGCTTAAGGAGGTCTTTAATTAGAAGCTAGTTCAGAAATTCGGGGTTTCTCAACCTCAGCAACTTTAAGATGTGGGGACTTCAACTCCCAGAATTCCCACGTTGACTGCTCTAAATTTGGGGGGTTTGTAACAGAAGTATGTAGTTCATACCGGGATGCTTTTCTTTCCCATTTCTATGGCTTTGTTTGATCTGAGAGTATGATGTAGGATGCTTAATGCTTCCTGGTGTCAGTAGAAGTTCATTGATGGTGGTAATGGAAAAACTGTCTTTCAGAGTACACTACTACTTCTCCTTTCCTAGGAAACTCCAATACTTTAAAACTAGCATCTTGATACAGTCTCAAACTCTTGTTCTCACCTCACGTCCTCTGAATAGTGGTCTTTGACGTCTCCAAATAATGCTTTTGTGAAGTGGTGCTTTGGGAAGATGCAATGGGCTGTGCTTGATCAATCGTCTGTGAGATAGGAAAAAGGAAAAAGGAAAGATTGGCATATTGGGAAAATGACTGAAACGTATTTCCTGAATTTTTCATCTTAAAGTGCTTTAAAAGAAAGTGAAACTGACAGAGCACAGAATATAGTCCAAGATTTTAATTAGACTAGATAAAGGATTTACAGTGACAAGAGCCAATATGCCTTGTTTAAAAGAAAATAATTTCAGATCATTAAAGATCTGTGATTTGATTAGAAACATTGGAAGACTTTGAACCCGAAACAATACTCAGAATAGTTTTTAATTTTTCAAGTTGTTTGTAATCCGTCTGATGCGCAAACTGCATAACCAATCTATCTTCTACCCATCCCAATTTAAATTCTACATTACTCTAGCCAGTATATGCTTCTGATGAAGTGAGCTGTAGTTTACTGGTATCTTGTAATAAAATTGGTTAGTTATAAAAGGTGCTATCCAATTACTTCTGATTGTCTTGAAATTAATGGCTTCATACAATTGTACAGGCAGGATAATCCCACCATTCATTGACCATGGAAATTTTGACCCTGTAAAGATTTAAGACAGCTACAAACATTCAGGAAAATATTTCAGTGGCCAAACTTTTCATAAATTCCAGCCTGCTGCTTTCTTGAAGATCAGCTCCTTCTGTCTCAAGATTACCTGAGATGTACCCCAGCACAGTACAAAACAGTCAATGGGGGGGGGGGGAAACAATGAGAGGAATGTAATATACAGAGTGCCCAAAGCCCATCATCACTCGATGTCTTAGCTTACTCAGTTTTACTGCAGCCACAGCGGTTATGAAAGGAAGGCTTGTGTGCTGGAACAGAAAATCTGAGTTCTTCTTCCTTCCATTCTGTAGGCTTCTTCCACAAGCATACAGGAACAACAGTCTCAACCTCAGACTGCAACTCTGGATTCACCAACTGGGATTCCACCCAAGTTGCCGTCGTTAGATCGTCAGTATCAGTTCTAGGAAGAGAAAAATAAACTCAAATCAAGGAACATATGAAACTCTCTCTGTGACTGGGTTCATATGACACACCTTTGGCTTCTGAGTTTAACCCTTTTTTGGTGATTCCAGAATACATTGAGTTATTAATTAGAAAAATTACCAAAATCCCTGACTTTAAATTAGAGTTAAAACTGATCAATCTTAGCAAAGGCAAAATAGTGACTGCACATCATGAATATGATCACTCAGATTGTTAGATGACAGCATGAAAAAAACCATATCTTAATATTGTAGAAAGTTAGCATGTAAAATTTAAGATTCATCAGATAAGTGCTATATAGCACAGGACTTCCCTTTCATGTAATGGTTTAAGCAGCTGAAAGCTGTTACAAAGATAGTGAAAAGATTAGATTAAGCTGAACTGCGTATAACTGAGGTCCCTTTGGAAATTATCATCTAAATTGCAGGACCAAAAAATACTGATAATCTTATCTTCTGCTGTTCTGACTTACTGCTCTGAAGTGAGGGAGGAAAAATTAGTTGTGCTTTGTTCAGGAGTAAGAAAGCTAGATAGAACATCCTTCCAATCTGATGTCTCTTTTCCCCATGAACTAGAGGAATGTAACGTTGAGGGATCTTTATCTTCCTGCAGTTCAGATGTTTTTAAGGATGGCTTGGTGTCATCCTCATTCCGTTTCTCCAGGTCTTGAGCTTTGTTCTCTTCAACCTCTGTATTGGGAGATTTGTTGTCATCTTTACCCTCCTCATTTGGGTGATTGGATTTGTTCTCCTCAGCTTCTGTATTTGAGTCCTGAGGATGACCATCCATTTTGGTGTTCTCAGTTAGATCTTGAGATTTGCTGTGAAGGAAGAAGAACAAAGCATTCATTTACAGAGATGGTTCTGGCTTTGTTTCTCTCTAGTTACTCTCCACCAGGGGCAGATAGTTCTAGTACTTTGCAACTTTTTGGTGATATAGAAGCATAGTAAGTTCAGTTGTACCTGTAGCATGCATGCCATATGCTATCATTACATAGATTGCTCCAGGGGAGGATACCAAGCACAGACAGTCCTCATTTAGTGACTGCTTTGGATAACAACTATTTGCAATTATGGCAGAGATGAAAGAGTAATGTTGTGACCAGTGTGCTCATTTATGAGCTTTGCAATGTCTCTTAGACACATGTTCACCATTATAGCCAGTCAGTACACTTTCTGTGACTGATCCATTTTTTCCTCCCTTGTCCCAAAAACAGAGCGATTACCTAAACAAACTATTTCTTCCTGAGTTGCTTTTCTCTGCAGCACAGTGTGTCCCTAAAAAGTGCTAACTGCGAGTTAATAAGCTCAGCTATATGATCTTAATAAGTTGATTAGAATGCACTTACAGAGTAGCAATAGCACTTAGACTTACATATTCTTCATAGTGCTTTACAGCCCTCTCTAAGCAGTTTGCAGAGTCAGCATATTGCCTCCAACAATCTGGGTCCTCATTTAACTGACCTTGGAAGGACAAAGATTGAATCAACTTTGAACCAATCAGGGTCAAACTCCTGATAGTGGGCAGAGTCAGCCTTCAATACTGTGTTCTAACCACTGTACCAACATACCTCCTCTGCTGCATCAAACTAACAAGCCTTAGTCAGTTTCATGCTGAAGGGGTTTTTTGCCTCCTAAAGAAAGCTGAAATCATAAGCACAGAGTCATGTGATTTCCATTTAGTGACACTTCATTTAATGACTAATTTGACAGAACCAATTGCAGTCCCTAAATGAGGAGTACCTGCATGTCTTTCACTGGCCTTTAAGGCAGAAGTGAACAACTTTTCAGGCTCAGGGAACTATTGTGCAATTTTGCAAAATGGTCCAAGTACCTGCATGTAAATTAAATATAACAGTCTCATGAGATGACATTTTGGCAATCTTCCTTGGATATGTTACTAAGACTTCGTGTGTCATCCTTAATATCTTGCAAGAATATCTGATATTTCTTCAGCCTTAGAAGATGAATGACTTCAGAGGTTCCACAGAACAAGATTTTGTCCTATTAATTTAACTGCTGATGGATCACAGATAAATAATTTTGAAAATGATGTGTGCTACTTCTTTTATAATTTGTTTACTTATTTATTAGATTTTTATCCTACCCTTATTACTTTATAAATAACTCAAAGCAGCAAACATACTACTTAATGCTCCTTCTTCCTTCTATTTCCCCCCCCCCCCAATAACTGAGACAGAATGACTGGCCTAAAGTCACCCAGCTGGCTTTCATGCCTAAAGAAGGACTAGAACTCAGAGTATCCTGTTTTCTAGCACCTTAACCATTAGACAAAACTGACTATCTTTTCTTTTGCTACCTATTTTGCTACTGCACAAATGCATGGCAAAACATAGGAGAACAAATACATCAGGACAAGAGTCAGAGGTCTATTTGCATTTGAAAGACAATTGTCATGACAATTGTCGTGTCTGTCCACATTCTGAACAGAGATGATACTGGTTTGAAAGAGGGCTCAAAGAGGCCATCTACATTAAGACTGAACAGCTCTCTCTCAACAGAGGGGATGGGATATGACACCACCTATCTCCTTTTTACAACACCTATCAGCAGTTCCAAGAAGGTTCCAGACCCATTTATATTATTCCCATGATCTTGAGGGCACAGATAAACCTCCAAATGGCCTTAATGACTCTCAGAAAGAAGACTAACAATCAGATGACTGCAAGGAACATACATACTTCCATTCTCCACCTTTCAGTCAGAACTGAAGAACCTTCTTGGATGAAAAGCAAAACATCTTCAAGGAAAAACACAGAAAATCTAGTTGCCTTTTGAAAAATCACCTTTGGGACAGCTATGACTAGATAACTGAGAATCTCTATAGATCAGGGGTGACAAATTCAATTTCATTGAGGGCCTCATCAGCATTATGGTTGCCTTCAAAGGGCCAGTTGGGTGTAGCTGGGTAGGCATGGCTGGATGGTCACAGCGGGTTGCTGCGACTAGGTAGGTGTGGCTGGATCGACTGGTGTGTGTGTGTGTGTGTGTGTGTGTGGGTGTGTGAGGCTCGTGGGTGCTATTCTGAGGCGGCTGCTTCACCAGGCTGTCTGCGACAGCGGCTTCCTTCGGGGCTCGAGAGCTTCACAGGATGGAGGAGAGTAGAGGAGCGGCAGAGCTCCTGCTGGATGGGGTTGCTGCTGCTGCTGCTGCTGCCAGTGCTGCTGCCATGCAGGTAAAATGAGGTGAGGCGAGGCAGATGGTGGGGTGGGGGTGGCCTGGCTGTGGGGCCCCCGAGGTGCATGAGGGCAGTGCAGGTGGGGCAGGGCCGAGCACAGCTTATCGAACACCCTGGGATCACATCCAGCTGGCCGTTGCTGCCGACCAATGAGTGGCCATGGGACCAACGAGTTGCAGCTGCTGCGAGGCATTGCCAGCTCCCGCATGCTCACCACCTCTTTTGCGCATGCCCAGAGGGAGCACCCATCTGGGATGGGGTGGACTGGGGCCAAGGCAGTGGGGGCCGGCCCTTTGCTATCTCCACAGATCATGGGCCAGATCTGGCTTCTGGGACTTGAGTTTGCCATAGATAAAAGCTATCCATGTTAAAAAGATAAGAACTTAAACAGCTTATTTTCTAGTGGTTTATCAAGATGGGTGGCTTTTCAGAGAAGGTAACAAAAAGCCAAGACAGTAATTTTGACTTTCTTAAGCCTCTCTCCTGCCTCATATCATGCCAAATGAATGGTGAAAATGGCTCTCACAGTTTTCACCTAAAATTCCTGCCAACCCAACAGAATTGTAGAATTAAATCTGGGACCTTCTGCATTAAAATAGAAGCTCTTCTACCAAGCCTAAAATTATTCACCTTCAGGGGAGATATGTTGTCAAATCTAAATTCGTAAAATGAATAGTGGCCTTCTCTGAAGGTGGGGGATGTTTTCAGTTATCTTTGGTAAGGATATATCTTTTGGAATGTAAGAATGAAAGTAAGCTTCACTCTCTGCAGTTTGGATGAACTGCTTAAGTGTAAATCAACATTTTGTTTTTTAAATAAATGTCTTCGAACTCAAAATATTAAACAAAAATTTGAAAAAAAATTGCAATGGAAGATTTTTGTGTCAGGAATGCAACTTTTATTTATGTCCCAGTGAACATATTTTATTCATGAAAACAGTTCCCATTTGTGAAGCTTTCTGAATCCTGAGAAAATAAAACACCTGTTTATTTTTATTTATTTTATCCAATTTGTAGGCTGTGTAGCTCCATGGTCACTCTGGGCAGCTTACAAATAAAAGAAAAGCAATATATATACATATACATATATATAAAGAGAACATAGCTAACTGAAAAATAAACACTGAAGTTTAAATCTTATAAAACTAAATAAAGGGCTTCACAACTACCCAATCCTGGAAAAACAGCTAGTTTTTTGGTAGTTCCAAACATTTCATAAAGGTGGGTACCACTTTAATTTCTTGGAGCAGAACGAATATCAGAGGAAAGGCACTGCCATAGAATAGGCATAAATCTTGGATCCCATAAGATGATGGGACTTAAAATGTGTATTGATTAAAACCAAGCTCCACTAAGGCTGTCCCACCTACTCCTTCAGATCCAGCCTATTTCAATGCTGACCACATACATTTTAAAACTTAAGACAAATCTTATTAAAAGTATAATTTTGTTTTGCATGATAAAGTAGCTGAATTTTTTTTTACAGATACAAAATTATTAACCTTCCATTTTTCTTGAGTGGGGTGTCCATTCTTCTGAAACACAGTTTTGTTACTTCCTCATCAGTAGTGATGTCCAATAAATTCTTCAAAAACAAAGTCTCAATGAAAACATGAAGAATGCTACATCTTAGCTGGAGTGTAACAGAAACTACTATCCATTTCTGACAGCAAACTTTCAGCCAGAAATGGCAAGTGCAAACTGAAATACTTACAACAAAATGCTGTAATAGTTGCCACAGCTGTCTTGCCAAAAAGTTTCTGGGATTAACAAGTTTGCTGACAATATCCAAAAGGTCAGAAATTGAAATATGACAGTGTCGAACAGCCAGGACAATCAACTAGAGTTTAGAAATTTTTAAGATTTCTGATCTTCCCCTGGCAACATAAAAGAGGTCTTATGTTTTGTGCCAAATGTTAATAGGAGGGTCCAAGAGAGTTTGATGGAACTGGCTCTCTGGAGATGGATATGCAGCCCTCTACAACACTAGATTCTCCCCCTCTGCCTTGACTTCAGTAGCTGCACGGAGAAGTTCCAATCTAATGATGTCATAGAATAGGGCATGACCTTTGTGGTATAAATACTTCTCCAGTTGGTAGAGAAGAAAAAAAGTCTCTTAATCATTCATCAACATTAAAGGTCCCAAACTGTGAAATAATGAATTCATTCAGAAGGATGGATTAGATTTATTTCAGCCCTACTAACAATTGAGACACCAACAAATTCCTGTTTTAAATTCTATATGACAGCCTTCAGGAACTAAATCCTCATAATTTGTAGAGAAAGTGACCTATCTCATCATCCAAATATTATTCATATTAGAGGCAATCTTTTAGATATTTAGAAACACAACTACATTTTTATCTCTGAATTTTCCCCTAAGCAAATGTAGCTTATAGATGGGCATGGATATGAAACCATGTGTATGGATCTACTTGTTAAAAAGCAATCAGATGTTATAATTCTGCAATTGCAAATTATGTAAATAGAAGACATGCTTTTGTTTATTTTTTTTTTACATTTTTCTTTTGCTAGTAACTTTTGATATATAGGCCTTACTTTTTGTCACTTGAATGAGGGTACAATAATCACGGAGAAAACAGGGTTTGGTCGAAATCCTGCCAAACAAGAGGAATAGTAAATTGGCAGAAAAGATATAAGGGCATAATATTTATTTATAACATTTTTCTACCACTTCATTCAAACCAGCTCCAAGTGATGTGTAATGACAGGAAAAACAAAAATAGCAAAACCCCAACCACAATGTTGCAATGCAGTAGTGGTCCCATTGGAACAGGACAAAACTTAACATTCCCCCAAAACTCTATTCCATAGCCCTGCATTTATAACCCTGTAGAAATTCATCAGGGAAGTGGCAGTCCACTTGAATGAGAGCAAACTGTACCCTGGGCAGAGAAGAGAAGGCCTACTGAAAAGGCCTATTTGTGGATTCAGGGTGAATTTTTGGGGTGTGATAGCTTGTTCCACTGATATTACTGGATGAGCAGTAGGCTTTTTAAAAGTTACCCAGTCCTTGAGCCACATAGAAGTTCCAAAGCAGTAACCAGCATCTTAAATCACACTGATTCAAGCAAACTGTCAGTCAGTGCAGTTTTAGGTATCCACTACAACTGCTGGAACTATGAAGGGGTACTTGATATTATAAAAGCATAGGCAACATTCTCAGGCAAACTACTCTTGGAGTTCCTGCGCCATATACTAGCAAGTTAAATTAAGGCTCTTTTGATCTATTCACAGCTAGTTGGACAGCAATGCTGGCCAATGGTTTCAGAACCATGGAAAGCTCCCAATCTTCTGCAGTCTGGCTGTGTAGTGTTTAATTCTCAGATTTCTCCATCCAATATGGGCATTGCTAAGAATCTGAGAGCCAAAGACCATCTATCTGGAGGATGTCCAGATTTGAGAATGTTGCTCTATCTATCCTTCACACTTGTGATTATCTCGCTTGAAGATTGTGAAATCTTAAAGAGTTAATCCTGCGGTTTAAAGATTCCTTCTTTTCTTCGGCCTTGCACCTGTTGTTTTATTATATAGTAGTAGCAGTATGAGACTAGGCTGACATTGCCATAACTAAAAATGAAGGAGGCATGCAAGCAGGGAGGACAATAAGCAAGGAATCTTATCTAAAAGATCCCTTCAGGGAGGCAGACAAGGAGGAAACAAATTCTTAAAGGCAAAAAATATCCCTGAACCAGGCAAAAGAAGTTGAGCCTGAGCATATGTTACAACCCCCCCTCCTCAGTCCCAGCTAATAAACAAGGCAAGAACTTTTGGGGAGTCATCTTTGAACCATTTCACAGTTTCCATCCCTCGTGTTAGTGTCTGGCAGCCTAGCTGAGAAGGATATGGCTAAATGTAGCTCAGTGTGTATCAGTGCATGAGAAAGAGCAAATGTACATTGTAATTCAGCCAAGTTTTGCTGTTAATTTAAATTCACTGGCTTTCCATGTATTCCAAAGAACCTGATGGGCCTCAGTGTTCAGTTGAAAATGCATATCCCTAATTATTTCCAAACTGCTGACTAGGGCTGTATTTCTTTCTGCTCTAATCACAACTATTTGAACATCCAGGCAGCAACCCAGGAGTGCTTACAAGATCTGCATGCCTCAACAGGCTGCGTATGTGTGAGGAGAGTAGGAGCACATGCATCAGTAGTATGAAAAAAAATTGATTTCTCAGCCAAAATGACCTTAGAGGAAAACAGCCTGGCATCCACTTTCTTGGTTTCTAGACCAGCACCTTAATCACTACATCAAACTGGGACATACAATCCATGCATTGTACATGAGGTAAAATGTTTACTACTTGAGCCCTCCACTAGATGGGCTCAAGTAGTAAACATTGGACTATTCCAGCCAATAATGTGATATGCCGTGTACATATTTTCTTATGAATATGTGTCTTTTGGAGTATGTGTGCATTCATCTATAGGTCTCCATAATTACTTTATACCCCTCCCACTAGCAATAAATGTACTGTCTACAAAAGGGCGGGGGATGAAAAATTCCTAATGGATATAAAGACCTTACAGATATTGGAGTTCTCAGGCTTATGTTGTGGCTTGTTGTTTGAATTGCTTCTGTGAAAGGTTAAAAGAGGTATGGAGGTATTTTAGCCTTCATAGGGTTTGAACTATCAGTTCTCAGAACTCATTTGTGGACTTGCAATTGATTTAATAGACAACATGATGCTCATCTGAGGGCTGATTTTTTACATATTGTCTGGTTCTTGTCTTCATATTGTTTTCATTGCTAGGACTTGGGGACATAGTATGTAAGTTAATTCTTTTTGGTTCTAACCAAAGTGATGGCATTCCTTTACTTTGAATAAGATCAGAGCAACAGGAGGAAAAAGAGGAACATCTTATGATATAAGCTTACAGCACATAGGAGTAACTTCGCAATTCTTTGAATTTGTTTAGGTTTATTTGACTATAAGTAGTCCTTGACTTACGACCACAATGGACCCCAAATTTTCTGTTGCTAAGTAAGACAGTTGTTGAGTTTTGCCCTTTTTATGACTTTTCTTGCCAAAGTTGTTAACCTGAGCTTTTGTGTTAAGCTAGTAACATGGTTTTTAAGTGAATCTGGCTCCCCCATTGAATGTTCTTATTAAAAGGTCACAAAAGGTGATCATATGACCTCATAGAATATGAGGTAGAGGTAGAGGTAGAGCATCTCAAACCCCCCAGGGATTTTTTGGGGGGGGATAGAAAGAGAGCTTCCTCGGAGTTCGGGTTGCCTCTGCCTCCCAGCTGTCTTTGTTTCCTTCGGGGACAAAGTGAAACGCCGCTACCATCTCCGCGCTTAAAGGGATTGGGTGTTTTTTTTTTATAAAGCGGACAGAGCTGGATAAAGGATTGGATTTATTGAGTTTTATTTTGCTTTTTAGTTTAGGTTGATCTTTTTCTTTTTGTTTTTTCTGTTTGTGTGGAGAGTGAAAGTAAAATGGCGATTTGAAAGGTTTTTTTTTCGGGGAAAGTTAAACGGAATGTTATGGACTATATAGCTTTTTCTTTTTAAACTTTTTAAACATTTCCTCTTTTTCTGAAGGTGGTTTTCTGTTTTTGAAATATCTTTCAAACTCTCCTTTGTTTTTGTTTTTTTTGAGGATTTTTTTTTAAATAAAGAGGAAATAAGAAAAAACTTTTTTTAAAAAAATGGCTTCAAAAAGGCAAGCAGCTTCTACAGTTCCTAAGGTGGCTTCTTCTCCTGCGATTTTACCGGTACAACAGCCTAAAGCTACACCACCATCTTCTCCTCCTCTGCCAGTAATATCTGTACAAGACATGAAAGATATAATGGGAAATGCAGTAATTCAAATCAGAGGGGAAATGAAGGAGCTTTTAGATCAGAATAAAACTGAAATTAGAGGGGAAGTGAAGAACCTGTTGGAGCAGAATAACACTATTTTGAGGCAAGATATAGTTATGGCTCTATCAGGACTTGCTTCTGTGGTTGAGAAGCTTGACTCTAGAGTCGAAGAGGTTGAAGATAAGGTTGACATCTTGGAAGATAAGTTTGAAGGCATGGAAAAAAAGATGGAAATTTCACAGGATGACATTGTTATGTCTCAGTACAGAGAGAAGGAATATGCTTTAAGAATCAGGGGTCTGAAAGAAGATATGCAGCAAGACCTGAGAGAGATTGTGGTAAATGACTTTGCTGTTATTTTGAATAGAGAGAAAGAGGAAATACGCAGAGAGGTTGAAAAATTATTTAGAGTTAATTCCTGGATTGCAAAACAGAGAAATTTACCAAGAGATGTGGTAATTTATTTTGGAAAGAGATCTCTGCGCAATGAAATTATACAAGCTTTTTATAACAAGAGATTTCAGATTGCTGCTCAAGATGTTATTATTCTAAAGGAGATCCCATCTAAAATTTTAAGAAAGAGAAAAGATTTTGCTTTTTTAGCTGATGAACTTAAAAAAAGAATGATGCCATTCAGATGGGAGATTCCGATGGGTATTGTCCTGAGCCATGCGGGGACGCGTTATAGACTTAATACAGTCACTAAAGCAAAGGAGTTTTACAGTTCGGTCCTGGGAGCAGGCTCACCATCATCTATGATGCAGAAAGCTCTGGATGGTAAAGAGGTGGAACAGCAGTCTGAAGGACTAGGTGTGATGGCGGTTGGAGAGTTACAGTCGGAGTGGTCCCGACAAGCAGAGATCAAAGAGCAAAGAATGACCCGTGCAGCGCATAGACGCAAGGAAAAGGAACAACAGAGGAAAGAAGTTAAAGAATCTCTTCAAGAAAGTGCTTCGTTGCTGTCCGGTGGATTTTGCGTGCGTGATGGCGGCTACTTTGTAGCCGTCCTCCTGGGTAAGTGTAAGAACCGCTATGAACAGCAGATATCAGCTGTTCAGCGGTTCAAAATCCCCCTCCCGGGCAAAGGGGGGGGGTAGAGAGTGTCTGAATAGTGGTAGAGCCTCTTTCGCACCCCCCAAGTTTTTTTTTTGGGGGGGTGAAAGGAGTGCTCCCACGGAGTTCAGACTTGTCTCCGCTTCCCAGCTGTTTTTGTCCTCAGGGACAAAACGAGCCGCCGCAAACACCTCCGTGCTTAAAGAGAACTGGTGAGTTTTTTTTTTTTAAATGGACAGAGCTGAGTAGAGGATTTAGTTTTTGCTT